CAGGACCTTCCGTCAAGCGCGACAGTTCACCCTGTGGCGTCACCCACTGGGTCCGTAGGCGGTACAACTTGTTTTCGCTGGCCAGCCCTGACCAAGAGAACGAAAACGGCTGATCAGGTTGTCGAACGAGTTGTTTTTCGGTGTAGTTGAAGAAAGAGTGTCGGTTTGTCTCGGTGTTTCGAAAACAAGCCACACGATGGAAGTGGTCGTTTTGCGGATCGATCTGCACGACGGCGGACGAGTAGAACTCGCCGTCCAGGGCCTGGTAGCCCACATCAGCTTCCGGGTCCTGGATCATTAGAAAGCTTTGTCCGAGGGCCGCTGCGGCCAGTAGAAGGGAGTCGCCTCCTGGGTCTCCCGGGGCCCCCTGCCCGAAGAGGGGGTAGTAGTACGACGGCCCATGGTAGTTATAGTATGCGTTTAGGAGCAGCGTCGCGAGGTGCCTTCGCTTCGACACAAAAAATGCCGAGGTATCAGACGCCGGGCGTGCCGCCATGCTGGGGACTGGTTGGCCAGAGATATTATAGTAGATCGGGTTCACGGTTGAGGCCCAGTGGCCCGGCCAGGTGGTAAGGCTGTCATCAGCGCAAGGACGGGCCGTGGAGGCACTGTAAGTTGGGAGGTTCCAAGGGTCCATATACATCACATTCTCGAAGGAAGACAACAGGACGGCGAAGGCTTTGAGTTGGGAACGTTGAACGTCCACCTTGTTGCTGGAGTTAAAGAGTCTCGACAGCACGATGCAGGAGGCTCCATACAGAGGCAACACCCTCTCACACAGGTGCCCGTCGTAATCCCATTCATTTGACAAAAACAGCTCAACCGGTACTGTACACCCCGTGTATCGCAACATGCGTAGCGACGCCAGGAACATGGGCAGGTAGGTTTTGGTTGTACTGGACACGATGCCTTCGGTTTCAGGGATGTGGACTTGGGTTTGTTCGGTGATCATAATGTCGTGAACGAACCCGTCATGCGCCTTCTTCATCGGTGCCTCTATCACCTGTGTATTCACGATCACATCTGATCGTGACTGGCCATCCGTGCTGAACTCCCGACGCTCAACGGCGTTCGATACTTCAGGGACGCGACATGCTTGGGCATGGGTCTCCGCCAGAGAGTGAAACTCGGCCCATAGACGCCGGCGACGATCTCTGAGAGCCAGACTTGAGCTCATGTTGATAGCCGCGTGTAGTATCAGATTGGCGAAGACTACGTAGAATATCACAAAGTTCATGAAAATCTCCCACAGAATCATGAGTCTCGCGGGGGTCAACGATCCAAACCTAGTAATGAGAAGAAATGACCGAAAGTGTGATAAGATTATGGTGTGCTATTCGACACAGGTAGTGATGTTATCGCTAATGATGGAGTGTAGTGGAGGGTGGAAGATGCCATGGGTTGACATAGGGCTAGTCCATGTGGCCTACTGGGAAGGGACTATCATGAATATCGGACCTGCCGCGTAAATCTCACATTCGTACTGCAGTTGCAATAAGCGAGCTGCACATGGGCTGGGGTTTATAGATGTTCTATTTCATGAACCAACCCTAATTCCAGAAAAATTGGCAATGACCACTGCTCACGCTGCATTTTCGATACCGTTGACATAGTTATCATGGAAGGTCCACACAGCAGGATAGCCATATTGATCAAGTGATTTGAAAGTGAAGTATTCAGCTGGTCTTGTAGTTTGTAATATTAAGATCCTCTAGCCCGGGGTAAAAACTGTGCTATTCATAAACATTAATTACGTCGAGTATAAGACAAAGATCAGGAATTTTATTTGTCTTCAAAAATTTTTTAACTCAAACTTGAATACATTAACTATAAGAATACTAAAGGCTTGTAGAAGAATCGGCATAGTACGCGTACTTTTACTCGTGATATATATATATGTCGTGTGGGATGGCAGAGAAAAGAATATGATAGATAGTTGCCATACTGCTAAGAAAAGATTGAATTTGTTTGGACGAGACGAGGAAGCTTATAGACTCTCACAGTCTATCAGATATGTATGGAAAAGACATACTCCGTATGGGAGAAACAAATCATGGGCGAGAAGTAAAAGTAGTTAGAGATGAGATGGTCACGTGCAGGACGCGTTCTGCCTTCTTTGTTTTCTTTTCACTTCACCTTTCCTTTCTTTACCCCTTTGCATCCATCGCTCAGGACATATAATCACACAATTCCTATTGTTAATATATGTGATACTTCTAAATGATGATGTTACTGCTAGATCATAGCGTGGGGCGTCTGTCTGACAAACATCAGGCAGGATACGGCGTCTCTTAAAACCCAGGACAAACACGGGCAGGCACAGAAAGAAAACATGAACCGTGGAATAACCAGAAGCAACAAAGCCGACCGACCCACTTATTGAGCTAGATGTCGTGTGAATGGTTTATTTCACAATCGGCTACCCATGAGGACCAATGGCCTGGTTGTATAGCGACCCACTATACCCAATAACCTGCCATGCGCCGAGTGATAAGCAACTAGCCGGATGATCAACAAAGGAACCCCGAAGGTTCCGGGAAAAGATGACAGGGGAATTTGGGTGAATTCGCAAGACGGCAGAGAATGAATAGGGAAGAAGGAAGAGAGAGTGACATGATGCCCCCGAAAAACAACCGCTCTGGTTGTTCTCTTTTGACATCTCATGACAGTCGGTGATATTGTCTCCCCGAGTGGGCCAGCGTGGATTCGCGCCAGGCAGGCATATGAGGTTCCCCGCAACGACAAATGAAAAGTCTTGGCCTCTGGTTTTTGCGTCCGCTTCAACCCACCTTACTTAATGCTCGCCTCTGTACGGGCTTCGTTCAGGTCATTGGCCAAATCCCAGAATTGGATGGTCTGAGGGGGAAAAGGTCTGGTGCATGGTATCTATCCCGCAGCGTAGGGATTCCGTGACCTTGTGATCGACAGTAGGGACCCTGACCGAATAAGGCAACACCAACGAGATGCCACATCCAAGACACGGCCCGAATTCGGTGCACGAAAGACCATCGGATAGGCCCGAGGCTCTCAAGTCTGAACCAACCCCAACACCCAAGGCCAGCTGGTGGGATGGAATTCTAGGAGCTTCACGCAAGATCAGCCAGGCTGGAAGTGATGTCGCCGATCGCTTGGGACGACCGACAGACGAAGGCGAGGCGCTGGATGCTGCGCGTCATCCCGAAGACTATGGCGCTACAGACGACATCCAGATGACCGACTTGCTCCAAGGCGACCACGAGCTTACCAATGATGCCTATCAGTCAAAATTGCAAACAGAATTGGGGTCCCGTGCACAGCTCTTAATGGGTGTTCTGGGGCTGGGAAGTCGCACCTCAATACAGAGACAAGAGACGGACGACGGCACCGCTGATGGTGGTATACTGTCCCTTTTACTGAAAAGACCCAAATATCACCGCCGTCAGGTCAGCGATGGGGCAATTTCGGTGATCTCTACTGAGTCACGGTCTTCTTCGGGCAAAGGAAAGAAGCCGCGCAGGGAGAAATGGTACAACAAAGAGGAGGGTCGGAAGGAGAGGAAACGCAACAGGCGTGCCCGGCTGAGACAAGCAATCGCCACCATCATAACGCGGGAACGGTATATCATAAAACTCTGTCGTGCTCTCATGAAATATGGCGCACCGACACATCGCCTGGAGGAGTACATGCATATGACGGCAAAAGAGTTGGATATCCAGGGCCATTTCCTCTACCTTCCCGGGTGTATGATAATGTCATTTGACGACCCGATCACCTGCACCACCGACATCAAGATTGTCCGGGAGAATCAAGGCTTGGACTTGGGTCGCCTGGCGGACACACACAATGTGTACAAGCGCGTGGTGCACGACAAGTTGGGGGCAGAACAGGCCACAGAAGAGCTGGAAACGATGCTGCGAAGCCCGCCCCGCTACCATCAATTATGGCTGCGCTGCGCCTTGGTGGGTCTCTTCAGTGTTACAGTTGCTCCGTGGGCCTTCAATGGGCGACCAGTCGACATGCCCATCATCTTCGTGCTCGGCTGTCTGATGGGCATCATGCAATTTTGGCTGTCTCCCAGGAGTACACTTTATGCAAACGTCTTTGAGGTGAGTGCTGCGGTACTCTTAACGTTCATTGCCCGCGGATTTGGCAGCATTCGGGTAGGAGGCCATTCGGTATTCTGCTTCTCGGCGATTGTTCAATCATCCATCGCCCTGGTTTTGCCAGGGTATACCGTCTTATGCAGCAGTCTTGAGCTACAGTCACACCAGATCGTGGCCGGCTCCATTCGACTGGTGTACACGTACATTTATTCCCTGTTTCTCGGATACGGGGTCACGGTCGGCATCACGGTGTATGGACTCATAGATAACGACGCCACGACCGAACCCACCTGTTCCGCGGCGAGTTTGGAGATATATGGAAATGAATACATCCAACATTTCGCCTTTGTGCCCATCTACTGCGCATTCGCGGCCCTGACCCACCAAGCCAAGTGGAAGCAGATACCAACGACAAGCTTTCTGGGAACCTGCGGCTATGTTACCAATTACTTAGGTACGAAGTACCTGGACTCGCGACTGGGAAGCACAATAGGCGCGTTTACCATTGGACTCCTGGCCAATATCTACAGCAGAGTTTGGCACGGACATGCCGCCGTAGTGATTGTGCCCGGAATTTTCACCCAAGTCTCTTCGGGTCTCGCTGCGAGCGGGTCGATCGTGTCTGGACTCGCCTACGCGAAGGCCGTCAAGCACAATGCCGCTGGGACAGACATTATCTCACAGGCATCGCTACAGAAAACCCTTTCGGCTCTTGGGTACAGCATGGTACAGACAGCATTAAGCATCACCGTGGGGCTATTCCTATCAGCTCTGGTTGTCTATCCACGAGGAAAGAAGCGCAGCGGGCTGTTTAGTCTCTGATGGGTTTTGCCGAGAGCATATGCCTGGGCGCTTGAATTCTATTGCTACGGGGGCGCCGGGGGTTTGGATTGAGGAGGAGGTGGGTCTTTGAGTCATGGCACGACCGATGTTCTGTCTTCCAATCCAGGAACCATGATCAACCATATGATTTATTTTCAAAATTTCCCTGTCTCTCTTACGGTCACTGCCTCATCACTCCGACTCTGTTTCCCGGGCGACTTTTTGATCACGGAACGAGACCCCGATTTCTTTGACAACCAACCACGCTGGTAGTAGTGCGATTGCCCAGAGACCGAAGTTCAAGTATATGCTACCGACGGACGCCATTATGGGCACACTCGAAAGACCGTACTAGTTCAATTAGTACGATACCGGCTGCGAAGGTCAAGATAGCACTTACGGAGACGGCTTGTACAGCGGATTCCGTCCCCCGCAGCAGACCCGCGAGACGGACGACTTCTTCCGAGTCGCGAGCGAGGTTTCCAATGACGAAATACCTATTTCATCAGTCTGGTCCATCAGTGAGCGTAAACGCAGGAGAGCTTACAGAAACATGTAATTCAGCTGGAACCCCGCGACCCAAAACACATACAAGGGGAACCCCCGACCAAAGCCCGGGTCCGCCCAATCGTAAGTTGGTTCATTCCGGTGATATTCAGTAACAATCACTGTAGCCCAGACCCACCAGCCCCCTTGCAACGCCATGATCGTGGCAAAGGCGCCTCGACTGCGCGACTTCAACGCTATCTTGGTCCGGTCCAAATAGGCACCGAGGATGTTCCCCGCGATGAGGGCTACGACCCCAGCTAGAAAGGACCCGAGCGCACGGGCACGAACCGAGAACCAGAGGGAGAGGTACGTGAACATGACCGCCTCAGTATACACCGCCTGGGCAATCAGTGGAACAATAAGAAGAAATTCCCGTCGGATGAACAATTTCGCCATAGCCTTTATCTCGAAGGATGTGCTACTCGCGATATGCAAACGCACTGGATGACCATCTGTCCGTTGGACCTTGTGCGGCGGCGTCAGCAGCAAACCGGCAAACGGACCGAGTGCTTGCAAGGCAATGAACACAAGGTACACGGCGTAGGAGACACTTCCTGCCGTGGAGCGGTCGGCATTGAGGCCCAGGTTGATGGCACCGCCCAAGATCTGGCCGCCGACGCGGAAGCTGAGCCAGAAGCCGAGGAAGCGACCCTGGGTGTAGGGTTCCGGATAAGACAAGGCGATGGCGGTCTCAGCCATCCAGAATAGGCCAGCGGAGAGGCCGCACAGCGCGGCGCCAAATATGGTCAGCCATTCTTTGTCGAAGCGGTTGTTAACGTACAGCCCTGCGGCATACGGAGCGTATCCCAAAGTGCCGACGATCAGAGTCCACTGGATTCCGATGTAGCGGACGACGACGCTGCCAAAGAAGCACGACACGACCATCAGACAGAAAGTTAGCGCGTTGGCTGCGTTGACTAGGTAGGGCTCCTGTTGTCCACCGCCCCCCAGGCTGGACATGGCGCCCCAGATTCCGGGTGCGAGGAAGTTGCATATTCCGAGGATTAGGGCGTTGTAGTATGTCGATCGGTACCATTTGACAGGGTGTTGGCCAGGTCTAGGCCCGGGAACCTCTTCATCCGTCGACTGGATGTTGTTCTTGTCGACTGTCATGCTGTGGATGTATCGTCTCCACGCCGCGCATATCCATATAGCCGGTGACACAGCTCTCTATGGATATATATAGACGAAGACTCAAGTGCCGGGAGAAGGCAGCAACCCCTATCGGGCGAGTACCGCAAGCCCGCCGTGGGATCCCTGTTGCATGCGATGTTGCGATTCGCGGGGAGATTACGTGCTCGCACGGCATTTTAGCAACGTTGGAGAAGAAGGATTCGACGATTCTAGCATTGATTGTCATCGATGCAGGAATAAATGAAAATTACTAGTTTTCTACATCATCAGTCGGCCTACGGTAAATAATGCTCAACAATGCCCATCAAAAAACATCAAAATTTCGTCGGATTCGTACGATAACACAGACCATTAGAAACATACGTCATTCATACCATCACCACCCAACAAAGTTAATCCCGATCCTCTGGATGAAATACAATCGCCCTCACCTCAATACTCTCACGTGGATTCTCGCCCTCTGTCTCGGGATTGACAAAGGCCGAATGGGGTGCCCGGCGTGAGCGCCCGTCCGTCTTCGAATCGAAGCACTTGATTAACGTGACAAGATCAGGGGTCTGCCCATAGCGATAATACCACTTAGCGGTTGGACTCTGCTTCACCGAGTATGTTTCCCCCACCCGCTCCGGATAGATCAGCTTGATCGGGATGAGGTCAGTATCCGGCACGGAGAGCGCATCCGCAACCGCGAGGGGGTCCTTCTTGATGGTCTTGACCGGTCGCCAGACGTTGATTATCTGGAACCGGCCCTTCAGCAGCTCCGGGGCGTCCTCCGGAATATGGTACTCGACGCGGTCTTTGGCAGCGGTGGGGGTCTGATCGACGTGGACTCCCTGGACCGGGCCTCTGTTGCCATTATCATTGCTCGACGAACGACGGATGGTGTGGTCAAAGATGAAAACGCGGGAGGCTCCGGTTCTATTTCCGTGTTAGGGGACCCCACATGGCGTAGTCGGACACCACTCACACATCCTTCAAGAGCTGCTCTGTCTCGGCGTAGTAATCGCGTTTGATGCGGTCCTCGTCGAGGAAGGTCTTCTCATTGCTGACGTGGTAATGGAATTGGAAGCCGTGGGTGTCGAGGGCGTAGTCCAGCTCGTGGCCGCTGACGTCGCGGACTGTGACGGGGACGGCCTCAATGGGACGCTCGTAGTAGGACTTGAGGTCACCGATGTAGTTGGGGGCAAGATGGGACCCATCTTCCATTTCCCGGAGGAAGTTCAGCGTCGTGTGCACATGGTGCGGTTTCTCGGGGGAGTGGGGGACGGCAGCTGGGACTGGTGCTGAGATAGCAGGGGCAGCTTGCTGGACTTGAGCGGAAGCCATGGTATCACGGTATGATGGTTTACAGTGAGATTATTGCTAGATGATTGCGATTATGACTCTTAACACCTATCTGTATCGACAGAGCTCGCCCATCTTATAGCCTCTTGGAGTTGAGGTACATTGAGGTGCATGGACATGCATTTGTCAGAGCACGCCATGCGCATAAGCAGGCTGATCAATCAACAGACGATTATACAATCTGACAGGATATTATGAACTAGCTCGAATGACTCACGAAGGAGATTGATCATCTGGCAGCGAATACTTTCTCTATTTATAATCACCTATAAGCACCATTATTCGATCTGTCTTCCGGGGCCTTGCGAGGCGAGCCCGTGGGAATAAGGATTTCTGCTGGCAGTATCCAGCCAATCTTAGTTTTGTCCATCTGGCCGCTATTGTCTGCTGTACAGGGTCAAGAGGTTATCTCCTTGGTACAAATCCGCGGTAATCATGCTGAGTACCTTGGGCGGCTATACTCAAAAGCGTGTCACAACTGCCTCTAGGTTTGTATCAACTTGGTCCGTGCCTGTTGAATGCAGACTTCATCTGATACGATTACCGTATGACAAGAATACTAGATTCACTTGATTGATATTATCAAGATCTTAAAGCACCTCGTACTAGACTATATGAGTCCAGCTACTTAATAAGTGGCAGTTCTGACTATTATATTCTATTATGTATGCAAAAACCCTGCATTGCCAATATATCTCTAAGCAAATTGATCATCCCGCATGGAACATATATAATCATCACTTCTGACCGTTTACACATTCGCGAATCTCGTCATACTCGTACCAATTTAGTAATCTTCGTCCCATCATCCAGCACCTCCCCTGCCTCCTGAAGACGGTACCCCCCCAGGCGAGGGAGCAGCACTGTCCATATATACCAATACACAACACCCAACAGCAACACCCCGCTGCCGACAATCGCATACGTGGCATAGAAGAACTGCACGTCCCCCTTGTGATCTGGTGGCGGGATCAGGGGCGCCACGAGCAGGGCAATACACACGAGGATCCGCAGCCACACGGCAGGCAGCCAAGCCTTGAAGGGGCGAAGCCGCGCGGGCTCCCGTCGACGCAGCAAGAGCAGACCGACCGTGACCGCCAGGGCGAGGATCTGAGCGGGGTAGCCTTCCACGTCGAGAATAAAGTTGTAGATATCTCCTTGAGGAGGGAGAGCGATGACTAGGATGGAGGGGACGTAGTGCACCATGAGGCCGCCGAGGGGAGAGCCGAAGGGTTTGGATGAGGAGAAGAAGCGCGAGTACGGTAGGAAGCCTTGTTTGGCAATTTCTTGGTTTAGACGGGACTGATATGGGTCAGAATGAGCGTTATGAAGCAAATGGAATGGATGATGCATACCAAAGCATAAATGACAACCATGACGTTCCCCCCCGCGGAGAGGGCGATCGCCAACGGGAAGGCGACGCGGCCGATGTGGGGACCAAAGAGACGGTCGAAAAGAAGCGCACCGACGAGCTCTCCGCCCTGCTTGATGTCTTCTGGGGGGATGACGAGGAAGTAGCTCGCATTTGCGAGCAGGTATAGCGCAGTCGCGGTGATCAGCGCGGCGGGACAGACGATGCGAAGGGTCTCGATTGGGCGATGAACTTCTGCCAGGACATTGTTGACGTTGTTCAGGCCCGCGTAGGAGTAGATGACCTTGAAGAGGGAGGTAGAGATCAAGTTCCAGCTCCAGTTTGAGCCCTCCCAGAGGGAATGCCACGCGGTGGGATCCTGTCGAGGAGCCGCGGGTCGCCAGAGGATGACCCACAGTCCGGTCAGGGACATAGTTGCGATCAAGACGATCTTGACCCAGCCTAACACGTTCTGCACGGCAACACCGACACGTGGAAAACAGCCATGGCAAAGCGTGATGGCCGTGAGAAGCCCGATGGCGAGGATTTTGACACCCGCGTCGGACGAGTGGGCCGCGTCCAGGGCAAACAGGGTGTACTTTGCAAACACAATGCAATTACTGGCAGTAAATCCGAGCAGGACGGCCTGAACGGCAATGAGAGTCGACGCGAGGAATCGCGGTCGGGGAAACGCATACTCGACGTACACCTGGATGGCGACAGAGTCAGTGTCAGCGTCGCAGCTGGAATCCAACTCCAACTCCAACTCCGCCCAGTCCGTCACTCGCCTTGTCGCCCCCCGAGTGAGGAAACATGGTCCCCCATTCTATGGAGACGGCCATGCCGCACGCGGCGAGGACCGTTCCGACGACCCATATCAGAAGGGAAAGTCCGATGCTGCCAGAAGAGCGGAAGATGGACCCGGGGGTGGCGAAGATGCCGCTGCCGATGACACGGGAGATGACGAGAATGTATGCGCTCGCAGGGGTCAGGATGGTTCTTGGTCCATGCTGGATGGGGTTCAACAACGGTTGTCGTTCAATCTGATCCATCGATATGATGTTGCTTTGGCAAGTTGGGAGTCGAAGGGAATCCGGCCGGCGGACATCTCGTTAGGTTGTCGCATATCGATGGTGTTGGTATGTGAGGAAGAATGCAGGCACGTCATTATGGGCGCGAAGTGTCTGATTGATCTGATCAGGGCTGGGATACTGATAAATACCAGCAAAACCAATCAATGCGGCCAAGTATGGCGCTGTAGTAGAAGTGGGATGGTTGCTCCATTTGCCCGTAACCCTAATGATCGACACTGTCAGATCATCCCGACCCTCGATCACATCATCGTCTCCATTTCTCGCCCACCGGGTCAACCCAACTCGATCCCATCGTAATTTACCCCTAGTATTCTGCTGTCCACTGACGAACCATTCGGGTCCGATTATGCCATGATCCTCCCTGGTCTCGTTTCATCACGCCATCCAACCCCGCTATGCGCAATGCTTAGCAGCACTTTTCGCCGGGAATAGCGTCACCAACTCTTACACGACCCTGCCAATTACGCAGGTCGTGGAAGACCCTTCTCTCTGCGAATCATATCCGTTGGGGTCGAGTTTTTTTTAGGCCGTGGAGTAGTACGTGCTGAGCCTGGGCCACCCTTCGTTATTCGGCCGAATAACTTCCCAGATATATCGCCCACCGCGCATGAAAAGCCACGATGGTCTTTGCTGCAATATTCCATGACGTGTTGAAAGAGTTAAGTCACTGTCTTAATATACATCATGACCACCGCAACGTATACGCTGTCCTCATTCGAGAAGCCCTCGGTCGTCCACGAGGAGATCTATGAACCACACGATCGGTACATCGCGCCCGATCCTATTAGACGATCTTCGTCTACCCAGAGGGCACTGTTGCTGCAGGCAGCGCGCGAACAGTACACACTGGTGCACGATCATGCCATACCAAACCCAGCCCGGGGTGAGATTCTCGTCAAGGTATGTGGCCTGATCTAATCTTCCTACCAATCATTGCTGTTCCCCCCGGCTATAGGCTAATATCTATTAGATCGTGGCGATCGGGTTGAACCCCGTCGATTGGAAGGGCCCGTACGTCCTGTTCCCTACGCCTTGCATCGTCGATCCATACTAATCAATCCAGGGCTTTCAACTTCGGCATCCCTCGTCTTCCCTGGATTAACGGGCGCGATCTCGCCGGCGTCATCGTCTCCCCTACGGACGAGTCGTCTCGCGTACAGCAAGGCGACCTGGTGCTAGTCCCCTCCACCGACTACCGAGACATTCGTAAGGCAGCCTTCCAAGAATACGCCATCGCGACGGCCTACAATGCCGCGCGCATACCCTCCTCGCAGTGCGTCTACGCGTCGGCCTCCCTCGGCGTGGCCTTTGTGGCTTCCGTTCTCGCCCTCGGTGTCTCCTTCGGCATCGATTTTTCGAAGAACTCTACCGGCGAGGGCCCCGACCTCGTCCGCACAATCCGCTCTCTAAACCGCGACAACATCCCGGCTGACATCCTCGACGAAACCTTCTCCTGTACTTTGCCCGGTGCGGACCGCGCTCAACCTGGTGACTGGCTCGCCATCTGGGGTGGTATGTCCTCTCCATCCCTCTTTATCCATCCTTGGGAAAAAAACTAACCGAAACAGCATCCACCACAACCGGCTACATCACCCTCCAACTAGCCAAGCTCGCCGGTCTACACGTCATCTGCGTAGCCGACGTTGCCGCCCACGGGCGCAAACTTCACGGCGCAGGCGCCGATATTCTCATCGACCGACGGGACCCAGAGCGGGCCGTCGAAATCATCCGGGGCGTAACAGGCGGGCGGCTACGGTACGCGATCGACTTCGTCGGGCGCGAGACGGCCACGCTGCTCGAGCGTACACTAGACGGGATCAACGGGGACGCCAAAGCGCACCTGCTAGGCTTGACGGGTCTACCGAAGGAGCGGCAGCCAGGAATCGCGTACCATACTGTCCCCATCAAGCTGTTCCATCTGTCTCCCGAGGTTGGGGAGACCATGGTAGTTTGGCTGGAGAGTCTGCTGCGGGATGGGACGTTGCAGTTACCGGAGATTGTGCGATCGCCTGGGGGGTTGGGGAGCGTGAATACTTCTTTGGAGATGCTGAAGGATGGGACTGCGTCTGGGAAGAGGGTGGTTGTTGATTTGAAGTGATCTTTTTTTTACTTTTTCCACCTTCTCTTTTGCTTTACTGACGATCTTTATGGTTATGGTTATGGTGCATATGGTGTTGTGATATCCCGGTTTGATATATGAGTATTATGAATTGATCATACTATTTATTAGATATTATCATGAGGATGGATATGTTGCGTGATGGGTTAGGCCGGTAAAAAAAGAAGATAGGGCTTCGCAGGTCACGCCCAGCAGCCTCAGGCATTGAACCATAACCAACAATCAATAGAATCAGAATCAGGATAATTGACAAGGATCATCTCCAACTCCTCCAATTACTTCTTCTCCAACTTTTGTTCCGGCGTATGTTCTACTGTTTGAGGATAGGTACAGGTGGAAGGATAGGAGAGTACCCCGCCATTCACCATCCCGGCCAAACTGGCGCAATCGCGCATGTCTCGCACGTCTTCGGCAGCAGATGCAGCCAACCAAGGATTGTCTACTATCAGTCGGACAACAGACCGATGTCGACATTGTAGTGGGGTGTCTAATGCTATCGGAGAGTTATCGTATAGAATTTTTGTCTTAACGGCCTAAATTGTTAGATTGCTATATATATAAAGTTGCCTTCCTCGTAGAATATAACTTGTTCTTGAATTGCAAATCAATTCCTTCACTACAACCATCACCAGCATCAAAAGCAAAGTTAAGACAGAAACAAAGAGAAAGCACAATGGGCTCCGCACCCAAAAAACAACTCATCCTCAATGCGTTCGCGATGCAATCCCCGTCGCACCTGAACCCCGGGCTGCACCGGCACCCCAACGACAAAGGCCGCGAGTACAAAAACATCCAAAACTGGATCAGCCTGGCTCAAAAACTCGAGGCCGCCAAATTCCACGCCATCTTCTTCGCCGACGTCCTAGGCGGCTACGACGTCTACCGCGGCCCTGGCAACCTGCACCCGACCATCCCAGCCGGAGCACAATTCCCCATCAACGATCCGCTGTACTCAGTCCCAGCCATGGCAGCTGCGACAGAGACAATCAGCTTCGGAGTGACAGCGTCGACGACATACGAGGCACCGTACGCGCTCGCACGCCGCTTCTCAACAGTGGACCACCTTACGAACGGTCGCATCGGATGGAACATCGTGACGAGCTACCTCGAGAGCGCGGCACGAAACTTCGGGCTAGACACGCAAATCGAGCACGACGAGCGGTATCGCATTGCAGACGAGTACCTGGACGTGACATACAAGCTGTGGGAGGGGTCGTGGCGGGACGATGCCGTGCAGCCTAAGGACGGCAAATTGGGGTATGCGGATCCCGACGGGGTGAGGCAGATCAACCATGCTGGGAAGTACTTTACCGTTCCCGGGCCACATCTTTGTGAGCCGAGTGTGCAGCGCACGCCGTTTTTGCTGCAGGCGGGGACGTCGAGTGCCGGGAAGGCGTTCGCGGCGAAGCATGCGGAGGCGATCTTCTTGCATGCGCAACAGCCGGAGCTGGTGAGACCCAGTGTGGACAGTGTGCGGGAGCAGGCGCGTCAGGCTGGGCGCGACGGAGCGGCAATTAAGGTGATTGCTGGGGTGTTGGTGATTGTTGCGGAGACGGACGAGGCGGCCCATGCGAAGTTCGACGCGCTGACGCAATATGGGGATCGCGAAGGCGCGCTGGCGTTGTTTGGGGGGTGGACTGGATACGATCTGTCGAAGTGGGGAGATGACGAGGATTTCCGGTTTGTGGAGCAGCCGGCTGTGCGGAGCATGGTGAATCACTGGGCGAGCACGGTGCCGGGGACGCAGAAGAAGTGGGATAAGAAGACGATTGCCGAGTATTTGGTGCTCGGGGGGAATGGTTGCAAGATTATTGGGAGTGTGCAGACGGTGGCGGATGAGTTGGAGAGGTGGGTGTCGGTCGGGGATGTGGATGGCTTCAATTTGAGCTATGCCAGTGTGCCCGATACATTTGACGATGTCATCACGTATTTGATTCCGGAATTGCAGCGGAGGGGGGTGTTCCATACCGACTATGAGGTGCCCGGGGGGAGTATGCGCGAGAACATGTATGGGGTGCAGGGACACACACGGTTGCCGGAGACGCATCCGGGGGCGACGTATTTCTGGAAGGGAGGTGAAACTGTTCCGAAGTATGCTGCTTGAAGAGAATATTATATAGTGACGGCAATATGAGATATATTTGATATGATGTCGATATATTATTACGCATTTTGCCTAAATAAGAGAACACTACGTACATATTTGAAAGAATCATGAGTACTCTATAGTCGAGAGGTAACGGCGTCTATTTATGCTGCTTGAATACAAACTCGTAGAAAATATGGGTCGCGACGAAGATCAATTCTAAACATCCCACCACCCCTCCAGATACGACCGCAAATCCACATCTCCAGGCCTCATCAAATGCGGTGTCAGATCAACCTCCTCACCCTGCATCTCCCGCTCCGTCCAGCCATTCCCCATAAACGCAAACCGATTCCCACTTGGATTGACATACTCATACTCCCAGTCCTCCCAGCGAGGATCCCTCCGAACAGCATTTAAATGCACTGCACTGCCAGGAAACAGACCGTGGACGCGCCCTCCGGGTTTTCCACCATTATACCATGAACGACAGTTCCGCTTCCCGGGCGCGGAATCATCGTTGGCGGTCCAAACGGTTTTGGGGTAGAACGCGTCCGCATACTGCACAAAGTCATCTGTCGCCTGCCGCGACGGCGCCATAGACTTAATGCCGTGGCCGCGGAGCTTGCGCACCACCTTGGCGATGTAGGTGATTTGGTTTTCCAAACTGTTGGGGACGCTGCCACCGTGACCGGTGGACTGGGGGCCGCCGATCCAGAGGAGGTTGGGGAAGCCCGGGACGGCGACGCCGAGGTAGTTGTAGGGATAGCCGAACAGGCCGTTTGATGTCCAGGCAGATTTGAGGTCGATATTATTGGCGATAATGCTGAACGGGGGCGCGTGGTCGACGTTGGCGCCGGTTGCGCAGATCACGATGTCGGCGGGGCGGTGGGTGCCGTCAGCGGCCACGATGCCGGTGGGTGTAAAGTGGGTGATGGGATCGGTGATGTAATCGACGTTGGGCTTGGTCAAAGCCTCGAGGTAGCCTGGGCCTGGGGTGGCTCGACGACAGGCGGGGTAGAAGTCGGGGATCAGTTTGTCGGCGAGCGAGGGCTTGTCGGCAACGCGTTGGACCATGAGACGGCTCCAGTTTTCACGCAGGGATTCGTTCTCAGGAGAGTCCTTAAAGATGGCACCGAAGCGCGAGAAGTAGCCCTGTTCAATGGACTTGCGGTAGCGGAGGTATGTGTCGGGGTCGTGGAAGGAGTCGAGCTGGTCCTGGGAGATGAGGTTGGGTTCGAGACGGCGTACTCCCGTGGCGGCATTGCCGAATGAATCGGCGATCCAGGTGCGGTTGCGGGCGTAGTGGTCGACGTGGGTAGCGATTGGTTGGATGGAGGGTAGGACTTGGAGGCCAGACGCGCCGTTGCCGATGAGGGCGATACGCTTGTCGGTCAGGTTGACGGAGTGGTCCCAGTTGGAGGAGTGGAAAAGTGCACCTTGGAAAGTGTCCATGCCGGGGTAGTCGGGGAGTTTCCAGGCGTTGAAGTGGCCAATGGCGGGGATGAGGACATCCAGGTCTTCGTCGTATTGCTGAAGGGTTAGTACACAGTTTGTCTCTATGGATGGCTTTAGACATACTCTCTTATTGTCTCTCAGGTCCTGCAAGGTGACTCTCCACTTGCCGTCCTCAGGGATCCAAACCGCCCCCGCGACCTTCTGCTGCAGTCGCAGATACTGGTCTACCTCGAACTTTTTGACAAGTCCCTGCCAGTACTCGCGGATCTCCTTTCCCTGAGCAAACTCCTCCGTCCATTGTGTATTCGGCGCAAACCCAGACTGGTAGACGTGGGCGGGAATATCACATCGCACGCCGGGGTAGGTGTTCTCATACCATGTTCCACCCTAATTTGTTAGCGAATTGTATGAACGAGACTGGAAAAACATACCGCTTCTGGGTTCTTGTCATAAATCCGAAGATCCAGACCGGGTAATTTGGCGGGAAGGAGGATGCCTGCAGTGATGCCTGCAATGCCGGCGCCAATGATGCCGACTTTGATCGGGCGGACACGATCGATGGGATGGTCTTCTAGTTCAAACGCGGGCTTTTGTTCATGATTGCCTGATGCGCCGTTCGTAGCTGCAGCCGGCAGACCAGCCGAATCTGATTGAGTTGGATTGACGAGAGAAGCACCCTTGGTATTCAGAGACAGCGGCTTTTCAACCGCAATGGGTGTTTCAATGGAACCCATGGTTGATCTTGAGAAATATGCACAGCCAAAGCAGTCGCGCGACAGCTCGACTTTTACCAACCAGCCTTATAATGATGTCGGTTGCCGCGGGGAAAGTCCGAGGTGTAGCTAGCCCATGCGGGGCCACGTCGTCTGATTGTGTCCCCAATTAACAACCCCTCTGCACGCCATCGGAAAGCTATCTGAGCTCTTCGCGCGGCGTACATTCAATGTTGCAATGTTTCATACTTCTGGCGTTGGGGTAATCGATAAGGGCGGATGGCGGGTTGGGCTAGTGCGCACACAATTGGGGTGCGTGATGGTGTCACGGTGGTTGGCGTTTTGCAAATGTGGTTCTTGACAGGGATGTATTACGTGTATTTATTTGAGAGCTAACTCAAAAAAATCCCAAAATGGTATTCGAGAGTTTGATTGGTTTATTAAGATTGATTGATTATGTAGTTGATATTTACCATGTGTGGTGCCTACAGTTGGTTGCACGGATCCCGTGACACAACATAGCCCTACAAAGTCCGTCAACACCTCCGATAGGGAGTAGACTTCATTAATGCAGATAAATCAAAAATTCATTCCATGTCCCGCATAACGCCTACCGCAAACCTCGTCACCAAGACAGTAACTGTATACCCAAACGACACCAATGAACCTACCATCAGTAACTTATCGATACCGTACTTCCAATCATGCCTTCGGTATCGACTAGAACCCTGAGCTCCGAAAGAGCTTTCCTACATCCTTCGGTAGAACCGCGGTCCTCGGGGACGACATAGAACTCAAGAAAGACGCCTGGTTCTATGCCAGCAAAAAAATCAGCGCTATCCTTGATAAAGAGACTGTCTTCAATGAACATTGAAATCAAGACATCAACAAGGCTGCTGAGGCTATCAAACAGACCCTCGACGGGGAAATACGCGAAATGTTTTGTCAGATCATCGCTCTCCCTCGGCGCCTCGAGACGAACTCTGACTACCTCTGTTGGGTGAATGACAAAGGACTGATTCGGATCATAGAATTCGTATCGTAGACCCATAATGACTAGATGCTGTGTTCTGTCAGAAACAGGGTGGGGCTTACTTACTTGATCATGGGGGGGCGAGCGCTAGGAGCGATGAATATTGAACATCATGGGGGCAAATTGTAGTACTTATAGTATCGGGGGGGGTGAGAGCATTGTGGGGCGACGTATAATTGGCATAGATAATAAAGAGACGCGGATGATTGCATTATATGAACAACGATGGGTTGAGCCGTCTTTGTCTCGGGAGACAAAACAATAAAGACTGCCATGGAGGTCGTGTCTTTCAGTTCATTGTCTGGCATAACAATGACCACAAAGTTAGCTCTCTACAACGAGAAGTTTTCGCGAGCTCGAAGGAAAAGAGTCCGACAGTGGATGGAGAAGAGCTTCCACCTTTAAAGCGCATCATACCTCGAGCAAACAAAGGACTTAGGTGGAGTTATGCTCGAGAAAGGAGCCGAGAATAATCACGTCTCATTTTGGCCCTGAATAAAGTTGCGTAAGGTGTGAGTGGAATGATGCCTGTATGCGCATGCAACATCAATGAAGAGCAATGATGAAGCAATTCTATGGGTGGTGAAATGGTACCAGAATCGAACAGGTGCTTCTTACAGCTGTTGAGGTTGACATTTTGGTTCTATACGTTTGGGGCTGTTTTCAATTTGCCCAGTGCTGTTAGCGAGACTACTTGCGGTTGTATATAACCCAAGAAAAGGCTAGGTGGTGACGTTGTGTACCACTACTCGAGACCCTACTGTGTTTGCTACTTCAGTTGGTATGTTGATTGGATCAAATTAAACCCCCATTTTGTTTATTGTTGATGCTGCATTACAAATTTGATAACACATTGAAATCCAACGACAATTTAGTATCCCCAAGCTCCATCTCACCATGTGTTATCATAAAACAGAACATTGACGTTTCAAACTCCCCATTTCACCCATCGGTATTCAAACTCCCTAACCCATTCGACACCCTCTCTCTTAAAAAGAAAATCCAAGACAATTTCGTATTCAGTAACCTAGTCACATCAGTTGTTAAGTCAAGTAAGGACTGTTGGAATTCCAAACTAACCGATTTCATCAATCATTATTCAATTTTCCTTTCTCCTCCAATGTGCCATGCCTCATGAGCAAGGGCAAGACATAATTCTCAATTAACCAGAATGTTGATAGTGGATTCTCAGCTCCCGGATGGCACGGCTGATCAATCCATGATAGCTCACATTGCCTCCGACAAGGAACTCTAGCTGGACGCCACCAACCATTGAATCATCCACATAGTCAGTGAAATGGGCCCCTCCATCTCTGACTATTGCCATACACTCTTGCAGCAAGTGACCTTTGTTGTCAAAAAGGCCAACGATTGGAATGAAGACGAACATCCGATGGAGGCGCCTAGAGGGAGCTCGGCCAAATCCAAATCTGACAACGGAATACGGGCCAATGCTAATGGTCTCGTCCAGGTCGAAAGTACGGTTAAGCAAGCGGCGGAACATCGCGATGGTGGTTTGGATTAACGTCGATAAAGATGGTGAGACCTAATTGGATTGACTTCAGTGGATAGACGAGCGTGGACTGACTGAAGCGAACTGTAGTAGATTGAAGGAAGATGGAGCAGGTAGAAGAGGATATGGAATGGATAGAGAAGAAAACCATACTGAAGGAAATATGGGGGTATTTATATTCGTAGGAAGGCCAGATAATCTGATGAAGCTATACAGAATGTATGCTGATTGGCATCTCTCAGGAATGAGTTATGGATAGTTTTATATACCAGTGATAGAATCAATGAACAATGATAGTGCATATGATGAGGTCATGTTTGTGTCAGTAAGGGCTCTTTCTTTGTTATAGCAAAGCCCTGAGGATAACATGTTTGCTATATAGAGCTTGATCTTATCAATCACCAAGTGATTGTTTTAACTACTTATCACTGATCATGTATTCATGGATGATAGTCTTCCCAAGTGATTTAGGTGTCATCATCATTCATGTATAGATGTAGTAGATACAACAGCACCAGTCATACTCGAGGAAGATGGATAATCATAAGCTATAGGAATAGTTCAGGGACTCTGTCATAGCGGAAAAATCCATCAATGCAAGCTTGTATAAGGAATATAGTGAATTTCATCTCTTAGTAACGCCAAATATATGCTATTAACTTAAAACTAAGACATCCTGGCAAGTTAATATACATCATAATCATGACCACTATGGATAGTTGCTGGCATATCTTCTAGGTGAAATTATCAAGGTCAGACCCCCAAACATGCCAAGTTCCAAGACCCTTAGATCACTCCTCCTAACCTTGTAGACAGTAGATCAGATTGATGATAGTATGTGTTGTAATATCAGTCAGGTCAAACCCTATATCTAGCGTTGGGAAACGTTTGGGTGTAGGATTTGCGAGAGTATGTCTGCAGTAGCTGTAGGAGCCGCAGTCTATACTTCGTGTGGTGCTCTGATTGCACACCTATCTCCCAGAGCACACCGAAGTTGTATACCGGGACACTAAAACCCAGAACTCGACGGGTGTCTTTTACATTCTGCCTTACTACTGTGAAAATTGATAATATTTCAAGTCAAAACCAGTCTGTTAATGCTTGAAGATAACTTGCAAGATAGTATAAACACCACTCCGATCTCTATTCATAATCCACCATCACTAGAATGCTCTGTGTTGTGCAATTTGTTAGCCAAACGCAGAAGAATCTCGCGTAATCTACTGGTCGGCATAGATGTTAACGAATTTGATAGCATCATCAACACCACTAGGTCTGATGGGATGGTAAAAGAACTGAAGCCAGACCCCACCAACATACTTCTTGTCGAGGCTGTCTTTCCAGGCGGCGTTGCCTTTGTTGATTTGTTCAATCACATTGTCGGCGAGATGACGCCGATCATTGTAGAAACCAAGGATGGGGACAAACACAAACCCTTTTTTCAGCACAGGAGATTGTAATTCATGATGAGTATTGAGTTCGATTATGGTAAGAGGATTGATGCTGAAGGCAGAGGTAGGGTCGGACGGACGGTTCAGTACCGTAGCCATTGTGGTTGAGGCTATTTATTAGGCTGGGAGTAAACTTGGTATGTATGAACGACCTGGTGTTTAGAATCTTGCGAGGTTGGATGATTGAACTGGCTTAGGTAGATACTTGAAGCAGTGCAAGGTGTTGATATCATTAAGACAATTGGGAATGGGGGTATTTATAGTCTCACGGAGTAGGTACATCATGATATATCAATGCTCTTTATTATTCCAATTTGTCTCAGATGATTTTTTATAGTGACCAAAGGGTAAATTAGTGGCCTTGATACGGATGACAAGGTATACAAAGGAAACTGTCGAGTCCATTATTGGCATCGATAACGGCATAATGATCAAAGCCTTTATTACAGAATGAAAGGATATATATGAAAGAAGACAATGATGCTATCAGAAATTCTCAAACTTCGAAGCGAAATCAATGAAACTAATCAGATTTTTGATCATGTAAATGATACATACAAGCTCTTTAAGATCGGGATTCTTGAGGTTCACCATGTAAAAAGTGTATGTTTGGATAGCTTCATGACTACTGATTGGGCGTATAGAATCAGCAATTCCAATGAGCCAATTAGTCATTCTTCAAAGCAAATTTCCATTTGTGCATAGCCTGTTAAATCATATCACAAATAGTTCAGTCGGTCTTATTTGATAGATCAGCTGGATATTGTTTTCCTGTCGTCTGTCCTGTTGGTATTTACGAAGAGTGGAATCTACGAGACACACGGAAAGAAAGGTTGTACTGGGTCTGTCTGGTTGGTGTTTCAAACACATAACTACCACTGGTTCTCCAACTCTGTAGGAAAAGGGCGTTTGAACATATATAATCCTACTACAATTTCACATAGCATTCTACTACCTACAATATTTCGATAGCGCTTAAAATCCTCAACAATATTCCAATTTGATTATAATATCCCAATTTCAGGTAATGATGACAAAAAACCCCCAACCCGCGCCCAATTCTAGAAGATTCCCTAGTACTGTTACAGAGATACCAGAATCCCAACCCCTAGTAAGCCCCATGCCTATGTTTCCTTAGTCAATTTGCCCACATAGTCAAGTGTCAAGTATAACTTACTTCAAATTCCACTGCTCACAGCACACGTTAAGATATTCGCGTAGATACTCGACAGCACAGGCTTTGGGCTCCGGGTAGCTGTCATTATCAAAGTACTCAAACCAAATGCCACCGTAAAGTTCGTTATCGATCTGGTTTGTAAAAATCGCTCTGCCTGCTCCAATTTCGTTGATCATGTGATGAAGGAGCAGGTACTGAGAGTAGGTTCCGGCGAGCGGAACGAATGCGAAGCGCCGTTCAAAGCCGGAATAGTTTATTTGCTCGATGACATTGAGATTGACGATCTCTTCCTTTTCAATAGTCATGTCTCCCAGCAAGCCGGGCGCAAGACACAGGGGCAGCTCAGACATTGTAGATGGTTGCTGGTGTGATTTGCTGGAATTGGATTATGATATTGATGATTCGGCTATCTGCTGGTGATGTTTGAGATGTGGGTAGACAGTATAGAGGTGAAACTAGTTGCTGATAGCGCTGAAATAGGTGGGAACAAGACTTTTTATATCATCAGAAGCAAGTATATGCATAGAACAATATATGATGTCTTTCTAACAATGAATAAAGAGTCATGAACTGGGTTGCATGATATAGCATTGTCAGAGCAGTCATTGTTTATAATCACAATGATATTATTGCAGGATAAGATGACATCTGTCATAAAGTAATTGTTAATTCATCAGACATAAAAGTAGTAACTCGATAATGAAATAAAGAGATTATCTTTTGTCAAAAGATTCTTTGCTGGATGAAAGAGCCACCTGGAAACAAGAGCTTCTGGACGTACAAGACTTACACAAGACTGCATATGACAATGCCCAAGCAGTGAAATTGAGACTGCATCAAATTCGCGAGGTAGTAGGGCAGATAATGACATCATGTTATGGACCAAATCTAGAACAAGTACAGCTCTCATCGCCTAGGTCATGGCAACAGACCCTTGGTCAAGTCGCCGGAATTCTATCTTGTACATCACAACATGTCATTGCCTGGCTAGTTGACAGAACAGATAGCTTGTCGTGTGTTAACTCAAGTAATCATGTCATATGAGCCGCTACGTGTTTATTTAGATATAATTTACCGGGAACGGGCACTGGGACATACAACTCAGAGGTCTAGTGTGCAAGGCTAGAGTATCAACGACGGAGCACCTGGACAGGAAGGGTAGACAATTTATACTATATCTACTTGTGTGCTAGCTTGTATAACACGAAGTTCAAGTACTACGTGCCTTACTAGAAAGGCTAACAAGGTATATTATATCTTTGATCTATGGATTGTTGGTTGTCTGTACTGTATTTGGAGCAAGCATAGAGTTCTTAATGTTGGCATAATCTGAAATCAAACATGAGCTGTATTCAATCTAGTCTATTATATATTTCGACACATCGTCATTCAAATTCCTGTAACCCTATCAGTATAGCGAAAACATAATCACTCTTCCTACAGACAACGCGGTCTGGCAAAATCGTCCGACGCTCAGACATTGCCATTCTTAGCATTGGTATGAAACTCCTGGAGGCCACCAATGGCATACGCGGACAACTTCTCAATGTCCTCTCCCCCGATGTACTGGAACCAGACCCCACCAAGAAGATTCTCATCGAGCACGTTAGTGTGGGTGGCTCGGTTGAACTGAATATATACAGACATCTCCCTGACAAGATGGGTCAGGTTATTGAAACTACCAGTAATCGGCACGAACACAAGGCACCGCTGGTTGCCGGGGTCATGTGGGACCTTTACATCGATATTTAGCCTCAGGGTGGTATGGGCCTCGATGATTAGGGCTTTTTCTGGGTCCCATACATAGTGTTGTGGAAGGGAGATAAACATATTGAATGCTCGGTTGCGATCTGCTAGAATAAAAGAGTGGATGGTTCAAGGGACGATTGAAATTGGGTTGAGGTGGTGGATGGATAACTATTATGCTTTCCAGACGCGGGGATTAGAGTATTTATACTCGTAACATAGAGATGGAACTGCATTGCATATTGATGTTTAATCTTTACAACCATCTGGAACAAAGGAACCGAAAAACTAAGCATTATTCCTTTGTGTTGACAATGACATGTCTCAGCTACTCATTCGTAGCTTTCATGTGTGGGACAAAGCTTCGATCCAGTTGATTGTCATTACTGGGGACGGTTCGAGTGTTTAAAGACGATCGTCTGGGAACAGGCGTCGTACAGAATCATAGAATACTTGTGTCATATCGTGGAGATGATCGGGACCAATAATATAACATTGACCAGTTGCCAGCGGCGACCCGATTAGGACAAGGCTGGTTTGACCTTGCAGCACCCCGCATATCAAATATCGATCAGCGGATGAAAACTCATCCCATGTCCTATCCACCACTCAAAATACCGATATATCAAACTGCAACTACCATAATGTCCCGTCTTTCTGACTACCGCCTCCTGACCTTCGATGTCTACGGCACGCTGGTAGACTGGGAAACGGGGATTCTCACCGCACTATCCCCGCTTCTCTCCCGCAGCACCTTGAACTTCACACGGCAACAAACCCTATCCATATACCAAGAGCACGAAAGCAAACAGCAAATTCTCACTCCAGACATGGCCTACTCCACCCTCCTAACAACCATCCACCCCGCCCTAGCCAAGTCATTCTCCGCGCCGCCCCCAACGGCAACCGACAGCGCCGCGTTCGGAGCTTCCATCGGCACGTGGCCCGCCTTCCCCGACACAGTCAACGCCTTGAGCCGTCTCTCAAAGCGGTACAAGCTGGTTGTGCTGTCCAACGTGGACCGGGCCTCGTTCGCGAAGACCAACGAAGGCAGTCTGCAGGGGTTCCCATTCGACTTGATCATCACGGCGGAGGATATCGGGTCATATAAGCCGAATGTGCGAAACTTTGAGTACATGCTGGGGGCTGTGGGGGAGAAGTTTGGAGTGGCGAAGGGCGAGGTGCTGCAGACGGCACAGAGCCAGTACCATGATCATCATCCGGCACGGAAGGTAGGAATCAAGTCTGTGTGGATTGAGAGGGAGGGAGGGACGATGGGAAATATGGAGGAGAAGGTGTTCGATTGGCGGTTTGGGACGTTACGGGAGATGGCGGATGCGGTGGATGGCGTATAGATGGCATTTTGCCGTGTGGGCATTCCGATATTTCCCTTATAATCGGTAGGAATAGGATGCTGGTTTTCAGGACTGTAGAGAGATCAATACTTAGGGCATGAACAAAAGAACTTGGTTTGTTTGTGTGGTAGAGCATGCATAGCAGGTCTCTTGAGCTTCATCCCGCCCCTCGTCCACTTGTTCCCAACATACCATAATACCTGAATGTCGACCGAGTGTTAAGACCGAAGATAGGTGGAAGAAAACCAAAACTATCGACCAACAGACACACCCGCCATGCCCAATATAGCCAATGCCATACCAGGCCCACGATAACCGACAAGTATATCAGCCTCGGGCCGACAAGCGGGGAAATCCGCATCAAACCCCATATATAGAGCTCCACTTCCCCACACCCCACCTCCACATCCTCCACTTCAATAAGCAAGTACAAAAGACAAAACGACCCAAAGCCAAGACCTAAGAACACTATGACAACAGACGCAAGCACAGCGGAGCCTCCTCCCGCCCGCCCCCAGCGCACCCTCGCCGGCCGCGTCGCAATCGTCACTGGCGCCGGCGCAGTAGGAGACGGGATCGGCAACGGCCGCGCAGCAGCAATACTCCTCGCAGAAGACCACAGCGCGGTAGTTTGCGTTGACCGCGATCTCGCCCTCGCACAACGCACCGTCGACATGATCCTTGAGGACAACCCGTCCGCCCAGGCAATGGCCATCCAAGCAGACGTGACAGTGCCTGCAGACTGCGAGAAGGTAGTAGAGACAGCGGTGTCCAGCTATGGACGGGTCGACATTTTATTCAACTGCGTTGGGGTGGGCGGTCCGAAGGGCACAGCCGTGGAGGTGGACATTGCTGCGTGGACGGCAGGGCTGAACACCAACGTGACGAGCATGGTGCTGATGGCCAAGTATGCGATTCCAGCGATGGCGCGGAACGACAACGCGCGGGGATATCGCGGCAGTATTGTCAACATGGGGTCTGTGGCGGGACTACAGGGGGGAACTCCGCACTTGCTCTATCCAACGAGTAAGGGGGCAATTGTTAATATGACGCGCGCGCAAGCGGCGCAGCATGCGCGGGATGGGGTCCGTGTTAACTGTGTTTGTCCCGGGATGGTGTATACGCCGATGATGTATGCGGGGGGTATGAGCGAGGAGGCGAGGCAAGCGAGGCGGAATCGCAGCTTGTTGAAGACGGAGGGGACGGCTTGGGATGTGGGCTGTGCGGTGCGGTTTTTGGCGGGCGATGAGGCGCGCTGGATGACTGGGGTGGTGTTGCCTGTTGATGGGGGAACGACGGCTGCGACGGCGGAGTTACCCAAGGGGTCGAGTGTGAGTGAATAGATCGGTAGGATCAAACAGTATAGACGAGCGGTTCTAGATAAATATAAATGGTGAAATGTCGATCATATGTATATACAGGCTTGTATGTACTCTATTAAACAAGTAGCATCAAGATACAACCAAAACGGCAACGCCCCACGCCGCCATCTTGACCTCATAGATTCCATCCGGATTATCTACTTCCTGCTTCTGCGGAAGAATCTGTACATCATGCGGCAGGTTGGCCGTTTCCTTGGGGCCCTCAAGTTTATGCAACGTCCCGGACATCGTTTCCGGCACAGTGATCGTGATTGTCTGCTCCTCGTCTCCGTAGTTCGCAAGTTTGACGATGTATGATTCGTCGTTCTTAGATGCACCCCAGTATAAGGGTCCAAAAGGATTCGTGGTATTAACCGGGAGAATGGTGGAGCCACGGTTGGTTGAGAACATCTGCTGCACGTAGTAGGACGTGGAAAGAGTGAGGGAGCCGGGGCTCGAGTCCAAACCGAACATCGTAGGCTGCTTTGTTAGCATTATAAACGGCGGCGCCACCCACCCCCGACGTAGGTGCACTTACCGACCACTGTGTGAAGCCATAATGTTGCAGCAGTGGGGCATAGGCGGCCATTTTGATGATGTCACTATTCCGCTCAATCCCAATCATATGCACCGCCTCACTACACGCCATCTGCATGAACGTCCAGAACACGCCATCGGGGTCGGTGAAATTACGGGCCCCAAACTCGCCGACAATCACAGGCTGGTCCCGGGGCTGGTTGTCCCAGTAGTTGAACATAGCCACCAGCTCATCCGGCTTGCGGTAGTAGTGTTGGTCCAAAGTCAGGGGCTTCGGAAGTTCCTCGGGTAGACACTCAGGCTTCATCGTGCTGGCGATCAAGACAAGATCGGGGTACTTCTCCCGCAAGACATTGTAAAACTGGGTAAAGCGTTCGGGGTGAGTTTCGCATCCACCTGTGTAGTCGTCCTCGTTACCGATGCCGACGTAAGTCAGTTTCCAGGGCTCTTCGCGGCCGTTCTGAACGCGCAGCTTGCCATAGATGCTATCCGGGGGCCCGGTCAAATACTCGAGTTCGTTCAATGCGTCTTCAATGTATGGGTCAAGGTCGGACCCCGTGAGGATCTCGTTGTATGATTTCCCGTTCCAGAGGATGAGGAATGGCTCCATGCCCATATCGTCGCACCAGTACATGTACTCGTCGAGGCCTAGGGGGTCAGACCCAACGTTCATAATAGCGAGCAGAGAGGCTTACCCAGGGCATCGGTATTTGGAACATTCCATGGGCCTATCAATGTTAGGTTTTGACGGTGCATCTTTCGTGGCACAACTTACTCTGTCGCCCAGGACGGTCGACAACCGGCCCTATCGTCTCATTCCACTTCCACCGGCTGTTCACATCCAAACCTTCACTACCCATTATTAGAGGGCTAATTGGAAAAAATCCTGGTTATAACTTACATATTGTTGCCACCAGGAAAGCGCAAGAACGATGGACGGAGGTCCTCCACGACTTTGGCGACGTCATCCCGCAAGCCATTTTTGCTATTCTATATTAGCGTCATTGCAGAGGGATGAAAGATTAGGGGGGGGGAGTGGAACGTACCGTGAGTGAAAAGTAGGGGGAAACAGCTGAACGAGTCCAAAATTTAAGGAGCTTCCTGCCACTTTGTTGCCATCCACAAGCAACCGCCATTCATTGTCTCCATCTGGCGACGCTGTCGAGTTGAAAGTCGTTTCCCACGGCGTGAACTTATCCACAATACTATGGACCGTCAAGTTATGGTTGGCATACACTTCCCCACTAGTAGATCCAATCAGCTGCAGCGTGATCTCGCCCTCATAGTCACCTTTCATCCAGAACTCGCTGGTGTAGGTCTCGTTCATCACAGGCACCCCATTGTAGCCTTGGTTTGCGAACCCCACAAAGGCAGTTTCCCCCTCCGGAACGGAGAGTCTCAACGATGAGGTGATGGCCTCGCTGACGGGGTTGTCCGAGTCTTGGTCAATATCCACATCGCCAATGGGCGCATACGCCAGAAGACCCGGCTCGTCGCCCTGAAAGCCATTGTTTCGCAGGAGTTGACCGTGGATGCCCCCGTCGCCTGATTGATTAGCTCAATGCGACGCGTCCACGGTTGATTCAGGCATACCCGATTGATCCATTTCCTAAAAATGTCAGCACCCGGAAGGTTCCCTGCAAAATATACGACAACTCACCTCAAACATGATTCCATATAACAGAGGACTGGACTCGTTTCCGCCATGGTCCCAGACAGTGAGTTCCGCGAGGGGCTGGGGAGTATCGCGCGCGTGTAAATTGGCCCTCTCATTCAAAGTAACGCGATGCGACCAAGCCGGGACACCCGACATGGCCGCGACTATACACAGAAGGTTGACTGCCATCATATTGGGAGTTTAAACACAGCTATTGACGCCGGCATGTCTACTCCCTGACCAGCTATGTTATACCTTTTATCGGCAAACTAGACCAGACATGAGGCTGACAAGGGGTAGGTAGCTGAGGACTTACTCGTCCGTGCACTTTTTATTCGACCACTAGAAGGGGCAGTGGTGGACAAAACCCCACTGTCGCGGTTCTAGATGCGCGTCTAGCCCTGACATCATCACCCGCGATCAGATCGGTAGGGGGACCCGACGGCCTCCGTGTTGTGTTATTCGCTGCGAATGAATAATTTGTGGACTGATCGTAACCCAAGTTGATGACGAGGGCATGGCGGTATGCTCGAAATAGGATCATAAGCCGAGTGATCGCAATTTGGGAGCCCCACTTACTGAGACGGTGTTTATAGTAGTGGCCCACCGATTTATTCTCCGATAAAGCTTGCTAGGCTGTGCTGTGATCGGCCCGAGAGTTCCGTGGAAGCACCAAGTAGACGAATAGAAGGTAAGCGCTATCTAGCAGAGCTTCTTTTCACGACAACTGGTCTATTTGACAGAGCTTAGGGTATTATTCGCGACGGAGTTATGGATGGGTTGATTGCCTATCATCTACATACCAGAAGTGGTCACGTGGTCGTGGTCGTGATCGTCTTTGCTTACGGTCAATCACACTGTCCTCCGCAAATAGAAACAACACCATACCAGACATATACTTTTCAAAGCCGAGGTTTGTTGTGGTTTCCACAAAATACTAAGTCCTCGAATGATTGAGTTCATACAGGATATGGACACTAAGTTCGTTGTAGATATATTTTTATACGGCCCAATAGTATCTGTCGTCAGTCCGTCCATACGTGTATAATTGAGAAAAGAAATCACACCACGGATGTTCATTGAGGGACGTATGTTCAAACCGACCATAGGGACGGCAGTGCGAGCCAACTAGTGACACCACAAAGCGTGCCAAGTCATCTAGGCATGTTTCCCCTTCCACTCCTCTCTGAGCTGAGCAACAAGCTCTCCATAAGCCATGTCACTGGTGGGGGTAAACGGTTTCTTGTTGTTGTCCGGGTCGAGGTAGTCAAAGTACTCATAGTGAACCTTATCACTTTGCTCGAACTGGTAACATTGAAGCGTGATACACACGGTTTGTCCTGGGTTCTCCAACTTGTGGATCTGGTACTGCTTCTGGCCCAGCCACGTCACATCGCCCTTTTTCAGTATGACCGAGTTTCCGACTTGTATCGGCTTCCGGTGATCTTGAACGGCATCATACCAAGAGCACTGAATACTGCCGTACAGCACCTTGATGACGGCGGACGCCTTGCCGTGGTCGTGGATGGGCGAGGAGTGGCCTGGGGGCCAGATTTCCATGACGTACGGGATACCAGGGGAGTTGCCCTGGTCGGGAATGGGTTAGAATTGAAGAACGGGAAGTTGTAAACGGTGCATTAGACTCACGAGGTTGTTACCGATGGTGATGCGCAAGTACGTCTCATTCTTATCACCAAATTCGTTGGCGTCGGCTTTCTTCTTGAGCATGTCTCCGCAGACCAGCTTCTGATTTTTACAGCTGGCGTCGATCGCATCACCAAGGTCCGGGAAGTCGGGAGACTCGAGCGTGATGTTGTGGCCAGCGACGTTGTGGTAGAGAGTCTGGCAACCAGGGGGGAGGTTGGCAAAAGTCGTGCGAGTGTATTTTTCCAGGTCTTCCAGGGAAATCTCCTGGTCTGTCACGACGAGAGGAGGCTTGTCCATAGTGACGGGGAGCGGGTCGTATGCCAGGTCGCCGGTAGGAACACTCTATCGGGGCTGTTACTAACAATCCAATAATTAGATTAAGGGAGAACATGACTTACGTCGCCATCTTGAAACACGTCCGTCGAGGTGAGTGTGTCCATCCAATTCGGAAACGGCTTGTCGCCATTAAGACCGACATCCAGATACGTCAAGGAGAAGTTGGTGAGATGTTGTCCGTATCGGAAGCGCTTGTTGCTGCGGTCGACCGAGATCCAATACACTGTGGGATCCTTCTTGGACAGAGTGTTGAGGCGAGCGGCGGGCGGCTGCTTGGGGTACACAACATGGGGGACATCTTTGAAGCTTTCCGAGTATTTGTCCCTCATCTGCAAGACACAGCTCGATGGGGTAATAGTAAGCTTCAGGGTAGGCTGACTGCCCGGAGATTCGGGGTTGACAATGAACTCCAACAGTGTCATTGTTTTCGATCTGGCTGAGATTGTCCCCAGACCGCCGATATCCATTGCAATGCCGTAAATTGGCTGTATGGAAGAATACTGTTTCTTTGCTCCCCCCTCGGGCCCTTCCTGTGGTGCCTCCTGCCGTGTAGGGGTCCAGAATGGATTGCTGAAATCCTCTGGAGCCGCCATGATGAATTGGTTGGTGTGAGCTTGGATGGCGTTGAAGGATACTGGAGAGACAAGACCTTGTCGAATGCTGTCTTCGTTCACGGTACTTCCTCCGCACTTAAATAGATTCAAACAGTAGATTCGCCTGGTTGGACCTGGCTTGCCCCGCGTCAGCTGAAAAAGTCACCGCGTTTATATCGTGCAGCTGAATATTCATGTCTAACATGGCAGTGACCATTAATTCCCTGAGTTTGAGACCTGGAACGGAAGTACCGTGCACGGCAGGCAGAGCTGAACATGCAAGCCACGCCCAACTGCACTTCACGTTCCGACCATGGTCGACATCATGGGAGAACACTTCATCATTGCAGAAACCTTGGCACATGTTGCAGAAATGCTCAATGAGGGCAACCTCAATACTTGTAGCTGGAGGTGGAGGGGCTGGCTGACATCCGAGTCGAGTGGGGTAGAATACTTTGCACCGGTGACATGGTGCCTGTTTATTTGTTCACCCCATCGGTGGCGGATGCAGGCAGGGGTTGCGCGGATGTCCCTGTTCCTCATCCTGCATGTATACTGCAAGTTGTGGGTGCTCTGCACCACATCAAAGGATAGCAAATGCATGAAATCGTCCACCCCTTACCCACTATGCAAATGCCGGGCGGGATGAAAAAGTCGCGCCATATCGTATAGTCCGAACAGAGCAAGAATGTATGTGTCATGGATATGACGCTTTGCCAAACTCCATCCGTTCATAGGCGGGATCTAGCTTTGAGCGGATGATGAAGAGACAGTTCCATCCAGACATTGAGTCCTGATTAGTGGAGGTCACTCAAAGCCACTGTTGAACTCTTGCTATTTGGATCGAAAATCCACCCCATTTCTGATCCGAGCTCTGGATAGTCCCCTCGGGCCCCACCATCATAGGTGTCATTGATTGATTGGATCCTATCATAGGCTCTTCGGGGTACTTCAGCTCAAACTCCATGACAATGGTCGAGATCGTACAAAGTCCCCGTCTCTTCATCAATGGCAGATACTAACCACCCGACAGGACGAGAAATATACAAGTACTAGTAGCCAGTCAGGTGGCAGTGTTCGTGTCCGATCTCATCGACTGTCAAGGATTGCGAGATTATCATTATTTGAAGAATGAAGCACGTATCAAAATGCTAGCGCGAGAACATGAGCCCACCGCACGAGCGTTCTTTTAACTCCTACTTTTACCTTGAAAACCCCAGTGTGTAAGACCGAAAATAGGTCGAATAGATGAACGGCCGGGTAAGGTTAAGTCTAGCATCCAGCCATTCACGTCAACCCACTTTTACCTGGCAACTTAGCCCGATGCCAACCGATGAAATTCATAGATTGCGTCACGTCGGACAAACGGGAAGGCCAAGGGAACACCCTCTGGGAGCTCGCTTTTCATTCCCCGGAAGCGCGACGCATGGTAAAGACATGCGTTTAGTCTTGACCCTGTACACGTACAGCGTCTCCGTAGTTACCTATAAACAGCCGACTTTAACCAGTCTCGCCCACTTGTCGACACCAGTCTCTCGGTATTGGACTAACTTGTTCCCACTCCGCATCGACCGTCATGATACCAGATTTATCGACCCGGGAGGCTTTGGACAGAGGGAGAACTGAACATACCAAGTGCCTAGTAATCGCGTCGCCCGGTACAGCATAATTGCCCCCTTCACGATGGCCAACGGCTTCCAGATTGAAATGCCGCTCTGGCAGACGCAAACCACAGCAGGAAGGCGCTGGAAGATTCCGTCCTGGGCGAATGGGATTACTGTGCTTTGTGTCCCGCTGTATTCCATTTGCATTGGTCAGGCACTCACCTTCCAGCAAACCCGGTAGCACGACTCGGCGAAGAGCCAGTATATCAAGGATTTACTTTCTATGAACCTTACTGCGGACGCCAATATAACAGCTGTGAAGCCCAATGTGCTGCCCAGTGACGCTATCAGGTATAACGGGGCGACCGAAAAAAAACGGCAGGCTTGCAGCGTTAAATGCTATTGGGAATGCAAGACGCCCCAACCAAGCAGAAACATTTGGCAAACTTGCTACTAGTATTACGAACGGCATGCGACGATCAGTACGGTGTTGAAGGGACACCTACCAAGCTCTACAGGGCCCGGTGGGAGTGGATTGTACTCTATGGCATGGTGTTCGTAGGCGATGCTCTGTTCTGTTCTGGATGATGACCGTGCGGTATTCCTTAGTTTCCCCGAAGGTGGTTCCTGCATGAAAAATCAGCTCTCTTGCGGCCATGCGGCCATTAGCTAGACATCTACAATTACGGAGGTACTGAAAGGCGCAGATACTGGGACGGAAATGGAGCAGCAAGCACGAAAGCGGAGGGTGATGATGCCGCTGTCGGATGGGTCGACGTCATCGCAGTGAAGCAGTGAAGATGAAGAGAACAATACGCACTTGATGCGTGGGGTAAATATGCAAGATGTTGCAGCGAGCTCCGGTGAGGTATTGACTGATTTAGATGGTCGGCAGACAATGTGGTTTTGTCCTGTTGCAAACGCGCTCGAATCTGAGGGGAGCCGCGCACATGTTCACCTTATCAGTAATGATCCTTACTTAATATTTAGAAATTATTGCTATGGTTTTGTTTTCTACTAGGGGAGTACGAAACCACCACAAGATAGTGTTGGAGGTGTTCGGAACTCTTGGTGCATGGGTTTAATATCTGTCGATATATCAGTTGGCCTTCTTTACATTCCTGTTCTATTGTGTATATCATTGCTTGGTCCAGAAAGTGCGACGTCCTAGTACACATGACACGCCCTCAACTACATCTATCCACTTGTAAACCACTGACACTGGCCTTCCAGACCTATTCCCTAATTTATAACGGGGCATTCCAAGTCTCTAGCATTTCAAGACACCAATGTACCACGCACAAGCTATTCCGCTTTCTTCAAGCGTAGCTGTACCCCACAACAGAGATGGTACAACATAGACAGCATTGGCGCCGCAATACCCAATGTTTCGGCCTCACGGAAAACCTCTCCTAGAATATTCTCATGCTCAATTAAATTTCCCTACAACGGATTAGCAAACCAGTTATACCAAGTGGAAAAGGACAAAGACGGGACCAACCTTTCGTACATCCATCAGCATACTTGGCGAAATCTTCTTTTCTACCGGATTACTCGCGATCGTTCTAGGTATAATATCCTCCGGCAGAAGATACCCCTTAGCCGCGGCAACAGCGACCACCTCTTTCATAGCCGGAACAACGAGCGCATCTAAGCTTCGCCCATCCGTCTGTAGCGAACCGGTATCAAGCCCAGTGAGCGCACAGATCGGGTTCAACGTAGCGTTATAGACAAGCTTGGTCCACCGATCCAGCCCCACGTTCGGCTCGTGGCGACAAACGGTTTTACCCCCAGCGGAGTAGATCCGGACGAAGTGCTCCGCTGCGGCTGTGAGTTCGGTGAGGTGAATCGTTGGGTGGTGGAAGGCGCCGATGTTGAGATTGTCAGACTGCTTGTGCTGGATGACGCCCTTGGCGATCTCGTGGGCGTCGGTGCGACTGACGCCGGAGAGGACGATATTGCTGGGGAATCTGGCCTGCACGGGGCGTTCGATGTTGAGTCCATTTTGAATGAGGACGATTACGGTGTGTCCTGGCGTGACGGCTGGGCTCATGATATCCGACAGTCGGGGTGTGCTATCGGCGATGTTCTTGGTGCAACACACGATGTAGTCGAAACGGGTGGTGTGGTCGGCGCTGGTATCCGGTACGGAATTTAGGACTACAGGCAGTTGTGAGATTTCATTAACATTCAACGGATACTCCGCGTGATCATACCCGCAGCTGGCCTCCAGTTCTCGAGGATGCCATGATCACACGAATCGATGCGAAACCCAGTAGCCTGAACAGCCGGGTAGTTGCTCCGCAATACGACCGACACATCTGCCTGTTGACCGGTTTGCAGATTAAGTGCTGCGACGGTCCCGATTCCGCCGGAGCCAATTAATAGTACGCGAGTTTTCGCCATTTTTCGAACCCCGGCCAAATCTTCACCGCGGGGTCCATATGGGGAGGTGCCATTTATAGCGCGGACAGGGTGATGATCGGATTCGGGATGGCTTCCGAGATTGTCGGCGGAAAGAGCCAATGAGCGTGTTGCGAATAATGTCTGAAAGGTTGGTTTCTCTTCGGCCACAAAATTATTGCCTTAAACAGTGAATCGACCATGGATGAATATGTACAGTGGAACTAGATATATGTATTAGGGTCTAGTACCTTCATTACATTTGGAGATATACATAAACCCTGGACTACGATGTAATATAAACTAGGTAATGTCAAAAGAGCATTTCCATAACCCCACCCTGGCACCTAATGTTAAAGACTTGTGTATTGTAAAAGCATTGGAAGCAACTGGAACTGTTGTTTACGCCGTACCACACGACATGCAAGTAAATGCGGCCGACCCCAATGACTCGCGGCTACAAGGGGTAGATTAGAGAATCCCTCCCCATTCTCGGCTTGAAAACGAGTTCTAAATGCGGACTTTGTGGTGACAGTGCTGAAATATGGAGGGGGGGGGCATCGTTGTGGAAAGAATCAGGGAAAATTTTCAGTATAATAGTAGAGTCGCTGACCCTCAACGTTTGAAAAAGCTTAGGTACGTACAAATGTAGGATACATCAAGATAAAGATAGTGTGAGAAAGCTGTGCTAGTTCTACCGGTTAGCTGTGATGGTGTCCGACTGCACTCACCCCATAATAGTGATTTATATGCCTAGCAGGGGGGAGTGATGGAAGAAATCAACATGGTCGTGTTTCAATTCAAGCGTATTTCTGCCCAACAGTCATCCTCCAGATACACAGCAGTTACAATATAATGGTCGAAATGGGATCTATATCCAGTGTTCTAATGTCAATAGTGTGCTCGCATGTACTCCCCCGTTGTTGCGTACCTCGCCCACTCTTGCACTCTTTACCCTGACACCAGACGGTACGGGCTTACAATTTATGTAACCAGATCGGGACTACATTGTGTTTTATGAGGCTGGAATCACCACCGAGCTTTTGGATGTGCTGAGAGATCCGACGCATGCTAATATTCCCGTGGAGTGGCCCACTATCAGACGGATAATACTCCCATACAAGCCTTATGAGACCTTCGCTGCGCGGCTCACCTCCATACTAATGACGCCTAGTCCCGTCAGCTTGAAGAATTGCTTCGACCTCGATGGTGGAGGTTGTCTTGCCACGGACTGTAGGAAACGAGCAAGCGTGCCGGCGGACAAACAGCCAGTCAAGGTCAGACGCACTTCAAAGCGGCGAGCGACGAGGCGAACAACGGATTAGAACACGCCTATCACCGCCATGCATCACAGGTGGGGTATTATGGTAAACGAATTACCACCGCACTTTACGACTAGATGATTCTTTTGCATCTTTATGACATTAGTAACGACTAGATAGAATTAATGAGATACCCTGTTTGTGGCCCCAAATAAAGAACCGTTTTCCCAACCAACATACTAGTATCCACTGACTCAATCCGAGAACAACTTAGACACAGCCTAAATCCCGACGATTACTTCAATAAGCCTTAGCTACTTTGGCCAAGATCTTCATGTCCCCTCTTCTCGTATAGCCGATGGCAAAATCCTTGATAACGCGCACGTCTTCATACGTGGTGTCATACATCTCAAAGTCGAAGCGGCGGACCAACTCGGCAAAGGTCATATACAATTCCATATACGCAAGACTGGAAGGGTTAGAACGCGGACGCGGCACAAACTATGGGGAAACAACACTTACTTCATTCCGATACAGGCTCGGCTGCCCCGAGTGAACGTCGCGAGATACTTGGGCAGATTAAAGTTCCGCTCCGAGGCCTCGATCCACCGTTGAGGGTAAAATCGATCTGGATCGGGGAAAAGAGTAGGGTCGCGGTGGATAATGTAGGAGGAGCTTGACATCGACGTCTACTCTAACTGTTAGCAGATCATTCTTCGTCTTTGACAAGCATGACACGACTACTCACCCCCGGCGCAATCGCAATGTCCTTGTACATGAGGGTTTCAGTAGGCGCCGACCTCGGTAATCGAGACGTCAGACCGATACCGACTCGGAGCGCTTCATTGACAAACGCAGTCTTTTACAATTAGTAAAAAGCTGCACAGTAGGTAAGAAGCAGACTCACCAAAATGGGCAGCTTTTCCAGTTCCGTCCAGCTCTTCGCGCCAGATTGTCTCAACTCCTCCCGCATTTTCTCCCTTAACTCCTTGTCCTGCGATAGATGGAAGGTGCCTACGCTGAGCACACGACCCGTCGTCTCAGTCCCTGCCATGAGAACGACAAGCCCCTCCTGCTGCAGGCGCGCCAGCGATCTCTCTGCAGCGGGCAAGGACGGATCCGACAGCTTGCTGAAGATGTTTCGACCGACGCCCTTGCCGAGGCCCGGGAGCATGCTGTCAGCCGAGTGCTCGAAGATAGACTTTTGGAAGTTGAAGACGACGGCCTTGGCCGGCATGACCCAGCACATAATGGAGGGCGGTAACGCCAAAATGGCGCTTATGACCCAGCCGAAGAAGCGCGCAAAGTGCCACACGGTTGTGAGCTCGTTCACGGCGACTCGAATGTCGGAGCGGAAGGTCTTGTCGTCAAGGAAGCCCCAGTTTTTGCCGTAGGAGTAGTAGGTGATGACGTCGGCTGTGAGGGCCGCGAAGGCGTCGTCGAGTTGGACGACCTTGTCTTCGCGATGAAACTCCTCGAATCGTTCCATCAAGTGGTTGATCTTGGTCTCGACGAACGACTCCAGCTCGAGGACACGCTTCTTGGAGAAAAAGCTGTTCAGGATGTTCCGGCGGAAGCGGTGATGGTCGTGGCCCACTGTGCTCACCATCGAGTGGGGGGCCGTGAACCCGTTGACGACCCAGGGATCCTTGTCTCGACGGTGCGAGCTGTGGGCATAGATCTGATCGTAGAATTCAGGGTCACTGACGTGGACCTCGTGAGGGCTGATGCGGATAATGGGGCCTAGCCATCAGAACCAGTTAGCTGTATCCAGGGACGGCTCAATGGACAGACCTACCATATTTCTGATGCAACTTTTCAATCTGGAAGATGTAGCGTCCTCCGAGAATGACATCGTAGTAGAACTCGTAGAGATAGGTAGCAGCCGCGAACGTAGGGCCAGGGACCTTGCGGAGGGGATGAAAGAACACTCGATAAACCGCCCTTGCGAACAAGAACGTGCCGAGGCCGATGGCCGCGATCCACACGCGCGGAACGTCCATAATCAGTGATTTTTTTCTGATGTGATATTCCTTGCCTCGAAAGCGCAGATAGCAGAATATCGCGGGATATATAGCACCGCATTGAGGCTCTCAGTGAGGGGAAACATGACCCACCGCTCCCAGCGTTTCCTCGGTCAAAAAGCAGCGCTATAGCGAGTCCCCCCGTCCAAGCCAATGGCGAAGACCGGCCCATCTCCATCGTTTAGTTCATGGTGCCACTCTTGTACTAGCGACGACTCCGTATCCATCTATACGATGGAACCAGTATAGGACAGCAACGGTATATCACATCTGCATATCCCTCAGGCCAAGATCGGTTTGACAGGTGCGGATGCGGGTCCGGGCCGCTGTGGAGAATAACGGTGCGGACGGGGTGTTTACCCTTTGCGGACGTAGTATCTCTCGAAATGCAGATTAGAAGTATGACAGGTTCTGGTTCGTCAAGAATCGGCAGCCTAGGCTTTGTTAGCTTGTTCTACATGGTGCACATGGCTGGTGGGAGGGTGCCTTGTTCGGTTGCTGGTTTCGTCACGGACATACTATTGCTTTTGCTTCCAACCAGGATCCAATTGGTGTTTTTCATTTTTTTTTTTTTTTTTTTACTATCGCTGCGCGTGATGTGAAGACTATTATTCCTCCAAGTGGACGAGCAGGGCATAGGAAGAAGTTGACCTAGTTGGCAAGATTACTCAAGAAGGCCAACCCGCGGTGAAGTGGAATTAGGGCTTGGCTGGTGTGGTGACAGTAATAGTTTTGTTCGATTTAAATACCCGGCTTAAAAGGACTACCTTTGTCACCTTGTCCAGGCGTCTCCTTTGCCCCCTTTCCTAGGAGTAAAATGTTTGGAAATTTCACCAACAGCCCTAAAATATGCAAAACGCTAATCACATATGGATGGAGCTAGTCTAAGCCAAGCATGGCCGTTGACAGCAGGTGTTGAGCTCTAATCTGCAGGGTGCGATTCCCCCTCACCTCCCGAACGAATTAAATTAGTTTAGAAAAAAGATAGTCTGCCCTAATGTAGCAAAAAAAACAAGGATGAAACAGGATTCTGCAGGCTGTTATATGCTCCTGCCACATGCAGTAAAATAAGCTGCTAGTATTTTGGCTGATCACACACCCCAACTTTCATCCGCCAATGCAAATGGTACCAGCCATTCCACTCCTCCGAAACAATGCGGGCTTCTCCAACCAATGCACTTACCCTGTCTGCAGCGCAGGTGTGGGATCCTACAGACTGCAGACCCAATACACGCGATAAGTCAAGCGCAACAGACAGCAAACCTGGCCAAGGAGCCAAGCGCACGGGGTTTACTTTCCTGGTCAAGGAGATGGAACTAACTATCTAGATTAAATATTCTGCATAAACGGTCCAGAACAACCACTGAAAGCACTATCACTGAGATATCGTGTATGCCCCACACACCTCCTCACAAAGTGGACCTGGTCTATCAACTCAAGATATTCCCATCCTATCGAACTCCAACTGAGGCTGAAACCTAACACAATGATACGTTTTTACTGCGCGAACGAAAACCCCCCATGGACGATCTCCGGCAGCTCCGCCATTGAACTGCACCACTGGAAGAGCCTCCGAGCAAAGCCGTGGGAGGGGTAGAGATGGTGCCTCGTGGTGGGTCATGCGCGACCAGATCCTGCAGATGGTGACGAGAGTGCTTTAAACCCACCGCGGAGGGTGGTGTTCCTTTCTTATCATGGCAGGATTGAGCGATTTGTTTTCAGTGTCTCGCTGGGAGACAAGTCGGGAGATAAGGGTTTACCTTGTCATGTGAGCATGGGGGTTGAGGGGGTGGATGCCCGTCTGTAGCCGACATCGGAAAAGGTTTACGAGCTCAGATGAATTGGATGGCAGGTCGTCGTAGATTTAAAGGCGTTTGAAGGGCACTGTTTCTGATGGTAGGTCGCCGAAAGTAGGACACATAGTAAGGCCAGTCTGTGAAGCTGTGTGGATACAATTGGTATATGAAAGCCACTGCACCAAGATACCTTGACAATTGCCATTCTGCCGGGCTTGCTATGACTGAGGTTCCGACAGTATATCTCTTCCCGCCACATGATAGTACATCACGCACGTGTAGTGGGATAGGGATTCAAAGATCACAATACAGTAAATGTTGGTGTATATATTATTGGACTAGTTAGTTAGATACGTAAATCGTGGACAGAATTACACATGCATATGGGGTATAGGTAGAGAAACAAATCAAAGATACAGGAAAATACACCCTGAATGGATGTGCACTTAAAAAGGGCGCATGTCCCCAGGATACTGAGGAGGAGAGGGCGGAGGAGGCACGCTGAACCGCCCACCATCGAGCTGGTCCGACGACCATACGTAGACTGCGCTCAGCAACGCGCACGAGTAGAAGAAATATTGGAGAAACACCTGAGCCATGTACGATGCAACAGCCGACTCGGTGTAAAACCGGGTCCTGGTGTAGCTGTTCGTGATGTTAGTTGCCAGGTTGATGGCGCCGACGCCGACGGCAGACAGGACAAGAGCGACCAGGGAGATGAAGATGGGCTGATACCAGTCTGGTTAGCAAAGACTCTGCCACTGCGGTAGGAAAGCTGATATACCTTGGCGCGCAGATGGGGGGCGCGAGACATCGCAGACAGGATCAACCCCGCGGCAACGAGCATCGCGACCAGCTCGACCGCATTGTAAGCTGTACCCAGTCGTATGGTATGGACGAAGTATTTGATTTGCACGTCGTAGTCACCGGCCATTGTACCATGAACGAGTCGGGTGTTGAGAGACAGGTAGACAATCATAACGACACCCAGCAATGCCAGAACCATGGTGGTGACAATCTTGACGGGGGGGGATCCGTTGTTCACTCGGCTGCATATGGGAGCGAGGATGAGCACGAACAGAGAGTAATACATCAACGAATTCATCCAGGCACTGGCCATCGAGCCGGCGGAGTAGCTGATGGAGTCAATGCGGCGGCATTGCGCCAGGGCGACGAGGACAATTTGTAGGACCACGTGGCTACAGAAGTTAGTCGCTTGATCCAGGGTAACTCGGTGGGGATGCATACACGAAAGCGAAGGTGAGAGACAGATATGTCAGAAATTGGGCCAGACCACTAGCCTTGGCCTTCCGTGCTCGACGTCCTGTCAGAAAGAAAAACACCAAGAAAACCACGCAGTAGAGCGCAGGGAACGCGATTGAGGCCTGGGAAAACCAGGTGTCGAAACCACCAGGACAGCTGTCGCTGAGTGAACCGGAGGAATACCCTCCACCCCCACCTCGTCGTGGAGCCATTTTTACGCAGGGAAAATAGGGTTGAAAATTCTGTGTGGCAGGATCAGGTCAAGATGTGAAAATCTAGGGGGACATGATCGCGTCCGGGGCGCAGGCCCGTAATATACAGTCGAATGAGGCTCTAAGCCCGCCGAACAGACTCGTTTCTGAAATTGCGCCTCGACAGAGAATTTTGTAATGAGGCTCGCAAAACAAACGATTGACCAGGGTCAGCAACAAAACCGGAGCGTGGTTGGCCCAGTCTAGGGGACTAGTCGCCAATACGAGGTTATTAATAGAGGCCCTGGGTGAAAACAGCCGAGCCACAGCTTAGCGTGCCTCGGCCAAGGACTCAGCCTTGTCGGGCATTGGGAGTTTTGAACTTTGCACGGTCGTATCCGGGATTTTAGTGTTCAATAGTCGGTGAAATCTCTGCTGGTTGGCGGCCGCTTAAATTGGTGGCTTCACGCAAACCCCCGTGATGAGGGCCTTGACAATTGTTGCCTCGTGTATTCTGGAACATAGCGGTTGAAGGGTTATTAGTGGAAATGGTAAAGTTTTGAATCGGACTAATAGAATTCATGGATCATACGAGAAAGCAAAATACGGGTAAATATATGTTGCAATCTAGATGATATTATTCACAGAGGCAAAAGTGTCATGATATCTTTTCTACCGGAGTGGTAACTTTAGTCCACAATATATTTACAAATATACAGATAACTAGAACTCAACCGGGTAATTGTAGTAAACAAAGGTCCGCTCTACCGGGTAAATAATTCATCATTCCTACTTTTTCAGGGAACTATGCTTATATATGACCCACAAAATCCAGTGGTTCCCCTTTTCAGCCCCTGACCAATACACCGAAGGAGTTCCACGAGACCATCACTACATGGACAGATCATGCAGGGAGCAGTACGCCTGACCGACTGAGCCCCATACCCCGCATATGCCAGATCACTGAAGGATAAATAATCCACCCCATTCGCCATGACACGTCCCAAGCCACGATGTCTCCGGTTAAGCCCATTCTGTCCGAGCCCCAATCTCCTCCCCAGACACCGGCACCAAGAACGAACTGCTGGCGATCTTACCATCGGCCTCTCGCGCCCCCTTCACCGGCTCGCTGTCTACTGTGACAAAACTGCTATTGCCCCAGTTTGCACTTCCATCCCAGGAGTTGCCCTTGGAAACCTGCCCGTCACTAAATGACGTCGGCTTCTCCCCATTGACAGCCGCAACGTTCTCAGTCAGTGTAGCCACAGCCGTCCCAAATTTAAATCCGACCTTGGCATTATTCCACGCGGTGTTGCGGGTCAGCTTGAAATCTCCGGGCTGTGAATTATCGGTGAATCCGTCCTTGGCGTTGTTGAACGCAAAGCAGTTCGTGATGACGTGGTTGGCCGGTCCGATGTCTGCGTCGTCGCCGCCGCCGAGTTTGAAGCCGTTGCCGTCACCTTCGAACGGGGTAAAATCCCATCTATGTTGGTCAATGCCGATAATTTCAAGATTGCAGCAATCAGGAGGCTGTTTTTTGGAATCATCATACCGGTTGAACCCATTCCCCCATGAGATGGTATCCTCAATCGTCACAGCCGACTTGAACTCCCTACCATGCAATTAGCCCAGTCTCAACGGTCGACCAAACGTGCGCAAGAAGGGTATAAAAAGAAAGCACAAACCAAAGATCCAACCCATCATCAACATTATCCCACAACCTCGCGCCCTTCAACAGATTCCCCTCGCCCTCTCCCTCCTTACAAGCAAACCCATCCGCACTCTCCCCATTCTTGCGCGGATCCCGATTCCCGTACGAGTCGAGATACAGCACGGTGTTATTCGCAGACGCACCCTGCATCTGGAACCCAGTCTCGTAATTATTCGCCGTTACGAGCCTCTCGTAGCGGTTGTTCGACGCATCGCGCGCATACACTCCGTACGGGCCATTCACAAGGACAAGGTCGCTAAACACCCAGTAATCTGCGTCTTGGACGTGAATGATGCCGCGGTCTTCGTTGGGGAGAGAGGCGTCTAAGTCTGCAGGTGTGCTGTATCCTGAATCAGTAAATTAGTATTACAAAGGTAAAGCGTATCCACTTACCCAGGAAGATCCTCCCCGTCGATAGTAACCTTTTCGCTTTTGTACGCACGAAGCGTGTATGGTGCTGACGCCGTCCCACTTTTCGTGACCTGGATGTTGGACGATGGACTGTATGTCCCCTTGCGTAGGTATATCGTGTCTCCCGGAGTCGCCTGGTCAACTGCTACTTGGATGGACTGGAGCGGCGCGTCGATTGTCCCGGCTGCGGTGTCTGCGCCGGTGGGGGAGACGTATATTTCCGCCGCCTGGGCCAGAGGGAGTGCCACTACTAGCGCCCTAAGAAAGAGATACATTATGATTTCCTCGTCTGTGTAGTTTTGTTCTGATTCTGAGATACCATGGTGGTTCTGATCCTTATATCATGCTTGGTTGACGCTATCGATGCCATTGATGGAATTTTGGCGGAGAAATATATTCCGGTCAAGTCGGATGTCATTTCCGCTTGTCTTAATTTTCCGACCGTGTTTGACAGTCCATTTCTGGTCTAGAACACCTTTAGATAATCTACATCCTGCGTGTTGTTGCAGTATTGGTATTTATATACTGGTGACTACTTCTGCTGTTCTAACGCCCAAGCTAACAGCTCCGGATACCATCGCCTCCCTACATCCTGATGGCTAATCACCCGATGGACAAGTGTGCCCTCACCCGTCTTCCCATGAAATTTCCGATTAAACGTACCTTCCGCATCCGACCGCACATGATCATGCTTGACCAGCTCTCGAATATGACTCGGGATATCTAGTGCGATGTCCCCAGCCGACAACTCCAAGCTCATACCCTGAAAGACGGGGATAGAGAACCGCGGTCCTAGCTCCTTGCCACCGGCGACGAAATTCTCCGGTGCGAGACTGACGCGGTGAGTAGTGGCGGTGCACACGCCCCCCGTAATGACGCTCAACGCACGACCGATATTCACGACCAGCGTGTTGTCCATCGGCGGAGCAGGGATCCATTCGCCGTTCTTATTCTGGACCTCGAGGCCTGGGTGCGCCGTAGGTTGATATAGGAATGTCAGGAACTCAGAGTCTTTATGTGGACCTACGCCTTGGCTCTCTGCATCTGTGGCTGGGCGTGGATACTTGATGATTTTCATCTTGTGTTGGCGCGGTGTGTCAAAATACGGCTTTAGCGCTGTTGGGGACAGCCCCAGGGCTTCGGCGATGAGCTCCTCGAATGCATCAGACACGGGACGGAGCTCTGCAAGATAGCCCTCAATTGTTTGTCGGAAACCGGGCATAGCGGATTCATCGGGCCACTATGTTGATTGTTTACCGTCTGTCTCTATTGTCCGCAAGGGGGACACGGAAACGTACCTGGTTTGGGCCGCGAATGTTTCTATACGCGGGCTCGTCTGGCCCTGGGGCAGGGAGTTCCGTGGCAAACTGTGTGTTCAATCAGTACGGACTCAGATCATCAAGTAAGTGTAAGGCTGGGCGTACGTCAAACTGCTCTCGATGGTCTAACTTCCGAGCTGTTACCTCCGCACCGAGGCGCGAATAGCCTAGAAAATGTTTACTGTTGATCATTTCGATTTCAAGTTTCTTCTCGAGTGGGAGATCGAACAACCCCACTGTCTTCTTGACCAGTTCATCCCTGATTTGCGGAGATACAGGGGCGTTGGCCAGATAGAAGAAGCCCACATGGACGAGGGCATTGCGGAGTTGGTCGACGAAGAGGGCACGCGTCGCCGGCTGCGTCGAGAGACCGTAGTCTAGAACCGGTATTTCCGTAAAGGACGGCGAGACAGAGCCCATGGTAGTCTTGTTCATAGACTATGAGTAGGTGAAGGAGGACGATGGATGTTTGTGAGGGGAAGATGATGTGACAAGTGGGGGAAAAGAGACCATGGCTTATCTAATCTTATCTTATCGCGATGTTGCCTGCCTGCCTCATTGCCTGATGCCCGTTCAGGCAATCTGTATCCAGTGACATCGAGAACCAGCTGGACGTCACTCTCACTGCATCCTCAACTTTCTCTTCCACGGTGTCCCCTCCTTCGATACCTCTTTCTTTACTTCTTGCATGACTTTATATACACCCCGGGTATCCAACGCATCCTCCATCCAGACTACACCCACCTTTCGCTTCCGACTCGAGTCCCGGCCTAAACCCCTACAATGTGCCTCCAGAAACTCGACCGCCTCATCGCCACCTCGTCCACGGTATCCATCGAGATACCTACTCAAGGGGACCCGCCCCTGCAATGCTCGGAACCACCCCACGTTCACGAACACGAACACGACCCGCGGACTCGCCATCCGGCTGGTAGCCGTATCTTCCATTGTGACCAGGGCCTCCTTGAATGGCATATAGGTCCCATCGAACAACCCGTCGGGATCATCACTCCCATAACAACTTAAATCAATTACGTACAAATTAACATCGATCGCAGACAGATGCGGCCAGTTGCGGCCGCGAGACGGGTTGCATACATCGCGCATGCACACTGGCTGGAACGTCAAGCTGTTTATAGTCAGCCCAGGCAGCAGATCAAGGACCTTTGGACGGATGTGGGTGCGATGTGCAATGACGTCCTCATCTGTTGGAATGTATGCGGCGTCTGCGATGCGGGCAACGTGGGCGAGAAAGTAACATGTTTCGGGGAGAAATGTAGAGCTTCATGGCCCGTGTTAGACACCTTCTGGGACCACTTATGTCAACTGATGAGGGGAGTACGACTTGGCATACCTGGCGTAGCTATCCATTTCTGGTACCCATGGCTCGCGCTTGCTCTTTAATGTCTCTCGCAAACCTTCATCGCTCCATAGCGAGAGCGCTGCAGCTACCGTGTCGCGCGATGGCCGCCACCCTAGCTCAAGCTCGCTGGGATTGGGCAGTTGTGTGAGAATCTTTTCTGCGGTTCTTTTGGTGGTGGTGGTAATTGGAGACTTGGTTTCATCACGGGCGGCAATGGCGGCACTGCACAGGGCCTGATGTAGAGATCGTCGGATGTTGTCTTTGTGTGAGAGGCGCTGGTCAGGAGGGAGGCCGTGTGAGATGAGGATCTGAAGCTGACGAGCGAAGCGAGGGCCGGAATCATGGGGACCATCGATAGAGACGACGTACTGGGAGCGTCGTTTGCGGGCGTCTTCCTTCAGGGAGCGGTCTATTTCCCTGGAGCGTCGTTTCGCATGAGCCATTTGTTTCCGTGACTCGTAGTACTGGAAGCGTTTATTCCTCTGGGGAGCGTCCCTGGTAAGAAGTTTCGGGTGCTGGCCCACGCTCGAGCCCCTGGAGTGCTTTTCCATGGTTGTCCTTCCTCTGCAGGTATTGATGAGCGCGGTGAGTGGGAATGCAACGTCTTGTTGGGGGGCCAGGTACTGACTATGTATCCCAGAAGTGGAGCGACGGGCACGACAGCGCGCCTGATCGGCATGGGCCCTTGCGGGCCGTGCCCAAACACCACCACTCATCGTCCAGAAGGCCCGGATCATCAGTGGAGCGAACAGGATTCGTGGCACAGAAAACTTCTAGAAACAGGTTGCCACGTGGTCGTCCTACTCCGCAGCCGTGACAACCTTCTCGTGTCATTCGTTACTTGAACAGTGGGACTTTTCTGTTTGGCCCTAGTCATATTACTTTGTGTAGCGTCCTGTGAACACCGGTCGCTGCGCGAATCATTCATGTATATGTCACATTGGTTCAAGTCCCTAGCAGACCTGGACCCGACCATGTCTCACCAACCAACGCACGACTATACATTCTCCAAAGAAGAGAGCTACATAAAATCACAAACTAACCACCCAGAATGCTCGTAGCGGCGCCCGCATACGCCGTAGCGCTACTCACCAACTCACTGCCAGTGCTCGCTGCACCTGCAGCGGCCCCTGAGCTAGTACTAGCAGAGTTCCCGGAGCCCGCTGAGCCTAACTTCATCGAGGGCTGGTACGGCTTGGGCGGATGACTGTCGACGGTTCCATTCCAGCAGTACTTCGCAAAGCAGCTCTTGCAAATGTCCGGCAGGGGTGTTCCCGTGCGTGCGGTGGAGCGCTGTAGGATGGCGCACCCGACGCAGCTGGGCCACTGGGCATCCAGGGACGAATTGCCCATGGTGGCGACATTGAGGCCGTTGGTAATAAGGTTGTCTCGCTCCGAGTCTTCGTACGACAACTGGAAAGTGGAGGTATTGGACTCTGCGGTATAGGGCGCGTTCGGGAGGTAGACCACCAAGGGAGTGGGGCCAGTGAAGTTGGAGCCGTTGCAGCCGAAGAAAGTCGGTCTGTTGTTCAAGCCGAGGTTGACGAAGGTGTTCACGTCCGGCACGCTGGGGAAAACGGTCCCGTTGGCGATGCCGGTCTTGTTCAAGCTACGCTCATACGTTTGCACCAGGCTGGTGCCGTTTGGCCAGCTATTCTCGGTATCGGCAGAGGAGTCCACAGCGAAGATGACGTCGACGTGGCGCTCTGGTTGAATCAACGGGTGCAAGGGGATGTTTTGGCCGTCTTCACCGCCGTCGACGAGGTCTAGCTCATTTGTGGTGGCATAGGTGGCCGTCGAGTTGCGGTAATTGTAGAAAGGGTTGGGTGCATAAGCAGCGATGTCCTCGTCGTCTTTGCTGAGATCTTTAAGAATGTCTTCCAAGGCTTTTTTCAAAATGTCCGGCATACTGGTACTGTTCAAGCGCGGTAAGAGCTGGTTAAATAGGGAGGACGAGGTGCCCATGACGAAGCCGGCATTATCGAATCCACGCACGCAGGTGTCGTTCAACTTCCCGTTGTCGAACTTCGACCCGAGATATTCCAGCGGCGCGAAGCCAGCGATCGTGGGATCCCAGCTCCCGAACTCCCACGGGTTGAACTCGTACACGGTCGAATTGCTTCCCACCAGCAGCTCCCCAGGCTTGCGCCCATCCGCGACAAGGAGTGGCATGGGGATCTCGCCATCTTTGAAGTTGTCGCTCAGGGCGATGGACGACCATGTGTAACTCGGTCCGCCATCGTCCTTCGACGAGTTGATCAACTGGTAGGATAGCGCGCGACCCCAGTAGTCGGTCAGGGTAACGTCGAAACCTGCGTTTTTCTTGCCCTTGACCGATTTATCAATGTTCTCCCAGTAATTGACCGACGACAGAAATTGGAAATACTTGGAGCTAGGACCTTCCAGGATCGACGTCTGCAAGTCCCATACGCGCTTATCTTTCTGCAGGTCGCTAATCGTGGTGAAGTTGTTGACAAAGATGGAGCCAACGAGCCAGCCGCCACCACTCAGCCCAGCGACGTAGGTCGACGCCTGCAGCAGTCCGCCGAGCTGGCCCTTTGAAGTGGCATTTGCCGTGCGATTATCAAAGGCTTTTATCACCCCTGCGCCGTTCAGCATAGCGCGATAGCCACCACCGCTAGCTGCAAAGCCGATGTTAGGCAGATCGGTGACATTTTTAGCGGTCTTATCAATGTATGACACTGCATCAAAAGGACCGAGGTCTAGCCGGCCAAGAAACTCTTTCATCGGGTCGACAGTCTCCTTTCGGCGCTTCTGGAGCCATTTCGTTTCATTGCGCGAGAGTCTACTCGCCGATCGAACATTTGGTTTGACAGCCGGGCATGTCGTATTGGCGGGTGTATAGCCGTCTGGGGCGTTTGGAAACGCACGAGGGAAGACGTCGACTGTTGCAGCGTGGGCGAGAGCCACGCTCGTCAGAATTACCAGAGAGATCTTCATGGTTGCTTGCGGGGAAAAGCACAATGCCCGCTACAATGGCCGATCGAGGGTTCATATGTACGACGCCATGGCAAACACAACTAGCTGGACCAACCGGATGACCGGGGATATTTCGATGTGGTGGGTCGATGGAATGCTTTCATCGATATATCATCGCCACTCCAAGGGGTAGGTCTAGAGATGGCTATGAAAGGCACGGTCATGAAACATTGATCGATGACGGGCATCAGGCAACACCACTGCAGCGCGGATGGGCTGCGCCCACGGTTCTGGACATAAACTTAGATAACAACTAAGTTTGAATGCAGGTCAAAGTCTATTGCCAACATGTTTACTGGTTGCGACGCCATAGCCCGACATGTCGGAAAGGGACCCAATCACCAAGCTCTAGGATACAAGACGAATCCGACCCCGTGGTTCATCACAGCCACAGACTGTCAGTATTGATTTTAACTGTCTGATCTGGAATTGGTGGCCTTGGCAATGCAATCGACAATAGTTTACATGCTGTCACTGCTGACGTGAAATGAACATATGGCAAGAATGTGGTCGAGCTTGATGTTCGGAAATGATGCATGACATCACCACCCCTTGTCCACTCTTCTATCCCTCCCGGCCAAGGACCCACAAGCCTTGACCCTGAGTATCCCTCAACGTCCTGATTAAATTGAGAGACTGCTGAGGTTCTTCATTTCGTCATACATGCATACATATGCCCCTTCCACGATACAGCTTGACTTCGCGACATCATACAAGGGGCAGTGATATCAAAGCCTAATCAACCATGCCAGCCCGTCCACGGGTCACAAATTACTTCACAACACGAGTAGCTCCATAGTACCATGGGTATATCTTGCTTTCATATGGATTATAGTGAACATTAACATAAAATTGGCCAAACAATGGCAATTGAATTGGCGATCGCTTTACATCGCATCAAGCAGAACATGTATATCAACCCCATAGCAATCAGAAGGAATCAGAATTCAATCACTACAAACGCTTCTGAAAAGCCGCCAACATACTCTCAAACCCTCCTGCCCGGGGGGACCGCGTCGGAGTCAAATACCGCGTATTCATGCGGCACAACTGCATGAAATTCGCCGCCTCGTCCGGCATGGGCGTGCCACTCGCCCGATGAGACGCCTCCAATCGCTCGTAGTATCCCTGTGCTTCCACATACTGCTGCTTTGCGAAATACAGAGTAGCAAGCATTTTCAACAAGGCTTGCACCTCTGGGTTTCCTTGGCCCTTACGGTGCTCCGCCCACCGCAAGTAGCGCTCGATCCATGGAACGGCGAGTTTCAAGCCGGTGGCACTTTTGTTGAATGAGAGGGGGTCGTTATTCTGTGAGGCGTACATGATGCCTTGGTCCGTTAGCTCGACGCACATGGCTGCAGAGGACCATAAAATCATAATGGGACATACCCAGGTGTGCCACAATAGCCAGCGTCTCTGGGTGCTCCGTGCCCAGGACTTCTTCAGCCAAGGTCAGCGCGCGGCGGAGAGTTTCGGACGCCTCGCCGCAGCTATGGTCGAGCATCTGTGCAGCACCCTCAATTCTCAAACTATAGATCGACAGCGGGTGGCGCGCACCTAGAAGCGCGACCACGTCGCGTGCAATCTGACAGATTGACGCACAGGACTGTTGCACGGCGGTGTTAAACCGCATGACGACCTGCGAACTCCCATGCTCTGCGCGATGGGCCTCAATCACCAGCTCTGCGCTATACAGCCCCGCTTTGATGACCCGAACATGGGTATCGCCCAGCACAGCGACCAAACTCTGACGGTACTTCTCACCCATTTGCACCGCCTCTTGCCGTCGCTCGAGATTGTCATATGCCATTGCCAGCCGACGCCGCGTCTCCAGCGTGTCAAGGTCCTGTTCGCCCACGCCGGGGGCCATCTGCTGGCGGGCGAGGACATTGGCTATGACCGACTCGCCCTCTTGGTACTTTCCCTGGGCGCAGAGAATTTCCCCCATCAGACTCTCGGCCTTCATCGCGAGGGGGTGGCGACGGTCGAACACGCGAGCGCTATTGTTGGACACCCACTCCGCCCACTCCGCTCCTTTCATTAGATAGCCAGACTCGACATCGATTTCCGCCAGATTGTACCCCGCCTGCAGTGTGCTATGGTGGTCTGCACCGAGCGTGCGCAGATGCTCCTGGAAAAGAGCGTACTCCACCTGTCGCGCCTCGTCCCAGTTCCATTCACATTTCAGCTGCGCCGCCTTCACCGATCGGGGGTCGCTGTCGGTAGGTGGGTACAACACACCCGTGACGCGCTGTTGCACGGCCCCAGGCTGCGGCGTGCGTGCCGCTGGATACGACGTACTACTGTTAGTAGCGTCTATGCGAGGCGGTAGCGGAGGTGGACCCTGTGGCGAGGCAGACGTCGGCTGGGTGATGAAGCCCTGCTCGGTGACGAGCACCTGGTCGGCTATTTGCTTAATGTTGCCTTTGATAAGCCTGTACATGGCACCGCGCGCGCTGACCTTGCACATCATCGAGTGGTCTGCGTCGAGCTTGAGGCGTGTTTCACGGTTGCCGGGGAGGCCGAGGACGGCCGACTCCTCGTCAACAACGAGCTACACAGTTAGTACCATCCAGTACCTTGATTGGGACATACCTACATGGCTAAGAGAAGCCGGTCCAGCGCCACCCAGCATAACCTCCTTCCCTTCGACAAACGAAATAACCTTATAATCCTCCAGCTGGTGCGAAAAGCGACTGCTCATCTGGCGGGTAAAGAGCGAGTTCTGCTCCAAACAGTCGAGAAGGTCATTGCTTGCGTGGCCTTTGGAAACGAAGCGCGCGACCTTGGCAGCGATTTTCCCGAGCTCGACCCCTTTGGTGCCGCGGTGGGGTGTGCCGAAGAAGACCAGCCCGGCTGTGTCTCTGCGGATAGTGCCGTATTTGGGGTCTTCTTGGGCATTTAGGAGGGCCTGGTCCTTAGCACCTCTTTCTCTCTCGTGGGAGACTCCGTAGTGGAGGTACAAACATGGCTTACCTGTTTGATGACCAAGCCGCCTAGACTGTGTCCGATGAAGATGATTTTCGGCAGTCGTGTGTTCTAGTCATCACGTTAGCCATACATTCACCCCTTCTGTGCCATCTTCTTTATCGACCCCAGAAACGCAACCCCTCAAAGTACCGCACAAAGAAGGACCAACCATCTGCGGACTCCTCTCCATATCCAACAAATTCAACAGAGTATTCGCATGATCTTTGACCCCCGCCGTGGACATCGTCTGCGGATTCGTAATATTCGAGTTATATCCGTAGACGAAGACACGAGCCTGGGGAACATCCAGCGGGAGGAAGTCGCGGGGCCAGAACGTCCCGTTGGGATGAGTCCATGTCTCGAAGGGGTGGTCATTCCGACCACGGGGGTTGAGGCCGTGGACGAAGATGAAGCTGAATACTCTCAGGATGTGCTGATAAACAATTTGGGGATCGGGGGAAATACTCGAGTTTTGGATTCTCGGGCGGAGTGAAGACTTCCTCAAGAAAGGGATACTCATATTCCGAGTTTGGGTTCTATCAGGATATTAGCTCTGAAAATGGACTTAGGTGGCAACGCTCATACCATCTTGATTCCGATCTATTGCGTTCTCACAGCACTCCGGTTAGCATCGTGGGTCCAAGGACATTTGCACGAGGGAGCAGAAGAAAGAAACGGAGAATAAGCAGACTCAGCCGCAACGAACCAGGTGATACACGGCGACACGCGAAGAACGACACCCAATCGACTCGGATTCCCTCGGATTGCCGCATACTCGCAGGAGATATACGAGATGGCGTTAATCTGGATGCAGTAAGTAGCGTGGCCCTCTTATTGGTAGATGCAGTGCTTATTCTTAGCTTGCCCGGGGGGGGTTAAGATAGGCGAGGTGCAGCTATCACTTTGACGGTTTATCTGCTTGTCGGGCGGTTGTCACATGAACTGTGCTTTTTGGGCAGCTCTGAACACGCCTCTTCTTTCTATGGAAGGGGTCAGTATTGTATCAGCAGATGTCTTTCTTGCTGTGTTGTACAGAGACGAGCTAGCGCTGACGGCGTACTGACCCGCAAGTACGCCACATGCTGCTGTTGGCTTTGATTTAAACAAGCTGTCAATGCTGCATGACTTGTATGATGTAACAGATATTGATCTGGCGGTGTTGTCTAGAACGACTGTCTAAACAACACTCATATGAAACTGGTGTTAAATGGTGAAGATTCACATGACCGTGGAGGAAACACCTTGTTTAATGGGTTATATCTCTAGTCAATTGTCGTCTTCCCCACTGCCTTTTTTAAATCTCGCTTTCATCACTTTTGCATTACGTCGCTATAGACAAAATGCGATAGTAACAGTTATAACTTGGCCAACTGGTGCCTGTTAGGGATACCTGTCAGTTCAAGAGCTCGGATAGTAAGTCGCCAAATTCTGGATCATCCAGGAATTTTCCGGTACAACTACTGCTCCCAAAAAAACCAAAAACTCACGCGGCGGCGAAAAATTTCAATCACCAGCTGAGGCATGTTACGACAGTTGCGCAAGGGCTCTAAACCGAATGGTGCATACACTAGTTGTCATGTCCGGCAAGGCTTTGGATTTGCATAGTGATACCGCCATCATTCCGGTCTTTGGTTTCCCACATTAGTATGCAGATCATTCTCTTCAAGCAGATCAGAGTTGAGATTGACCAGATTGACTACTTTTGGCAAAATCCACAGTTACAACGATCTGATTCATAATATCAACAGTGGATGAAATCTGCAGAACCTGTAGGGAAAAGGATATATTATGTCGCAAGGAGTACCACTCGGCTACAAAAGATATCTAAACACTTCTGAGCTCTGTGGATACCCCCTCATACACTATATTATATTGCGACATATCAACACTGATCAAGGAGCCGTGCAAATGACCTCTGACAATGGCCGCCTCCACGAAAACCACCCAGACCTGGTCCAGTCCAGTCAGCCGAGTCTGTTATTATAACCAACTAACAGATGTAAATCTCAACTAGAAGTACAAATCGTGAACCTTAAACAAAAAGCCCTCCAGCACGCGTCCACTAAGGGCGACCAGGAAGAACACTTCCATGTCCCAACCACTAATCACAAACAGTAATGATCGAATGCAGCGGAATTCGTGCAGCCCTTATTGCAGGTAATGACCCAGGACAATTTACTAGACTCGCCGCATTGGAAGAGACTGTTATGCCGGGTTTCATTATCAAGAGGCTGATCAGCTTCCTCCAGGGCCTCGTTAATGGAATCGTCGTAGTCACCTGTGCTCGATCATTAATGGGTTATTGATCTTCTCTATTCATAATCATGCAGCAAAGACATACCCAATTCCCACAGTGTCTCAGCACAGTAGTAAGCCTTATCTTCGCAGGGGTCAGCTGCCACCAAGGAGCTGAAGATGGCCAGGGCGGCGAAGGTGAACGTTTTGGTGTTGATCATTGTGATAGTCAGATTGGATTCGTTGATTGTTTTGTAAGGAAGAGCTGTTTTGAAACCGGGATGAATTCAACTGGTTCGGAACCGATGATGAGATTGAATCAAGCGAGGAGGACGGGCTCTTTATACTTTTATTTCCATGGACCAGCAACTCCCTACCAGAGATCAAGTGAACTCGCAGACTCTGAGGCTAAAGGAATGAAGATCAGCAGAGAAGAGACACCAACTACGACTCAAAGAATGAGAATACACAGCCTACTCCGCTACAGGTGATTTTGCAATTACCTGATGAAGATCATGGCAACCTGGAAGGATGGTTGAACGGTGATTCTACCACTTGGAGTTATCTTCACGACGGAAACATTCCAGTGTTCCAAGGCCAAGGTATGTGTGGCTATGTATTGGGATGCATGCTAGGGTCATCAAGCCCAATTACCTATTATATTCTACCACAACATGTTGAGTGAAAAGTACAAGCGTAAGAACCCCCGTCGAATAAAGCAAAGATCAGCATCGGCTTATTATAAGGCTGCGATAGTGGATCTTGCTTGGCACGGAACAGCACACATGGATTACCATTGGAAAACAATCATAAACTCATCTATCAGGCTGTGCAAGCATAGGAGTTACTAGATTAGGCATTTGCTGTTGGTACATCTTTAACCCCAGCTCCTACTATGTACTATGTACACAGATGTCCTACTAGTTCATTGATGAAATCACTTTCTTATTGTGAAACTGAAGTCAGATGGCAATTAGAAAGGCTAGAAGAAAAGGAATAAGCACGTTTTTAGTTCTAAAGTCGAATATGTTTCAACAAGGCAACGCTATGCATATGCAGCTACTCACTCCTCTGCTCTGCCACTCCTCGGTAATCTGCTTAGTTTCTGAGTAAAAAGTAACAAGGGATGAGCACTAAACAAAAAGGCGAAGCGTAGAAAGGCAGAAATCTGTGATTATAACAAGTATCAATTAAGTACACAAGTATAGAAAAGCTTCGTTCTTAGCACGAACCGGAAGGAAAGAACAAAAAGAACCAGCCTAGGTAGTTCTGAAATCAGACAGCAGCCTCAGAAACATCACAACCCATATTTTGATCTCATTCGCTGATACCAAAATACCAAAGCGCTAAACTCCATGCTATCACTGACCGGAAACCGCCTCGAATACCTCCCCACAGACACCACCCGCCCCGACTCCGCCATATCCAGCCCATGTGACTGCACCGAGTCAGTTGGCCACACGGGACTAATGATGCTGTAAATCGGGTGGTTTGACGCGGTTGAGCTGCTTGTCACGGCCTTGTCTTTCCTACCCCCGGCGCTGCTGTTCTTATGTTGTCAGGGGAGGGGTTGACGTCGTTCTCGCGGGCACACTGAAGATCAATAATCCAGGCACACACCCCATATCCGAGATGCTCTGGAACAGCAGCAAGTAGATCAAGTTGCTTTTTTTTGCATTATAGAAATAGGTGCCAGTCAATGACTATATCCGGTCATCCGTAGTTGCAGGTATAACTACTGATTGTGGTGGACGTTGATAGAGCATTAGTATGCCAAGAAGGGGTGAAAGACTAACAGAGATGGGACGTTTCTTCATCAAGTGAATTTCTTGATACCATGAAATCAGATAATAGCCAAGGATGTGGGTCTATATAACATCACACCAGTTGACAGTACCTCGACAGCAGGTTATGTTAGCTACTTGGTCGCGTGAAAGTCAGACAAATATTGAGGAGTAAGGACCTGCTGTATTGCCATTTGTTTCTCAGTAGTAATGGGCAGTATCCAAAGAGAATAGTATAATTAGGGTCAATTTCTCGATGCAAGTATGCAAGAGAATAAAATGGATAGATGCTTGCATAATGTTTCCTATCAAACACCCCGTCCACAATGCACGTGACTGCAACTACCATCAACCATCTGAACAATGCTTTGTCTTCTCGAATAGACAGAAAAAAAGAAGAAGATAACACTACAGAACAGGCCATCCACTCGAAAAGTCCAACGCATTCCACCCAAACAGCTTCTGTCCGTCCGCGTACCCAATATCCGTATCCACGTAGTGATAGTACATGATGGGGCCGAGGGTTGGATCATCGTAGACACCACTGCTCAATTAGCTTAGCAGTAAGAACATAGAAAGGGGATGTGAGATAAAAAACGTACAGTCCGCCTGGTCCATAGACTGTATCATGACTTTCGAGGACGACTGTCCCGCCGCCTTCTGTGCAGGGGATGCCGTCGCTGTCGACCTGTCCACCCAGTCATTGCATTAGTATCAGTTCATCAACAGCAGCCACTCTGATACAGTCGACCAAAAAGGGGGAAGAAAATGGAAAGAAAACATACAAACCCCCCATCCACCTTCTCCGACCTACAAACCTTAACCTTATACTCCTGCCCAGCCGGCGGCATCGCCCCATCATACCCACAACAAACGCCCCACATAAAAAACAAATAATTCCAGTCCCCAAACTTGAACAAGAACGGCCCTTCCAGGGGATGCGTACCCTCAGGCTCAAACGCAACATTATACGGCTCGCCTGCGGACAATGTGGCATCCGCATTCATAGGAACCTGGAAGAGGTCTGTCCAGAAGGACCCGAAGGTCATGTAGGGGGTTTGGCCGTCGATCAACAGGTTGGCGTCGATGGCGTTGTAGGGTGAGCCTTCGCTGGAGGAGACGCCTGTTGCGCCGTGGTCTGTCCATGACCCTGGGTCCATTGAGGGGGAGGTGGCTAGGCCGATTGCTGAGGCTTGCGTGCCGAATGTGCTGACTGTGTAGTAAAGGTGGTAGGCATCGTTGACAAGGGCTATATCCGGGGCCTGTTTCTTAGTAAGTACGATGTTTATCGAGTATAGAGACAGGGGAAGGAGTGAGGGAGGAAAGGCCAAACCCATAAATCATCCCTCCCTTCTAAATCAATGATTGACCCGTCGGGAAGAACACTCCCGAGCGCCGTCCACGGCCCCTCTACGGCTGGGGCACTCGCATACGAGATCTTGTTGCCCGTTGAAAAGCGGAAATAGGTGCCGTCTTCGCGGCGGATAAGAGCTGGGTCGTGGACGTTGCAGGGGCCGGTGCAGGCGCCGGGGGCGGGGTATGCATTTACCGGGAGGATGGAGGGGATGAGGAGACAAGAGAGTTGGAGAAGGGTGGGGATGAAGGAGAGCATGGTGATCGGCTTGTGATCGACTTGAGTATTGGGGGTTTGGTTAGGGCTGTAGATCTTGCGGCTAGAATATGGAGGTTATATATACAGAGACATAATTGTGGAGATGGTATTTATACTGTTGCAGGGATAGATGATCCGTATCGTATTTAGATTAAACCCACGCAAGAAGATAATCCACCAACAGGAGAAGCCCTAACATATATCTCTCATTTTATATAAACATACCTCCGTAGTAAAACGACCAATGTCGGAGGATCACCCCGAAACAATACCATCCGAGAATAAATTAACCCCACAAGCATCCCGTGAGTTACTAACTACAATTAATATACGTAAGATATCTACTCCATAATGTCAGAGACAATCCACCAATCGGAAACACACCGTGCCAAATGCATATCATTTATATTAAAAAACTAGAGATGTGCCGGCTTGCAGCAACTGCCTCCCCCACCTCCACCCACTACCACCGACGATCCGTTTCGATCCGACGGGACGTCCAATGCGGGGTTCTCCGTGAAGAAGTCCGATGGGCGGATGGAGAGCTGGAAGGTTTCAACGGGCCTGATTTGTTAGTTTCATCCAAGAAAAAAATGTATAGGAGGGGAGCACGCAAGGAGAACAATGAGGAAAACAAAAACATACATCACAGGCCAATCTTCCACTCGTGGATTATGGGTAATCCCGAAACAGCTCCACACTACAACATCGGCATCCTCGACGACATCACCGCGCTTGACAGCGTCCGCCACGCCGTCAGCCTCCACCTGGCTCTGCAGCGTGTACCGCCCACCCGCGTAGAATTCATGGTCGCGGTACCCGGTAACCCACACGTGGTGCTGAGCGAACTGCGCACGCTGGGCCTGGATGGACCGCGGATCAGCGAGCAGCGTCTGCGTAGCCAGAGGGGTGAACTTGTAGGCGACAGGATTCTGGGAGATAGGGTTGCGCTTGTGGGGGTTGATCATCTTGACGACGCGGTTGAGGTGCGGCGCTGCGTCGAGGGCGGCGGCTCGGGGGACAGGCGTCGACTGCACACGGTAGAGGTTTCCGTGGGGGTTCGTGGCGGGGTTGAGGGGTACAGGGTGCGACTCTTCTATGTGGACAGAGTTGCGCGCGCCGTCGATGGCGGGATCCATGCGCACGCAGAAGAGATGTTGGTGGTTTTGCGCGAGCACGCCGCCTGACACCACGGTGCCGTAGTCTGAGGTTTTATTGGCGTCGATGTTGACTACATTGAGGATGCCAGTTGCGCGCGCTTCGACGGTGATGCCGCCTGCTTGGTCGAACTTGTACGCGAAGACATACTCGTAGTTAGCTAGTGTGATGATGAACTGCACGACGAGCTCGCGGTTGCGTGTGACGACCGCGCGGCCAGTCCGCCAGTTCGAGTGTTTCCACCCGATACCGCCGTCCTGCTCGTGCAGGCAGATGGCGTTAGGGAGTTTCTGGGGTCGACCGTCAGGTCCAGTCGCCATGGCATCAAAGTACTTGATTACGCCGAGACAGTCGCAACCGATGGAGAGGTTGTTGGCCATGTTGCCGCCGCCGCCGTCGCCGAAGTCAAACGCCTGTTTGCGGTGGAAGGGAGGCCGGGGGTCCGCGTAGGGGACGGTCATCTCGCTGATCGCGAGGCGGTACATGACGCTGCGCCCGTCGTACCATACATCGTGGATGGTGGCGCCCTCGCGGGGGTTGAAAGCGACGCGGAAGCGCCACTTCTGCCATTCGACGAGGGACTCGTCTGTGACGCGAAAGGATGGGCCATCGGGCTGGACTACGTTGAGCGGTTTGAGGTCCTTGCGCGTGCCCTGCGGGAGGAGCTCCGGCACGTAGTCTGAGGACTTGCAGTGGCCGATGATGTCGCGGGAGAACGTCTGCGCATCGAGCGCCTCGCCTTTGCCTCCTGTCGCGGGACGGTCGACGCGGATAATCTCCGAGGTCAACGCGTCTATGACGGGGATGACGGGCAGCGGAAAAGAATAGAAGTTGGCATCGGGGTTGTTCTTGGTGGTGTCGCGGGCGAAGCACAGCCCTTGGAAGAAGCGGCGGTTGGGGTCAGCGTGGTCGCGGCCTCCATAAGGCCAGGGTTCGATGACGACTTCGAAACCGGCGGGGAGGTCGAAGTCGGATAGGGCTTGTTGGAAGAGAGGAGAGGCGAAACATTTTTCGACTAGGACGTCGAACTCATTTCTAAGGTACTTGGTCAGCGTTCACTGAATGGGCATATGCTTCGAACGACTACACCGAAATATTGAACGGCTTCTTGGGGGGCTTGATACGACTGACATCCAACTGATATTGGATATAAAGTTGAGAAGAAACCTACAATGTCAGCGCAGCATGATGCTGCTTCGCCACCACCTCATGGTGCGTCCGCCGACGCGACCCAACATCAACGACCGACTCCTCATACGACGGGATGCGGTCCCCCCCAATGACATCATACTGGCACAAGGCTTGACGTGGTGGACGGGGCGTCGTCGGACTCAAGCGGCCTGCATGCTCGAGGGCTAGGAACTCCTGCAGCTGGTCTTTCGGCGGTTCCCAGAGATAGATCTCCCGGAAGTCGATGACTGTGCTTGGATGGGCGGCGAGGACGACCTCGCGTGCGATGTTGGTCTCCTCTTCAGAGAGGATGGCGAGGGGGTGAGGCATTGTCTCTTGTTTGTTCGTACGAGTTGTAGATGTAAATATGCTGTCGGATTGTGGGAATACGACACAGAAATCATCTATATATATAGATGCTTATCTACACGTGCGGGGTTGGAATGATTCCCGCCGTGCCTGAATCCTCGGGCGTAAGTTGGACATTTTCGGCTGGACTTGCTCGATTGGGCCAGACGCGGAATGATTCCATGGTCACGGTGATTGGCCTCAGGATGACAGGATCTATCAGGGTTGACGGATGGGATCATTATAAGATAAAAGAAAATCGACACAATCCATTGTCATGTTGTGTAACTAGTCCAGCCAAGACAATTGTTCTATCCAAATCAAGGCAATATATGCAAGAATATGTGCAACTCGTGATGTAAATACAGGGTATGTATCCAACGCCCCAACATTATAATAAAAAGAAAAAGAAAAAGAAAAAGAAAAAGGAAAAGGAAAAGAAAACAGATAGTCATTCATACCATCCACATCGTACCATAAATCAAATAAATATTAGAATATCCTCGTAATACTGGGCTTCACCCAGCGCGGTCGTTTGCAATCCGCGTTCAGTTCTTCTTGTAACTGCTTCAACTTCCCCACGTCCCATCCGGCCGACAGACGCGCTGTCGTTCCGAGTAACTTCTTGGACGAGCCTAACCGCATCGTCCGGATGAAGATGCAGTGGCCGGTTGAGTCGTACGTGTAGCCTTTACAGTCGGGGTGGTCGTGGCAGGCGGTCCCGCAGGCCTCAAAGGATGTGTGACCGGGGGACTCGGGAGGTTCCTGCCACCCGCCGAAGTCGCCGTTGTCCCAGTCGGTGCGGTGGTCGAATGTGCCGAGTTTGGTGTATTCGTAGAGATCGGAGTAGAGCAGGGGTTCCTACAGGATTAGCATGGTTTCACCGACATATGTGCACAGAAGGAGAGAAAAAGGGACAACAGACAAGAAACAAAGCAAAAAGGAAGAAAAGGGAGGGAAAAAAAAACAAAACATACCGATCGGTCTCGACTGTTCTCCCACTGCATGAACCCGTACATGTCAGCCGGCAGCGTCTTGTGCATGGTGATGACTGGCTGGCACCAATACGCGCCATCAAAAGGAACACCATGAAGCGGGTGTGGCTGAAACATGGGCCACAACCCGGACAAGCGCACGCCCTTCTCGAACAGCACCCAGCCCAGCACGGAGTCGCCGCAACAGTCCTCCTTAATGATCTGCTCGAACTGCACACTCAGCGACGGTTGGATGAGGTCCCCCATCGCGCCCGTAGTTCGCTCCACTGCCTTGTCGATGGCGCCCGCCGACAGAACGATGCCCGCACCGCCATACGCAAACCAGGTGACCTCGCCGTCGCCGGTAACGCGACCGGGCGATGGCGATCCAAAGTAAAGCGGCCGATCCGGGTTGAATTGATCCAGGAGGCGGAAGAGGTTGTCCCAGACGACGTAGGTGTCGGACTCGAGGAAGATGAACCACTGCGCGGTGGGGTTGACGTCGTAGGCGCGCTCGACCATGGGGAGGAACTTGAAGCGGTCCAGGTTCCACCCTTTCTGGGTATCGGCCATGGAGGCCGGGTCGCCGCGCTTGGCGGCCTCGTAGGCGTCGAAGTCGGTGGTGTTTACGCGGAAGGAGGGAGGTAGGGTCGCGAGGATGTCGTGCACGCGGTGGCCGCGCAATTCGCCCTCGCGGTCGGAGACGATCAGGAGGTTCTTGATGCAGCGGGTGACGGTCTCGATCTGCGGGTTGAGGCGGTCGGCGGGCTCGGAGGCGCCCATCTTCAAGACGACCTGGACGCGCGAGAGGACTTCGGTGGGGAAGGAATCGCAGAGGTGGTCATCTGGGTTCTCGTCGCTGGCGCCGGCGCCGGGGGGAGTCCGTGGCGCGGGCGCAAACCGCGTGAAGGTCTCCCATTCCCAAAAGTCAGGAGGTGGCGGGCCGTCGTTTCCGGGCGCGACATGGTGGTAGAGATCGGAGGGGAGGAGGGAGGAGCCGCTGAGGCCCAAGTGGAGGAATGTGGTGGTGACGGTGAAGCCGCACAGCAGGATGAGGGCCGTAATCCAGCGTCGCGACAGCCGGATGGCCATATCGAGGGGAGAGAGTATCAATCGCCAGTGTATACAAATACAAACAAGAATCACAATCAATCAAGCCAATAAAATACAATAAAGTAAAATAAAGACCAGAATAGAATGAGGAGTCGGGAGGGGCGGAGAATCTGCGGTCACGGGGCCAGTACCGACGGTGGAGCAACTGGCGAGTTTAAAACGTCATCCCAGCCAATATATCCAGCGCATTCAGTTGTCCTCGTGGTGATGTCTCTCCTGGAAGCTGGACAATAAAGATGATCTTCTGACAGCTGCAACATGAGTTTTAAGGACAGTTTGGAATCAGGCGAGTTGTTATTCCAGACGATATTAGGGGCTCCAGCCTCGCAGGGAAACGGGGGGGTTGCCGTGTGGGTCCTGGCGCCGCATTCCAGTCCCTTCGGTTGACGGTCTCCACTACAGCAACACCTCAGTTATTTTCCGATACTTCATGGGGTATCAAGGACTTGCCATGGTCAATGAGAACTCCATACAAAATCCATACCAACTCCCTGCTATGTCTATTTGCGAACTATGTCACAAAGAAGACAAGAAGAAACAAGGAAATAGACAACAGTGAAGAATGAAGAATCAACAAGAAGGAAGTGATCGACATCTGACAGCGCCACCACAATTCACCAGCCAGTCACGCTTCTCCTGCGGGCCTGGAATCCAAGGAATGCTTGGAGGAGCAGCCTGACTCTAACACAACCCAACACCATGTCACGATTAACATTCTCGGAGTTGAAAGCTGTCTGTTTGATAGGTGCATATGTCACTATCAGATTCTAGACCAAATGCCATTATGACCACGACCTCATCTGTGAGAAAGCAGCAAATGAACCCATATTCAATACCGGATCAATTGCTGAACCATGCCAAGCCAGATTAGTATCAAGATGGTTAGTCGGCGCAAGATACAACATCTAGTGCTTATCCACAGCCTCACCGTCAGATTAAACATCCACCATCATTTTTCAGCCAGAGGTCACTATATATACCCTATGACCCAAGCAGCATCGAGAATGGTGGTGCCGTTGATATGCCTAGGCTGAATCGACAGGCATGCAAATTACACTGTGCTAGAATTCTGCCCCGTTTTATTCTATTACCTAAGCAGTGTCGATAATACATCATATTGGAATCGAGCATAGAGTATTTCGAGCATTATCAATGTTCCTGATGTGGGAGGCGGTCTACCTCACCTGGTGACCGGGCTATTGTAATCTCCACACGTGTATGTACTGCCTGTTGAAAAGAATCTCCATCTATCTATCTATCTATCTAGAAATCCAAGTCCAATAATACACGGTTCTATCCGTGATAGTAGCCTAGCTGAATGAATGAAATATGATCGGAGTCATCATGGGAACAATACTTGTAGCGGCCCTCTTCGAGAGACCATTACTTCCGCATTAGATACTATGCCGGCTGGCCCCAACCGAATCCCAGCCTCTTGTGGGGACATCTCCATACCATCAATGAGATCTCGAAGCGAGGCGATCCACGACGACACTTCGGAGCAGTAGCCCTCGCTGGGAGTAGACGATTGATACCATCCGACTGACGGACAGTAGACTAAGTTCTGGCGGATATCAGAAAGACTCTGGGCAGCCCACCCCCATTCCTCCTCGATCTCCGTCCATTTGACCCGCCGCTGGGGTCATCTATGACCATGAGCTTGCGGAGCAACTGACGAGAAGCTCCCAGAGACACCAGTACGGGCTCGGAAAAGCACCGGCCATTGCCATTGCCCAGTCGGCTCCCGTCTCAGGACAGCGGTCCATGTTTATTGCTGAAGTATGACCGTTTGCTCTGCCTCATGAACACGAATTAAGACCACCAGGGACCCGAATGGAAGAGACTGCGAAGGGGCTTCAATCCCGAAGTTTCGCCCCAGCAACCTCATGACCACAATGCCGGCGATCATGGACCGGACATGGCGGTTCGTGGAGAACATCGAGGCGCTCACCATCAGTCGCGAGGAGGTGCATCTGCATGATCTGTGCGTCAAAACCTAATGTTTGACAATCAGTAGGATCTCGCCCTCCCTCGCAATAGTGTCCAAGTCGGTCGACCCATTGTCGTATTTTAGACGCGGTTGCGATGGATCTTGACCTTCGCGCGCAGATCCAAGGCCAGCAGAACGAAATCGTGTCTCTTTGGCCTGCTGACGGCGGCGTACCGAAGAGGTAGCGGCCTGCAAACCTTCTTGACCAGCCCTAGAGAGATTTTCCACCGGCGAGACCTAGCCCATCGGCTCCACCATCATCTGGACGCGGTGGTCGAGCAGAGGTTCCACGGAAAGAAGCAGGCCGCGGGCAAAGGCAGCGAAAAGAAATGCGCCCCATCGCGCACAGGCCTCCCCCTCAGTCTGGAATAATTGGAGCATCTGACCCCCGACATTGTTGCCGAGACCCGGGACCAGCTCAAGACATTCCTCTTTGCCAGGTATCTTACAACCAGCAACCTCCTCCAGTGGTCTTTCTACGAGCTGGGTCGCAAGCCGCATGCCCTTGATCGTCTCCGCCGCGAGATTGACGACGTCCTCGGCGAGCGCGCCTCGCCGCACACCATCCGACACCTGCTCACCACGTATGGGTCCGAGTATCTGCCCCGATTGTCTACACGGCAGCAGTCGTCAAGGAGGTCCTCCGTCTGTATCCGGCGACAGGGGCAGCCGCATACGCACTGGACGGCACGGAATTCTTCCTCCACCCCTCGAACGGGCCCCCGCTGAATTTAGACGGCATCGTGGGAGCCAACTGCATTGGCAACATCCAGAGCGACGAAAAAGTCTACAGACCTACCAAGGATGGGTCCATTCCCGACCGGTGGCTCGCTCGGTCTCCATCAGACGACAACGGCGATGACGACACCACCAAGACTCCCTGTGCGGTCGACATTCCCCCAGGCGCATGGAGACCGTTCAACCGGGGTCCCCGCGCGAGTATCGGCCAGGAGTCAGTCAAGCTAGAAGCTCGCGCCATCTTAGTATGTGCTGTCGCGCGGCATGATTTCTGCAGGGTTAGGGTGGGAGAGCTGGTGCGAGACAGTATGGGGAATTGCCTGTTGGACGATAAAGGACGGTATCAAGTCAAGTCCGAACTGTTCAATGTATGCCCTCTCTCTTGTTCTCTGGTATGGATCCATTTCTTTTTATCTTCTGGTAGGGGCCTTGCTTACGCGGTGTTTGTATCAGGTGTCTGAAAGTGACGGGCATACCGGTGGACGGGATGAAGATGGGGGTCCAACTGGCACCTAGTGTGGGACAGTCACTATAAGGAGTTACGACTGTTGGAGGGATATCTCGGATATCAATATACAGACGTATCTTCCCGTCTGGTAAAAGGAATAAATATGTGGGCATATTTGACGTGGGGGATTGCCTCAAGCCTTTGATCTATCGAGTATCTGCTTAGGGAAGAAACAAGAATTAAACATCTTGATATCTGTCCATGGGAGGTATGTCGGGGATGGTTGGAAAACCCCCTTGCATGATACATCGGTGCATTCGTTGTTGATAGTGCGTCTTCACCGACAAATGCCTTATCATGTCCCGGCCACAGGGCTTCTCCGGAGTCAGCGTCGTGCAAGAGGCAGAAGTGATCATCTGCCCTGAAATGACGCGAGTATCACAAAGACAGTCCCAACGGGCTGTCCCCGCACTTAGAGGCCTGGAGATTTCGGACTGCTGTCCCTAACCCGGTATGTATGTCACACCGAACATCTGTGTCCAGACATGTCGACCTATCCATCGACCGACGCGGGGATTGGCTCTGCGTGACGGCGCCGATGACTCGGTCGATCAAGACGCAAGGAAGCCACCCCGCTGTGTTCCGGTACGTGTATTGGAGTCCTGCAGGCAGGAAGTGGGCATTAGGATCGAAGGCGCAAGCTGACGACAGCCGGCTCCCGGAGTAGGCCATTAGGGTGTGAGAGTCGAAATCCACCCGCTATAATCAGTCCTTGCTTGTAATCTTTATTTCATCGGCAAACCTGACAAATACGGCCTCTGGCAGAGAAGTAAGTACTTGCTCACAGTCATTAGATAAGGCCAGTGTCCTGACCGTCGCTTATCGCTCTCGGGACCAAGAAGCTCTATATTCTTGTGACACGGAGAGTATGACGAGCCCAATCGACGGGCACGCGAAGAGTTGCGAAGATGGCAGTTGGTGTGTGATCCCTCCCTCAGGCGGAGAAATCGGCTCAGGATCGCCGAGGAGGCTGCAAATGTCTCCCCGTGGCCGATCGGCTGTCGCAACTCTCTGCATCGACAGCGGCGTCCAGCCGTTTCAAGCGATCCTGGCTTTATGGGCCGTTGTCCTTTCCCAATACACGGACGTCCAGTGTGGAAGGATCTGGGTATCTGGCGCTCGTGGCGAACCGAGGCGGCTCCTGGCAGCCTCGCTAGCTGACCGGGTTGCCTTCCGTGCCCTTCTAGACAAGAGCCAGTGGGAGGTCACCACTGCCCCGGCTGGCACCGAGGCGAATACGGGAGTTCTTTGGGACCAGAACCCAGGACAGATGTTGGGAAGCTCGAATGCGATCCAGGAGGTAATCTCCCCTCCCAGCAGCATCAACAAATCTGACAGAATAGCAGGTCTGTGATCTTTTCTGGGTGGTCCACGCTCCTTGCCAGCAGGAACCGCTAGCGGTGGAATTCTGGTACCGGCCTGGCTTTCTATCGGAGGCCGTTGCCACCACGGTGATGGAGCGCATGGAGACGTTGGTCTTCATCGTCTGCCAGGATGCAGACCAGAATATCCGCCAGCTGACTATGCCCACACGAAGGGATATGGAGAGACAAAGAGACTGGCAGATTCGACCCACTCAAGCCGTCGAGCCAATGCAAGTCTCCGTTCATAAACACTGCGTCCAGAGCCCCGACCGTTTGGCCGTTATTGCTGGAGACGGGTCTTTGACATACCGCGAGCTGGACGGCTTCGTGGCGCGTGCTGCCAGCCTACTTGTACAGGTCGGCATTCGGTCAGGGGCTCTAGTACCCATCTGCTTCACCAAGAGTCTGTGGGCTGTGGTGGCCATGGTGGCCATCAACAGAGTCGGTGCTGCATTCGTTCCCCTGGATCCGACCCTGCAGACGCCCATGCAGCAACGGGATATTGTCGACCAGCTGGGAGCCACGGTGGCCGTGACAGGCGAGGCTTGTGCGGCAGCATTGCAGGAGATGGTGGACCAAGTGGTGGTCCTGTCGGACCAAACCGTTCCCACTGCAGGGCCCTCAGACCAAGAGAAGGGACTAGCCCTGACTCCCCCGCCGGAGGACAGCCCAGCCTACGTGCTCTTCACATCAGGAAGCACTGGGAAGCCAAAGGGATGCGTGGTGTGTCAGTCGGCATTTGATCTCTTCGTCGTCCTTGCCCCGAATCTTGGACTCAGGCCGGGCGATCGGGCCTTTCACTTCGCGTCGCTCACGTTTGCCATCGGCATTATCGAAGTCTTTTGCGCCGTAGGCTTGGGGGCCACCGTATGCATGCCGGCTGATCATTCGCAGCGGAAGAGTGTCTCGCAGGAGATGGCGAACCTACGCGTCGAGTGGGCGATGCTCACACCCACCGTGCTGGGTATCTTGGACCCCGGAAACGCGCCGCACCTGCAGAGGGTCGTGCTAGCAGGGGAGGCGCCTTCTCCAGCGCAGCTCGAGCTATGGGCGGCCGCGGTCCATCTCCGAGTGGCGTACGGTCTTACCGAGTCGTCTATCACTTTAACCATCTCGGATCGGATCACACCCGGACGTCTGCGGCCCGGCAACGTTGGGTTCCCGATCAATGTGACGGCCTGGGTGGTGGATCCGCAGGACCACGACCGACTGCAGCCGGTTGGGAGTCCGGGCGAGCTGGTCATCGCCGGGCCCAGCCTGGCTCACGGCTATCTAAACCAGCCCGACAAGGCGGCAGTCGTCTTCATACCGCCGCCACGGTGGGCAGATCCGAAGGATCCCACGGCCCGGTACTACAAGACCGGGGATCTAATGCGACACGATCCCGACGGGAGTCTGGTGCATCTGGGGCGCAAGGACCGCCAGGCCAAAGTGCGCGGGATTCGCGTGGATCTGCCATCTGTCGAGCACGCGGTGGGCAAGCACTTCCCTAAGGCCCGGGAGGTTGTTGCAGAAGTGGTTCCCACCTCTACTTCCACCAGCAGCCGTCTCGCGGTCTTTCTGCTACAGGAAGACCCCATCTCGGCCGGGGGCGACATCCTAGCGGCACCTACGATGGGCTTCATCTCGCAGGCCAAGCGGGCCGAGCAACAATTGAGTGTCTCTCTGCCGTCATTCATGGTCCCGTCCGTCTTCTTCCCGGTCCTCCATATCCCCAGAACCCGGACGGGGAAGACGGACCGCAATCGACTGCGCGAGCGGGCCAGTGGTCTAGCCCCGGACAAATGGATTCAATACAAGATAAACGCGCCGGTGGAGACTGTTCCGGACTCAGCATGTCAGACGGATCGATCCTTGCGACGCATCTTCGCCAACGTCCTCGCGATCCCGCCGGAGCGCGTGGGCCCAGATGCGGATTTCTTCGAGCTGGGGGGAGACTCGGTTAGCGCCATGCGCATGGCCGAGATGGCACGCGTGGCCGGCCTGTCCCTCCATGTCCACGACGTGTTGACCTGTCGCACACTGGCCGCTATCGCCGCACGAGCGCACGGAGTCCAAACGCTGCCCGACGAAGCCCTTCCGCGCAGCCTGGCCGACGACGCGCTCAAACAGCGTTGTGTCTCCGAGGCCCGCCGCAAATGGACTCTGCCCGCCGAGGTGAAAGTGGTCGATGTTCTTCCTGCGACCCGGATGCAGGCACTGTACATCAACAACGGCGGGCTGGACTCCTTCGGCTTTTTGATGGTAGGCGAGGTTGACGTGGACCGGCTCCGAGAGGCCTGTCGGGCCGTGGTTCGTCGACACGCTGCCCTGCGAACCATTTTCACGCGCACCGGCACCAATTTGTTCCAGATTGTCCTTGAATCCCTCGACCCGCCGTTCGAGTGCGTCACTATGACAGACGACTTGACCACCTTCCGCCAGCGCTTCTGCTTCGCCGGCCCAGATCCCAGCGCCCATCTCGATCGGCCGACGGTGGGATTCACCTGGGCGCGCGACCCCGCGGGCCGTCAGCATGCCTTCTTCGTCCAGCTGTCGCACGCCCAGCATGATGGCGCCTCGATCCCGGTGCTGTTCCAGGATTTGAGCGCGGCGTACCGCGAGCCTTTCACGTCCCCCGTAATGGGGTTCCCCGACTTTCTCTACTACCGTGCCCGGCCTGGCTGTGTCGCCGCCGCGCGTCAGTTCTGGGCCCGATACCTGGAGGGGGCGGCAGCTACCATGCCGACAATTGACGGCGCGCATAGCCCTGCCGGCGGTACCGCTTCCCCCGTCTTCGCGCGTGCTTCGGCGCGCCTCGCGCCTTGCCCGGCGGGAGTCACCGTGGGGTCCGTACTCCGTGCCGCCTGGGCCTACGTGCTGTCACACGCGGCGGCCACCGCGGACGTTACGTTCGGGCATTTTGTCAACGCTCGCAGTCTGCCCCTCAAGGGGATCGATCGAGTGCTGGGCCCATGTAGCCACATCATTCCTTGCCGGGTGCGGCGGAGAGACGGCTGGACGGTCTGCGAATACCTAGACCACGTGCACCAGGACTATCTCCAGACCGTGCGGCACGACCACCTGGAGCTCAACCACATTCTGGACGCAGCGGCGGGCTGCGCCCCGGGGACAGGGGTCGGCACCATCCTCCTCCACCAGAATATTGACAGCAACCGGGCGCTGCATTTTGATGACGCCCGCAGCATCGACAGCGACTTGTTCATGAAGTTCCAGAAAATGACCGACATCTGGGTCTTCTCCTACCCGAGCGCCACCGCGCTGGACCTACGGGTACTGGGGCCGGACTCGTTGCTGTCCCAAGAACTGTGTACCCGTTTGGTCGGGCAGCTCGCGGGCCTAGTGCAGACCTTCCTCGAGACCCCTGACATGCGCTTGTCGGATATTGACCTATCTACCGTGGGCATGGTGCAGACCTTCCTCGAGCCCCCCACGGTGCACTTATTGGGTGTTGAACGGTTACCCCTCGGGTGAATCAGAGCATGATGAGTAGGTCCAGCCAGGCGCGAAGGGCGAGCATCTAGTAGAAGAGGGGACAGCGATAAGGATAATGACACTTTTCTGGAAGCGATGGCACTGATTACAGACTAAAGTGAAATGAGGAGAGATTAACAAGACAAGCGCAGTCAGGTGACTGCTTCTGATAACATCGACGGTTGACAGGCATAAACTTCCTAGTCAATTGGCGTGTAGATTATATTCATTGATAGACAATAAAGCTTTAAAAAAATAGGTGACTAGCGTTGCTCTGCTGAATTATACAGAGACAGGTTCCCTCCCACTGCCTGTCCGCTTATGATTTTATGAAAAATGTTGACATCCTTGACTAATATGAGCCAAATATAGAGATGAACCTTCTGTTGTTAAATCAAGATTTCGCCTTTTTATAAATATCGGCCTATTCGGTGTTGCAAAAATACTCCCCCAGATGACCTCAAACAGGTACACGAAATGATGTATCAACATCGTAAGACTTCAGACTGCTATTTTAAATAATTTTAACGCGGGTGCCTTTGCACATACCAAGATCCAAAGCTTCTTCGAATCAACTGTACAGACTGTAATTTGTAAGTCATTCTATGTCATTAACCTAAAACTAGCAGAGTAAATCAGCAAAGCAACGAAACTGCGACATCTCAGCAGCAGACCATAATGAGAGAAAAGGAATCAAAAAGCCATCAATAATAGATAATCCCCCAGCCCAAGCCCAAACTAATCCCCACAGCAATAGCAATACGAGCCATCAGTGCAACATTGCGGAAAAGCCCCATGACAGCACACAGCACCCGAACAAGGCGAGGAGCACACATAGCAACCTTATTTTGTCAGATCAAACATATACAGTTTCTGAATCCTCCGCTGGAAGAAGCACAGATCAAAAAAAAGTAGGAAAGGGAACCCACGACTCTCATCCACGTCCAACGGGCTGAAAACCGACTGGTCCGTCCTCAGGGGCTCGATCCTGGCGCTATTCGATGTCTTTTTTAGCGCTGGTAAAGCTTATGTTAGTTTTTTTATGCGGTGTAGGATATTTAAGATAAAGACGACACCTACATGTAGCCTGGTGGTGCACTGCCGATACACCGAGGATGAGCGTCGCAAGGCTGATAGTTTTCATAGTATAGCGTGGATATAGCACAACTGGGATAGGTGCAAAAGATATTGAGGCATATCATGTTGGTATTGGAGAATACACACTTATTTATTCTCGTTGGAGTAGTCAGCCGTGGTTGTCATCTGGGCTGCCATGTAGATACGGTCATCTGGATGGTGAGGTCAGATGATAGCGATGCGCGGAGTCGCGCGTATTCCCACTCAACACATGAGTAGGTCTGGTATCTATCTCGCATTATTAAATACTGGGCGGTTATTTCTCTCGAAGTCATTTTTTATAATGAGTTGTTGGTGTCTATGTCCAGTGACTAGCTCAAGTAGAGTGGATTGGGGCTATTTGCACACGTGCGGAGACCCGGTATGAACAGTGAATGAGGGGTAGTCCTTGATAATTGCACAGGCAGTAGACATATTTTCATGATTATAATAATTCTAAGCAATGTACTAAAATGACCATGGTTTGAGAAACCCCATAACCGATTTTCAAATGGACTTATGAGTGCTTGAACTATGGTCGCCACCGCTATATATATTGTAACGGTGCTCCACCACTGCCTAGTTGATAATATTTATCTTATCTGGAAGTCCGAGTCCCACCCCTTGAATTGAAGATGTGCATATTCTTTGATGAAAAGAACAGTTTACATATAGCTCTATTTGGCCTCTTGTCTAGTTATAAGAGCCATTTTCTTGATGTCCGTCATAAATAGACCTTCTAGCCCTGAAGATATTCCCTAGCAGAACGACGCCCGTACCTCACCCTGGCAAACTCCTCGGGATCTGACCGAATCAAGAGTGGATCAACGATGGCATCAAAACGAAATATATTTTTCGTCTCCACATTTATTCACAAGCCCACTACTTGTCTTCAACCGCGAGATATGCTATTAACTAACGTGTTTGATACTGGATTTTTCACAGCAGTGTAGCACTAATGTGGAAGAGCTATCAGACCCAAGATAACAATATCCTGTGCCCTATCGCCCTGGACCGAGGATAGCCCCACCGACACGAACCAAGTGGGCACGGGGCTGTGATGGAGACGGTCATGATAGCGAGAGATCTCCGCCATATTTCCGGCACATCGCAGCGCAGCGTAAGAGATACATTGATAGGACCGTCTTCTCGACCTCAGCAAACTACATTTTGCAAACTAGTTCTAGCACCCTGGAAAATCCGATGATCAACAGTAGCATTCGATGATTCTGACGACACAGAATCCGATGATAGAGCGACCATGGTGGCATGACACGCGTCATATCAGCGTGGTCAATGACACAATACCACCGTGTTTGATGTCCGAAGGATCGAGACCAGTCTACAGCTGATGTTCAGCATGACGGAAACATAACAAGGTGACCACAACAGCCTGCGCGGCGAAATACGGAAGACAAGTGGACCAGAACGATCGATGGAATCCGATCGACCAGAGCGATCAAATGATGAGCTCACATTAGACACGAATTAGAATCGTGATTCGTGGCGATCCATCATCAGGCAGTTGCTTGGTATAGCTTGAAAAAGACCATGCGTTATCATCACGGACAGTTGGTACACTAGACAGGGAAGGATCTGACGGAGTGGCTAATCTGCAATGTATCGCATGGTTGGATGATGCATCCTTGCCATTCTTACCCAAGAGGTAGGGCTTGCGAGTGCATGCAGCATAAATCATAGTTATGTCACGGTGACTCATCTGCCGGGCATCGGGTGACGTTATGCATGACCGATGAGCTCACATTAGTGTCTCTTGACATGTGCCGAGACATAAAATGCTTCAGGGTCTGTGTCCTATAGATAGTAATAGACCGTCACCAAAAGGGAAATAGAAGGATAAACAAACATCAAAAAATCAGCAGAATGATATCCCTGAATGAGATTATTGAATGGTAAATGTCGCAAAGGAGCCAGGAGCGGCTCGGTCTACCTCGGCAATTACTCGATCGGGTCAACAGTAATATCCATAAGAGGAATTGACAGGGGTCAGAGACAGGGGAGAGAGGGCCCGATAAGCCCTGCGATAAAGGGACGGCTTTCCGAACCGGAGAGGCCGAGGGGGAGATTGAATGGACCGACTCGGTCAGGGTCTCAGGGTCAATCCTTGGTGCCCCATCCCGAGTGGCGCAATCTTAAGAGTAGTGCGAGCCCGGTACATCAGGCGGAAAACTCTAGCCGCTAAACTATATCCATGGTCTCCTGTAGTTGATCTGCTAGCTAGCTGGTTGGCAATAATAGTCGATATTCGCAGACCCTACTCCTTTCGGTAGGGGATCGGCGGCATGTGAAAGGACCACAGGCCGGGTCTGTATCTGCAGACCAGCTCATACAACAGCTATCATTTTTTATATAAAGCTTTGGACCCATTCTGGAGACTCAATGGCTTGGTAGATGAACATTATCGTAACGACTTTTCTTTGTTAATTTGTTTTTACGTTCCAAACTTACGCATCTATACCGCAAGCCCGATCCTATCACCAATAACCACCCCGTTCACAACCCTTACAATGGCGTCCAACATCCCTGGGAGAAGCATCCTGCGCATCACGCAGGTGCTGCTTGCGCTGGTGGTCTTCGGCCTGACTGCTTACCGTACGTCTCTCTATCCTCTGACGTGGTTAGAGAGAAACCCCACTAACTCACCTAGTCTTCGTGGCATACCAATTCGACGACATCGCGATCTACATGTTCGCTGTCAGTATCTGGTCCGCCTTCTTCGCGACGCCCTACCTGTCTCTGGCCCCTGTGCGATTCGACCACGCCGCGAAGCACATCGTGATCCCCGCCGTCGAGACCCTCACCACGCTGCTTTGGCTGGCGGCCTTTATCGCGCTCGCGACCAAGCTCCTTCCTGCCGATCAGTGCAACTTTGCCGGCTGCCATGCCTCCCAGGTTGCGGTCTTGTTTGGAGCAATTGAATTGTATGTACCCATTGTCCCCATTCATCAATTCAGCCCTATGAAATCAGAAGACCAAAGAAACACAACTAACAGTGGATCCAGTGCCCTCTTCACAGTGACAACCATCCAATCTTTCCTCGCCCTGCGCAGTGAGCGCCCGTCTACCGCGCCGGAAAAAGAAATCCAGGAAGTTTGAATAAATCAGGAGGTTTAAAGATGGGCTGGATCCAGTAAACATGAACGAAAGTATAGAGGCTGTCTTGAGGGCAGCATGCTTGACGCGGGTATGATGTCTAGAGTTTTGTAACGACCTATTTCCTAATTATGTACTTAATGTCATGATGAATTCATTCTCTTAGATTGCAATTTTTCCATTTCCTTTATCGTGATTTTCAGACTCTTGTAGCTGTGTTGTTGTGTTGAATATCATTGAGTAAAATCGTCATTGTTCTGCATGTGACAGCAAGTATGACCCTGGTAGTGACAAGTTTGAACCAATTAGATATTGTGATCGGCGTCAACAGATAACCGCTAGGCTTGAATAGGTCTAGCGGATGAGCGGTGTCATGTACAAGCACAGCTGACGCATCAATGCGGTACATAAGTACTGACCTGGGCTGATGATCGCCTTGTCCGAATTTCCGATCAACTCACACCACCACTCTTCCTTCACTGTGGCCGTCCTGAAGATATTACAGAAGACAAGATGTGTTGAGTTAACAGCATGAAGTTGTTTCTCTGAGCTGCAACACTTTCACTCACACGGAAGCAGTCTTGTTGACATGCAAGGTTACGGGTCCCACGGAGCCCGAGATCGGCAGCCTTTGAGAGCTCTGCGGGCATTTGATGGAGCCTATACTGCTGTAAGATGGATCATAATATGATATAAGTCATGCTCAGGCAAACAATACCTGGCATGGTCATGCAAGAATACAGCGATCGGATGAATTTCCCGTAACTAGCTAGCTACGATTCGTTCCATCGTTTTTTCACGTCTATAGGTGTAGTCTATAAGATATCGGAGACGATCCAGTATGAAGCACTTGGTATGTCTCGACTATCAGACTGAAAATCAAGATTGAGACCCGCTGCAGTTCCAAATGTTAACAGGGCAATATGCATGGCTGTATAAGCATCGACAGATCATATAATCCACCCCAGGCAATCGCCCTTGCAGATGATCTCGGGACCCGAGGACTCCGGAATCCGAGGCATCACATACCTCTTTACGGAGTGAACACCCACATGTCTCTCAAGAAAAACCTCGTCACTCGAAGTCACTTGTCTTCAACCTTCATACCTCTTGAACGGACGCCATACATCGGCTGACTCCGTCTGGCATATCCCACGACGATGTCAAACCTCGATCCTGACAAGTTCGAGTTCATACAAACTCCGCCTGCGGCATGTACCACCCCGGCGGAGGACTGTGGTGTGCGGACGACCCAGGTATGTCACCGTGAGCATTAATATTTGCACAAACCAGATATCACTGACATTGGTAGTACCCTACGATCAAAAATGGCCCTGTACCAGCCGACTCCGGCGGCAACGACAGCTTCCCGCTGGCCCCCATGATTCTCGCGCTCGTTGCGGTCCCAGGTTACTTCTCATACTCCCTGGGAGGCGGTATCTGGACGATGCTGTTTCTCGCCGTCTTCACAACAATTCCAATCCTGATGGGCTTCTGGACCGTCGCCTCCGCCATGGCACCGCGTAAAAACACCAAAGCGAGATACGCAGGCCGCCCAGTAGAGCACTACCTGCGCTTCCACAGCGAAGTCGACAGAGCCCGGTACCACGGCCACAACCGCATTCCCATGGAGACCTTTTACGAGAAGTACTTCGACGGCGAGGTCGACTTCATCGGAGACGCGCTCGAGTGTCTCGAGTTCAGACACGACTGGGCTAATTTCCGCTTCACGATGGGGCTGTACAAGCAGTTTCTGTTTCGATTTCTGCCGGCGCTCATCTTCCACACGCGTGCCCAAGGTGTGCTTTTCCATATCTTCCCCAGAAGACAGCAGTTCAAAAACTGACATCTCCAAGATAAAAGCCAAACGCGAGACAACTACGACCGCGGCAACGATTTCTACGGCTGGTTTCTCGGCCCGAGCATGATCTACACATCCGGGATCATCAGCGACCCAAACCGCGAAGAGACCCTCGAAGAGCTCCAAAGCAACAAGCTCGCCGTCGTCTGCGAGAAGATCGGCCTCCAACCGGGCGACACGCTCCTCGACATCGGCTGCGGGTGGGGCTCCCTCGCCAAGTACGCATCGCTGCACTACGGCGCACAGGTCACAGGCGTGACTCTCGCGCAGAACCAAACCGCCTGGGGCAACACGGCACTGGAGCGCGCCGGCGCATCACAGAGCAAAATCTTGTGTCTCGACTACCGCGATGCACCGAAGGTGACCGGCGGGTACAAGAAGATCACGTGTCTTGAAATGTCGGAGCATGTCGGGGTGCGGCAGTTCCGCGCCTGGCTGCGGTATGTGTATGATATGCTGGATGACGACGGGGTGTTCTATATGCAGTATTCGGGGCTGCGGCGGTGCTGGCAGTATGAGGATCTCGTGTGGGGCCTGTTCATGAATAAGTATGTCTTTCCGGGCGCGGATGCCAGCACGCCGCTGGCGTGGGCCGTTGATCAGTTGGAGGCTGCTGGGTTTGAGGTTAAGGCTGTGGATACCGTTGGCGTGCACTATTCGGCTACGATCTGGAGGTGGTATCGGAATTGGCTAGGGAATCGGGATAAGGTGGAGGCTGCTTATGGAAAGCGGTGGTTCAGAGTGAGTTTTTTTCCTTCCTTCCTTCGTTTTCTCCTTCCTCTTCCTTCCTTGCTTTCTTCCCATTCTGTCAAATATCTTGGGTCGTGACTGACAAAACAGATCTGGGAATACTTCCTCGCCTCCTCAACCATTACTTCCAGACAAGGCGGCGCCACATGTTTCCAAATCACCCTCGTGAAGAACATCAACTCGACACATCGCGTGGAGGGCATCGAGACCCAGTTTGGGGTCCAAGGGGCTCTGCGGTCAGCGCGCAACCGAACCGCCGGAGGGGAGGTACCCTCTGTTTTGGCTTCCAAGGCTTGATCCGCTGCTTTTCAAGGATGCGGATAGTGCCGTGCTGGTTGATCTGATACTGCGCTGGGATATCGAATAGAGGGCGTGTGTGGACTAGAATTTTCAAAAGAGAATGGGGCTGATTTGGTCGATATGAGAAGGGATTATGGCCTTGAAGAAGAGATACTCTTGATCAGCCAACGGATAGAACCATAGTGCATGCCAACTGGGGGAGGTAGAAATGAAGACCGCTGATAGACTCATCGAAGAGTTTATGTCCAACCATATCACCAGCTTATAATCTGTCCATGTGACAAAACCTTTCGTCCCAGAGACATCTGGGGAACATACATTGTAGAGTCCAAAGGTAGACACCAGTGAGCGCAATTGAAAGAGCACATGATCTGACTACTATTTCACGTATCCTACATGATGCAGAAATCTTCACTCTTACACATCACCACCTCCACTTCCAGGAATCTCACCAATTTCACTATCACAATATATCCCCTTGATTCAATGTCTATGCCATTTTGATCATGGGACAACTGACGCTATCAAGATACACTCATCACTAGGTCAACTCGCAAACCCCATTATCGTGCATTCCACATACTAACCTCCACCCTTCTTCGAACTTCCGTGTGGGATAGTCAGACTCTTTTGATTTGCAATTGTTCGTCGCAAGAAACCCCGTCCGATCGTAGGACTGGACGGCTCTTGAACCATCTCCCGGCCCGCAGCCACCCACTGGTTTTGAGAGCTTCTCAACTGGTAGATAGCAGTGTAAGCAATACTCTCCTCGTTCTCTATGACTGACAGACGGGGGAACACAGAAATCGAATGGCAGTTTGCGGTTTTCTTGCTGGCACCATTCTCCGCGGTTGCTTTATCAGACCCGGGAAATACAAACGGCGACCACTCGTCGTCAGCTATAGGCGGCTCGAAATCTGGCTCATACCGGCGGCGGCTGCATTGGATGGGTTTCCAGATTTCAGACGCCTTCTGCACGACGTTGTTGAGGCTTTTATGGAATGTGTAGCGTTGTTCTTCGGAGAGGAGTGCATCTACGTATGCGAGCACATTGCGGACCACGATCTGGACGTTCTCCGAACATGCCATTGTCTGGGTATCTTGACCCATCGATAAGAGAACCGATCGACAAAATGATTCTTTCTCGCTGTTGATCGCAGCCTCGTTTTTGAGGACTCTTCGGAGTCTGTTGTCTTCATCCGCTGGTGCGATGAATGTTGGCTGGAAGATGTACTTGTCAATCTCTCGGGCCAGTACGGCGAGGATGAAAGCAAGCCGCATTTGCTTTGCTGCCGACGTGTTGGAGCATGGGAGGGGAATTTGACTCTCACGAGCCATTTCAGTCTGTCGAAGCTTATCCCATGCTGTGGGGTTCTGCCATTCGATTGATTTGTCAATCCCCATTTCGTCCCTCTATTATGGAACAGTGCGAATACTTACGCGTAGAGCATCGTTGGGAAGGTCCGCTTTCAGCTGCGAATACAGCTCAGTCTTCGCATATTCCCAGAGGTCCAGGTAATTTGAAAGCCTGATGAGATTAGTGTGTCGCATTGGAAATCCAGTCAATCGTATGCACTTACAACGAATCCTCGTTGGTTTCCATGTGTCCAGCCGCGAACCCTTCAATTTTCGCCAGGTGTGCCTTGGTTTCTGCCAGCGTCTTCTGCAGTTTGCGTGAATCGGCTTCCATCTCTTTGATCTTCTTATTCGAGGCGGATAACCTCCCTTCCAAGCCTGCGCCTGTCGCCTTCATCGCGTCAATGGTGGCGTCTCTCTCCTTGAGTTGCTGCTGCAAGATATTGTAGTCCTTTTGAGCCTTTGACAGCTGTCCTCTTTGGTTGGCATTGTCCAATTTGAGATTGTCCACTTGCTCCTTGAGCTCATCTGTGTTTCGATTCTGCTGGGAAATGAGCGTCTCCTTTTCCTTGATGGTGTGTTCAAGAGAGTGAACACGGTCCTGGGTTTGTTTGTGGCTGGTCCTCTCTTTCTCATTATGCTCAAACATGACGTTGAGCGCTATACCCTTTGTTTTATCTCGTTCGCTCATCTTCTCCTTGTTGGACTCAGCCAACTCCCTTAGCTCTTTTGTCTTCTGCTTTTCCAGCGCAGCCATCTCGCTCTGCAGTCGTCCAATCTCCTGGTCTTTGGTTGATACCTGGTCGCGCAATTTGTTGTTTTCATTATGAATGGATACAACGGCATCGAATCCCACAGCAGAAGCCAGCGCCTTCAGCTGAGTGAAAAAGTCTTTCACAGCTTGCGCGTCAACGGTCCCCGACTTCTTTGGCTTTGGCGATAGGGCGGGGCTTTGAGGAGACATTTTTAACTATTGACTTGAGGTTGTTACCAGATGAACGAAGGTCCGGGTACGGCTCAGCTCCGGCGATGTTATCGCAACGTCGATATTCTTCATTCAACAATGCAATTCTCCCCGGGAGGTCTTTATCGAATATATAACTACTTCGACTAAGCCCACCGTTTATAGCACACGCAGATCTTATCGGGTCATCAGTCTTACCAAACCTAAACAAAATGCGGTTCAGCATTTTGGTGCAATGGTTTAGAATACTTTGATGTGGCAGGGCCTCTTTGGGCGTTAAAAAACGCATACAACATCGATTCATTGCATATTATCATTCACGCTCGTTGGACTGGCCGCTAAAACCAACGACTTCGACACTAAAGCTGCTAGGGCTCCCCGACATCCAGACATATTAGCACAACATGCACCGCGAGAACGCACGGGACTCCAAGACAAGCGGGAGGCATCCCAATCTACAGTCCACCAATCAGTCGCAAAGCGAAAGCAAAGCTACGTGTTATCCAACACCTCGTCTACAAAATCCGCTAGACCACATCTATGGCATCGCTGCGCGCACATTTCAAGGGCGAGTGCCGAATCCGGCAACAGTCAATGCCAGTGCGGTGCCTATTCGAGCGGAGCACACATTCAACCCAATTCCGCCTGTCCATGGTTGATTCCGTACATAGGGCAGATAGACAGATAATGATGCTTCATGTACATCAACCCAGCTGCCGCAGCATTAAGGTTCGGGGATGGGGCTTCTAGGTCGGTCTGTGAGGCTGGGGTTGGGCGATCTTGACCCCACCTGTTGCTTTGGGCGTCTATATATCTGATGAGTAAGTATGTAGGTATGTATGTATTTAGTGGACGAACTAGTAGTCTGAATTTTATCTTTGTTTATTGGTTCACATAAGTAGCGCCTCTAGATCACCAACGCTGGAAATTCCATATGTGGGAGGCTAAACTTTTATCGGTCGTATCCATTTCTGTAATTCATCAAACTAAAAGGCGCCTCACTTCCTCCTATATCCAGTCTATGCTATCAATCCAAGATGTACATTTTGATATAGTGAATGGGGAAAATATACGAAGAGCTACGAGATGGCTGACTGAAGTTACAATGGTCTTACCCGTAACCCAATTGCAGACTACGCCCAGTGCTAGGGCGTAAGCAGTTAATATATTAGACTTGAAAGGTCTAGGCTCCATTGACACTTAAAATTAAATAAAGACAGATGCACAGTAGGACCGATTACATAGCCTGTGTTTGTAGGGGGAGTGATGAAATACAGACCAAATCTTGATTGGAACGTTAAACCTTGGAGCCATGGAAAGGATTACGAATGACTGCAAGATTTCCAATAAAAAAAGAAAAGAAAATGAAGCAAAAAATGAGAATATGCGGGAGGACAACTGGGCAAGGCATCTGAGGTTCACCAATTACATGTTTCACAGTTCAACAGTTCCTTGACACTGAGTGATAGGGCTAACCATGTAGATTACGGGGCTGCTGTTAGCAGTATCCAGCAAAATCCCACAGCTTGTGGCGGCACCGAAATGACGTGCGCCATTGAATGAGAGAAGCTTTAGCCCACCTTATCCTTATTCTTATTAGGCCGATATATCTTCGTATATACATTAATTGCGTCAGTCCATGCGTGATCGCCTTCCATCCCCTCTCAGCTCCATGGTGGCATGTTGTAAACATACACGGCCGGCTGGTCCCTCCAATGCCCTGGTTCAGTTTTCGACCTGCCATGGGTCCTCGCCATTGTTGACCGCTTTCTTGAACTCGGCCCAGGTAGTACCATTGTTGGGCGGATCATTGTACTCCTGCAGATCCGTGGCCCAATCACTGCTCCCGCCCATATTCAGGTTCTTGTAGACGGTCTTCCGCGCGGTCTTGATCGCAGGACTCATGTAAGCGGCCCATTGATTATCGTCGTAGACCAGGATACTGCTGTGACTGGTTGAGTCGGTATATTGCTGACTGACTCGGCTGGAGTTACTGATAATCTCGTTTATCTCCGCATCGGCGATGTAGCCTCCTGTGGCTGTGCATACGCCTTTCGTTGCGGGTGAGTCGGTAGGGGCTCCGGTGAAGAAGCACTCTGGACCGTGGCATTGGGGATCGGCCATGGCGAATGATCGAGCATAGCTTGTCATCCCGATGACCACTTTGTTCGAGGGAACGCCTGCTTTGGTGATCTGAACGATTGCGGAGATCTTGTCAGCTTTTGGCACAATCGGCGATGACAGTTTACGCTAGATGATGCTTACCATGACCATCGAGCTCATAGTTTCAGTCAGGTTGACATGGCTGCGGAGACACATGCCTGAAGGGCAACCAATTTGTGAATCCTTGCTTCCTGCGTCCCACTTCGCAACAATAATCAGCATTGGGAATCCTAAAGCGGCTAGTAAAGTATTCTTACTTGTCCATGAAAGTCGTAGGTCATATAGACGATATAGTCGACGATTTTGCCCATGGTCTCAATTGGGAAGTTTTGCAAGTAGTAATACGAAGACGGCGCTGCAATTGAAACCGACTTCCCCCGGAGCAGATTTTTGAGGACAACGAGAAAGGCGAGATAGTTTTCGCCGTCGTCTTGGTCGGCAGGGGGGATACCGGGCATGTCAGGGGCCTGTATTAAGCTATGTCAGCAAACATGTGTATATCTTCCTGTCTGGACAACTTACTCCTGGATATTCCCAATCAACATCAACGCCATCAACGCCGCGATCCTTGATGAAGTTGGCGACATTGGTAGCAAACTTCAGCCTATTGGCGGGCTTGACGCCCTGGCGGAAAATGTGATAAGTATCGGGACTAGTGGAAAAGCCCCAGCCGCCAAAAGAGAGAACCTTCTTGGGGCCTGAGATGTTCAGGAAGTTCGAGAACTCATATTCCATAATTTTATCTTCGAACACGACCTCGTAGTCATCGGTGAGTGTGGCGAACGCGAAGTGCAGATGCGTGTACTTCGAACCATCAATCTGTAGGGCATCCTGGTACAGACATTCCCGACCATTGAAACTGTACCCCTGATAGTATGCAATACTTCGGAAGACCTCGGGGGCATCACTGCGGACAAGCTGGGTGCCGCAGTTGGAGATGCAACCGGCTGTGCCTTTTTCAGCGGACCCTGGTGCACCAGTGCTCGTGTCGATGCAGAATTCATCCGTAATACCACACTGACCCCAAACATTGCAGCAGGCATTCAGCGGGCATGGATTGAGATGGGTGAGATTAGTCGTATCTGACGGGATGGGAGTGCCGGGCATTTGAGGGCCACAGACCGCGTTCTCCAAGGGGGCTGGCATGGGCGGCGTTCCCGTGCTGAGACACATAACGGTGCCTTTCCAAACGTTCGAGCATCCGTTCCAGCCCCAGGTGTTTTTGTTGAACTCTTCCAGCTCGCCGATAGTCAAGCTGTACGCAGCAGCCAGGTTGGAACAGTTGTCATTCGGTTGAACTGTATACGTGGCACACGACCCATCCGCACCAGGCTTGGGCGCAAGGTCCAGCAGTGCTGCCGACTGTTTCGCACCGAGAGATGATATTGAGCTAGAAACAGCCTTTGAATTTGTTGCAATGGTTGAGCCGAGCAGCGGCGTAGTCAGAGCCGCCGTGCCAGTGATGTTCTTGCTATCAAGGAACGAGAGACAACCTCCTTTGGCCCAAGCCTTCATCGCATCTTGCACGGCGGCAAAAGTGCCATTGCTCGAAGCAATCAACCCAAAGGTAAAATCACTGTCCTTGTTCTGGTCACAAAGCTGCATAGCCACGGTTCCAGTATTGACAGGAAGCTTGGGGATATTATGTTCCGCGGTCCTGAGGGCGAAGGAGCTGACGCTCTCCTTCTGCAGACTCTTTCCAATGTAAACGCCAACCGAGGCTGAGCCCAAGCGGGCAAACAAGAACGTGCTGTTCTTGCTTGCTGCATGATCGACTTTTAGGTAGCGGCGCATCTGCTCCAAAACCGCACTGATGCCGGTTGCAGATAATGCCCCGTCGGCCCACCACCCAATCTGGTAGGTAGAGTCTACAGACTCGACAGTGGTCTTCACCTGCTTTTGTGATTGTGGAAGATTGTACCAATCCGCGCCATTTGATGCGCAGGCGTAAATACGGTGAAAGGTCTCCGGGTCATCCACCTTATCGTACAGGGAAAACTCGTAAAACAAGGACTGCTTGCAGGACTGCAACTGCTCAAAATTATGGTATGCCGACCAATTGGATGGATTGGGACCTGTGATGCGGCAAGATGTGGGACAAGGATCTGAACCACGATATCCAGGGCTGGCAGGCTTTCTGAGTTCGGAAATCTCTGTCGCCGAGCCACCCTCGACATATAGCAAGAGCCCTAGGGCCCACGCGGCTGTACTGAGCCAGAACGGAGTCATCGTGCCTGGGCGATACCCTCGTCGTTATTGATATAAGAGTAAAGAACGCGGTGAAAGTCAAAAAATGAATGCGACGGAAAGAGGAACACCAAAGACTGGACCCAGCTGCACAGAAAAGAGTGAAAGCGATGCAGGCGACAGGCCTAGTCTCTCATCTTGGATGCGGTTTCTTCGCGGCTTTTGTATGATTTTGTACTCCAGCGAGTCGACGGATATGTTCGCATCAATTCATCTAGCGTTCTCATTCTACACCCTTCGTTGATATCGGCCCTCGGGTCCGCTGCAAGAATTTGCCGGCCATATTTCGACCAATCGCCATCTGGACAGGATTTTGCATATGGGAATCTCAAGGAGGTAATCAAACATCGCTTAACCTCATGAGCGCCACCCATCGCCGTTTTGCCGGATAAAGCTGATCAAGCCTGCTGTAAGAGCCTCATCCCCCATTACAGAGTAGTGCAGTCAAAGCGCTGGCACTAGTTTCATGCGCACGATTTAGCTTCAAGACAGGACTCCATCCCAGCCTGGAATGGCTTTTTCCAGGACTTGGCATTAACGAGACTTGAGTCAAGCGGAGATGAGGAGTTACATCGTGGACGCATGTCAGCACGCCCACCGCCATGGTAACATCCACCTCATTTCACATGATTCTAGTTCGATTCTGTCGACCAACCGACCGATCCTTTTGACTGAAAAGAATAGAACAGTTAGTATACTGACAATGCCATTATGTTAGTTGTTATACCATCGTAACTTTGACTGTAGTAATTTAACCTCGACACGGTTGTCATTCTAGAAACCTCCCATGGCGTCTCTGGTGGCGCAGTGGCAACCTGTCCCCTGCATATCGGGGAATGAAGCCTCCAAGGTGCTTTTCGGAAGATGATATGACCGCTCGGGATAACATCATTCACACGGGCCCAAAGGCAAGGCGTGAGGTAATGATGTGGGTATTCAAGGTCAGTTTAGTCAGGTAGTTGCTCCAGCAGTTTGACCTCGCACTACCGTCAAGGTCATAGTGTACCAACGAGGAAGAGTGGTGAGGAGCGTTCAATAGAGGGATTCCACCAAGACTAGTCGATCGAAGACCGTTCAGTCAGGAACGAGAGAGTTGTGATGCTGTCGGGTAAAATGAAGGCGAACGGACCATCTCGTGATCATGCAGATGGTTCGGAACGGTTCCACACTCCGGCGGGTCATTCCGTCCGCCCCTCAGGCACCGAAGCCTAAGTTGGTCACGGGGTCTTCGGGTGGCTTCCCCGTTAAGAGGATGGATGCCAGGCAACTTTCCTCTTCCTATACTAACCAATCCACTAGTTTCCTTTGGATCTAGCTCTGACTAGCAGGCAGACATTGCCAAGTAAGTCCAGTATATTTGCATCCGTTTAAGCTAGTAACTGACTTTTCCATGGTACAGATGACAGGGTTGCGCTGCTAGTCTGAGAAAGTAGGGAGGGGAAATTGGACCATGAGAAGGCTGATTCTCCATGACGGTTGATAGTCTATTGACTCCAGGATGTCAAAACGACAATCATCCGTCGATTTTTGATCTTACAGAAGAACATCTGGACTTGAAGCATGTATATATCTCGAGATACGTTCGGGGTGGTCTATCTCTATCCTAGTAGGGCTGGCCGGTGTTACGGATCTCCCCGGATCAACGGTCAACGCCGATCTGTATTTGACGATTCATATCATGATCGGGTGGATCACTACTATCCCAACCACAATATTAGTATTGTGGCTCACAGGCTGGTTCCAGTTGAGCACTTCCTTGGCAGTAGAGTATGGATATAGTGCTTACCTAGCACAGTCCGCTTGTTCCGTCCATTGGTGAGTGTCTTTAGATTACAGCTAGTTACCTGGAAACCTCCTTAGCCTGGCGTATCAAAAATTTCGTCGGTCACTTGGCCCGGGGAATTTAAATATCACAAAAATCCGAAGCCTGCCAGGATGTTAATAGACGATACTACTGCATGAAAGGCAAGTGAGTCAAACCATGCAAGAACTTACAAACCACCCAATCACCACTGATAACCACACCCTCCGACTGGAAATTGTGCCCTAGTGGCTGCATTTTTGGCGGCCGGACCGATCACTTTGGGCGACGCAGCGAGACAAGCTGTTGCCGTCAGAGCCGCGGACATACTTGATGCCGCGGTGGGGCTGATTTTGGCCTTGCAGGTATTTGCAGTGGGAGTAGGGGGGCAAAGTTACTACACATGAAGCGTGCTTGTAGGTTCTGTACCGGGCGTCCAAAACCCCCGTGATGTTCCATGCATGGCTGGGACTTGCGGCAAATGCCGTCGTCCGTTGCGGTGACAAAGTCCGGCTGCGGGGAGCCGTTCTTGGTGGAGGAGTAGCAACCGTCGCGCACCTGGTAGTTAATTGTGTTCGTGATGCCCTCCTTTCCAAGAGCCTGGGAGCGATCCTTGTAGCAGATGTCCCGGGCGAAAATTCAGGCTCCCTTCGTCTGGGGAAGGGAGCTGGTACTTGTATATTCATAATAAGGCTTGACAATAGATGCATTGATTGACGATAGGTTGTTTTTTTCCCATGGCATGGATGCGATCATCTTACTAGATGCTGTTGTCGACCTACTCCAAATCATACGAGCACCTCTGGCTGAGACACCCACGAGAGGCGAGTTCTGCACGGCAAAGACAATAAGTTTCTGTGCCGAGGGAGCAAAAGTAACATTCCGCGGAAATATGACATCTACCTGGTGTAATCTTTTGCCTCGGCTGCCGAAGTGATGAAGTCCTGCAATAGGGCCAGAAGCAGCCAGCTCGAATAGAATCCCATCCTGATACAGAATACGATAATGATTGCAGGATAGAGGAAACGGCTGGATCTTAGGAATAATGAGGCTCTGAGTTGATAACCTGACAATGGGGAGCCTGACTAGGCTAGACGTGGCTGCACTATTGGCATAGTTTTATTACCCCGTTGGGTTGCAACATGGTGAACGGTCCGCCACCCACCACCAAATGACACCGAAGTGAGACATTCCCCAAGGTCACTCTGCAGGACTAACCATAGGGCAATAACAGCCGATAAGTCAAACGGCCGCATATGGGGTGATTTAGATACACTTCCATGATTGATGGGCGTTGAAGAGCTGCTGCCTTCTGGAAATAGATATAAAAGCAGGCACGGAACTGTATGGACTCAAATCACCAACCACTCACTCTTTCTCTCTCTTTTCCCAAGTAAACAGTATAAAAAAATTCAACATGGGTTACAAAGCCGCCCTGATCCTGGGATTACTCCCCCAGTTACTTTCCGCAGCCATTGTCTGCGACATGTCCGCTGCAGCTTCCAAGGGCGATACCTGCGAGTCCTTCGTCAAAGCCTGGGGCACGACAGTTGAAGAGTTCGAAGCATTGAACCCCGGTGTCTCCTGCCCCAGCCTCACAGAAGGTCGGAAGTATTGCGTGATTGGCACCGTGACTGGAGGTCCTGATCCTACGTCGACCACCACGACTACACTGAAGACCACAACCAAGGCCACCACCACCACTTCCTCGTCCAAGTACGAGCCCACCCAGCCCGGCGTCCCGGCAAACTGTGACAAGTTCCACCTTGTCGCGTCGGGCGACCAGTGCGACACCATCGAGGCCAAATACGGCATCACCGACGCTCAATTCAAGGCGTGGAACCCCGACGTTGACGAAGGTATGTATTTTCTCCCCTACAATACCAGCGTTAGATTTGCAACTAACTAAACACCAACACAGGATGCACCAACCTCTGGCTCAACTACTACGTCTGCGTGCACGTCCCAGAAGCCACGACCACTCCCTCGGTGCCCGACCCTACGCCCACGCCCCCTGCTCCGCAGCCGCAGATGCCGGGCGTTGTGAGCAACTGCAAGAAGTTCCACAAGGTCAAGGCGGGTGACAACTGTTATTCGATCGACACCGCGGCGGGCATCACCCTCGATCAGTTCCGCTCTTGGAACACCCAGATTGACGCGGGTTGCACCAACTTGTGGGTGAATTACTATGTCTGCATTGGTGTTTAACGTTGATTGGATGCATGGTCATCTATTCTCTTAATGTCTGTTTGAGTGAGGGAAGTGATGAGGGGACTGGGTAGATGGTTTCCATGACTAAATGGCTGGAATAGTTGGCTTTCTAGGCTCCTGTCCCTCCCTTGGGCCACAGTACAATCTTTTAATATATTCCGACGCCCTATATAATTTATTTATGATTTTGCTCGCCATTCTAAATTCTCTTCTAGCGCTTCTTTGCTAGATTTAGGGACCGCCTGCCTTATAGAAGATGCTACTGTTCCCTGATATAGTGGGTATATAGTCAGTGGTGTCACATATACTCAAACTATCAACAACTGCATTGACCTTCTGGCCAAATCAAAACGACTACCAATTCTCTGAAAGCGCATATGTCTCTCGTAATCTGAGGGTCGACATTACCAGTAGTGATTATGTCCGTAAGTGTAACGAGGTGCTGTACTGCAACAGATCCTCAAGATGAAGCCATATTGCGAGGAATACTCCATGGCCTTGTTTGAGTTTCTCTACACTCAAGTAGTCCAACGATACAGAGGTACATTATGAGACGGATATGAAAAAAATAGGCCTGTCATACAAAAGCCATTTAGGACATGGCAACGGTGCACGTAGATTGTACAGTAGCCGAAAGCTAGGAAAACTCAAAATTGCCGTATATCCGTCCATAGTCGACCCATCTCCGAGATATTCATTCGTTTCAGCGATGATATAAACAAACTTAACGGCACCACTCAAATCATACCCAGCGATCAAGCAAAAGAAGTGTTATCCACCCAATCAAGCGACGAAAGTCTCAGCACGGACACCGGAGGGCGCAGGCTTAGTATCAGAGCCCTCAGCCTTAGGCAACAAAACCTCCCAGAAACCATCTCCACCGCCTAAACAGAGTCAGTCTCTCCTAATATCAATACATGTATGTGATAAACTTACAAGTAGACTGGGGCCAGCCATTGCATTTGGTATTGCACTTCTCCTCATCAACCTTGGAGTCCTCCGAGGGCACCTCATCGCCACACCAGCACTCGTTGCCGCCGGAGACAGCCGCGACGGGGGCTCCACGGTCGCTGCATTGCTTGGCGCAGAGTTCAGTGCTCGCGTATTTAGAAGTTCCGAGACTCTTCAGGTCGCCTGAATCGCTGTAGCAGGTAGTGGTGACGGCGGATGCGGAGATGGTAAGGGCCAGAATGGAGGCCAGGGAGAGAGTTTTGGAGAACATTTTGTTGTTGATAGTGAGCGGAGAGCTGAGTATAGAATGGGGTTCAATTGATTGTATGGGGTTGGTATGGCTGTTGGATGCTGTATTGCTTGAAGCACGGAATAAATAGCATATTTATATCCCTTCTTCGTGCGATGTACATCTCGATCATAATCGAGCATCTTCATTATTGAGTTTGATGTGTTCTATTCTTGGTCGTCGATAGTCAGTGATGAGGCGATGCAGTAGACACTAAAGCTGCGGCCCGAGACAGCCAGCAAGTTCAATGGCTGCTCAGGACCCAGTGATCGCCGCCTGTTTCAGTGATAATGCTTATGGTCCGTATCTTGATGGCTCCCAACATCATTTTTTGTCGTAGCTGTCTCAAAGAAGCAAACTAGCATTTGCCCCATGGGGTTTAGGTCTGTCGACGTCATGGGCTGGTGTACGGCGATCGCAATGATGTTGGCGATATGTTGTCTGATCTCGGCACTCTAAGCCCTAAAAGAGGATAAATCCCGACCCAGGTGGATATCCGGGGCATATTACTTCTGAATCATGCCTGTCTGGAAGTGGATATTTCAGTAAAGATCAGAAGGGTAAAGTCATCTGTAATATTGGTCTATTGTTACTAATTATAATACATACACCTAGAACACTAAAATCTCACTTTCATCGAGAGATGGATTCGATTGGTCCGCAGTGGAAAGCTATATTGAGGTACTGTAGAGAGCTTTCATGCTCCGGCGTTGGCCTCTTCTCATGTTCTTTGTCATAGTTCTTTTAAAGGTCCACAGAAGAAACCATTCCAATACAAGCAGCCACTGTCCAAATGCAATCATCACCGTGGCTCGTAAAGCTGGTCCATCACGCTGCGGCCGACCCCACGACTTGAAAGGGCCATATAGTTGGTAAATCTAGTATCAGTCTATCTCCAGCGGAACTTACCCGAGGATGGAATTAGCATCCGTTGATCTAAGAATCTCACAACTCGAGCAACTGCGGGTGGCGCTGCAAGGAGTACTCTTATTCTCTATGATTCGTCTAGTGTCAAAATTCGTCACATTTATATGGATCCAGGGTCAATCCAACTGCAGGATGATGGTAGTATGACTTGTTATATATACCCCAGCAAGGTACAGCAAGGTACAGCAAGGTACCTTCAATTGCAGTAGATTCAACCATCATGTGATTGATTTGTCATTGTGTATAACAGTGTATGATAGTGCATGATAACAGTCACTCAAGGGATAAATCCCCCTTAAAGAATACTATTCTCTGAGATCAACCGTGGCAAATCAGCAAGGTCCCCCCGCGCAGTTGGAATGCTAGGTACGCGACGGCTAAAAGAAGGGACTAGAGGAATTAAACACCATGAGAAGCCTCCTCTAATAGACCAATTTCCAGTTTTCTCCTGGCTAATCTGGAGTTTCACATGAATCGTTCGTAAAGTATCGATCATCTATCTCTGGTGAGACTTTGGGTACCATATCCACTCTGATCCATACCCCGCTAACCTCGTGTTCCTGGTCCACACCTCGTATATCATGCTGATCTCTCTGCTTGAGCTGTGCCTGGATGCTAGATCCTCATACTTAGACTGTTAAATCCTGCATATCGATGACTTTTCTTTAATTCCTTGCCTCAAAATCCGTGGCCTACCTTAACCATTGAATATCTTATTCGATCAAATCTATCACTTCTCCTACCCACCCAATCCCACTCACTCCATTCTAGGCCCTAACCATTCCCATATTTTCAATGTACAAACCATTTTTGGTTCATAAATGCCGTTGAAAATTCGATTAATTCCAGAATTTTTCAGGTCCGGTTACTTGTAACATCTCTCGGGGTTATGACACGGTTTCAATGAATGACCCACGGCAGCATCCGCGTATCAACAATCCAGTCCGAAATAGAACGATGGCTGCCTCGTCCATATTCCGCAACTATGGCCTGCTTTTGAAGCTCATTACCTGCTAGGTATGGGGGCTTTTTTCGATAGTCTCCTTGTCGAGATACAACCATCACAACACATGTTTTCAACCATCACAGCACATCTTTTGGACTATTTCCATACTTACATTGCAAGGTCCCGCTGTAATATGCAGTTGCACACATATCAACTATATCAACCGGAAGCTACCAGGTACCACTGAGTAGAGCAGGCAGGTATAGCGAGACGGAAACCAAATGCCGGCAATGATGGAAATATCCCGCGGTGATTGGTTGGATACCCCGGACTGTTTACCTAGCTCGGCAATGAACAGGTTGATCATGATTAGAAATCGACTGTGCTGTCATTCTCCCTCTGAGATCCTCCAGGTTTCTAGCTCAGTTATCCCACTTCTGTAGTTCCATTCACTTGTTGGTCTCAATGGATACGACCATCCAACATCAATTATTCTATATCCGTCACAATGACAGCAACGCCCCATGAGAGAGCATCGTCACCCTCCGAGGACACGCCTCTCATCCGGCGTGCCTCGGAGGAGTTGCAAGAAGCTCATACCTCAATGACGTTTGCCAGAGGTTTCGTCATAACCGTGACGATGGGACTCTTTCTTTTTATTCAAGGTACCAGTGGGTCTCCGGCGTGTGGAACGGCGCATTGACACAGCCCAGGCACCAATGTATCGATGATGACCACGGCGCAATCGGCTATCTCCGAAGATCTCGATGCCTTCTCCGCCACTACCTGGTTTAATTCGGCTTATTTGGTAACCCTACCTTCTTTGAATCACGGCGACAGTCTCTAAAAATAATGGTACTGATCAATGAAGATCGGGATGTCCAGCGTCACTCCCCTCGCAGGCCGTCTCTGTCAAATATTTACACCCCGCATCTATGTGTTGTTCTCCTCGATCGTCTTGTCTGTAGGCTTGTTCGTCACGGCCGCTGCTCCTAGACTCGGTGTATTTCTTCTGGGAAGGGCCCTATCCGGATGCGCTGGGGGTGGCTTGTTAATCACAGCAATCATCCTCTCCCTTGATCTGCCCAGCAAAAAGCGGAGAGGCGTTTTCATCGGGCTTATCAACGTGGGAGCAACCACCGGCATTGCGTCCGGTGCGGTCTTAGCAGGATTATTTACTCCTCTATACGGCTGGGTATGTGTCTCTGCCGTCCATGAGTCAGGCTAACAGCTTCCAGCGCTTCATCTTCTGGATTCAAGCCCCTCTCTCGCTTGTACTGGGGCCCATTCTATATTTCTCTCTCCCCCCGCCGGACGGAGATGAAGGGCTATTCTCCCATTCCCTGGTGGCAAAGTTAGCCAAAGTTGACTACGCGGGTGCCATTGCCTTGGTATGATTATCAATCGCAAACATCAACCTCGTCTGACCAATGCCAGGCGCTTTCTGTGTTCCTACTTCTGTTCGGCCTCTCATCCACAGATATTACAATCACGCCCATCATTCTCTGCCCGATCATCTTCGGGATCTTCCTTCTCATCGAGTCCAAATACGCCACGGACCCCATCATTCCAATCCAGGTTCTCAAACTGAGAAGCGTCGTGTTGACCTGCCTCGCAGGCCTCATCTCCATGATGTCCCGCTGGGCTATCCTCTTTTTCACGCCCGTATACGCCAGCGCCGTGCGCACCTGGCCATCCTCAACAGCGGGTCTAATTCTAGTACCCACAAACGCCGGCTTCGGGCTCGGGGGGGTCCTAGTAGGCTGGCTTCATATCCGCAGCACCAGCAGTTACTACATGTACATCACTCCCCGGCCGAAAGCAGCCAAGACCGAAGTAACTAACTTCTACAGATCCAACCTCATCGTCTACCTCCTCTTCGCCCTAACCAGTCTCACCCTCTCCATCCTCTCGACCCCCACCTCCCCAACAGCAGCCTATCTAACCACAACCTTCCTCAACGGCCTCTCCGCCGGCGCCCTCATGAACTACAGCCTGACGCACGTCCTGCACCTAACAGACCCCCAATCGCACTACATCGTCAGCTCCCTCCTCGGCATGTCCCGGAGCTTCGCAGGGAGTTTTGGCTCCGCCATCGGCGGCGGGTACTTCCAACGTCAGTTGAAGAGCAGCCTGGAGGATGGGTTCGCTCGATACGGCCTGTCCGGTCGCGAGGCGCTTCTCCGGAAGCTGCTGGGTAGTCCTGCACTTGTGGGGAGCTTGACGGGCGTGGAGAGGACGGTCGCTATTGAGGGGTATGAGAGTGCTGTTAGGAGGCTGCTTCTTGGGGGTTGTTTGTTGACGCTTGTGGCTGGTGTTGCTCATGCTGGGACGGGGTGGAGGCCTTATTCTTCTGAGAATGGCAAGAGGGGAGATGAAGATGGAGAGAGTGGTGTCGTGGAGTAAATTTGTCTATCATCATGCATATATTATCTATAGATATGGGAACTAAGCCTCAGAGGTAATATAAGAGCGAAAAGCTTAAGCTCACTTACTGCACCTATTGGAATATGTTGAGGGAAACTGCCAAATTTTGGTAGCGTTAAATCACTATGTTGGCTCCTATAAGAAAATACTGCCTATCACTATCACAATATTCCTGTTTCCTCTACATAAAATTGAATCGATTGATGTACTCGTTTTGTCTACCTATTGTCACGTGATATACACGAACATGTACCTGTCAGGCAGAAAGGCAATGAGATTATGTAACAATCTAAGAGCCAATAAAACATCTGGATGAATGATCCACCCACCTACAGGTAGGTTCCATCTCATCATTTCTTCTCCACGATCGTGAATTCCATAGTCCTCAGATCACCCTTCAGTGTTTGTTCTCTACTTTCGCATTCAGCCCAATAACTTTTACCCAGCCAATCACAATGCCACGCGCAGTCAGAGGTACACCAGACACCTTATCAACCCAACAAACCAAGCTAAGCTAACCCTCTCATCTAGGGGTTCTCATCGAGTGCGACCCATCCGTCAAAGCCATCATCCTCAAGTACGACGAAGAAAGACACGACTATATCGTGGAAGACCTAGACGATGACCGTCACCTCGTGATCAAGGAGAGCCAGCTGCAGAATCTCAAGTACCGTCTTGGAAAGGTATGCTGCTTGGAGTTGTGGATGCGCGTGCTGTTGCTGATGTGTCTAGGAATTGGATGACAAGGTCATGCAGCCTGACGAGTCGGAGTCGGAATAAACCATCATCAACTCTGTCAGCTTTAGGAAAACCGCTTCCTATGTTCTAGACTGGCGACCCCTCCCTTTCCGCCACCTTCGGTACTACACACTTCCTTCGCGTGAGGTAGAGCTGTCTATTTCGGTATTTTGGGTGGGTGGAGCAATTGCGTCCGATTGCTTGCTTAGTGATACCCATGTTGGGTTTGTTACACTCGCGTAAGCAGGGGAATCATCTAGATACCCGGGGCGTAGGGGTCTGCCTTTTGATAGCATAACTCATGGGAAGCTGCACGCGTGACGTCATACTAATCAATTTTTTGCTCCTGCTGGGTGTACAGGACTGTGCTTGAGCTTGACAGGGAGTGAAGGAAGCAGCCGTTGTGTGATCTCATCTGCTTGGGTCATGGTGACATTGTCACTGCCGACCATGCGCGTTCGACGTCACGTGACCGCGGAAGCTGCTAGAAGCCACTAGCTATATCGAGCACCAACTGGTATCATCAGCAAGCACCTTCGCCAACCTTCGAGACATCTCCAGATACGCCAGGATAATTTGTTTGTGATACCCTGGCAGTTTCTGGAATCATGCCTCTCAGGTATATTAAGGGGGACCAGCCCGTGGAGTTGATCCCATCCATCAACAAGAAACAGCAGTACAAGGCAGCAAGCAAAGCCTAAGACAACTCTACCAAAACACATCTCACAATCAACTCTCGATTTTCTTCTCAATACTTTCCACTTTCCACATTCAATTCCAACATGTCTCTCTTCCGTACCATGCCCACTGGCGGCGACTTCGCCCCTCTTTTCCGTCTCCTCGATGACTACGATGTCCACCGCTCCGGAAAGGGCCAAACCACGCCGGTGCGCTCCTTCTCGCCTCGCTTTGATGTCCGCGAATCGCAGGACGCATACCTTCTAGATGGCGAGCTGCCAGGAATCGCCCAAGAGGACATCGAGATCGAATTCTCCGACCACCAGACTCTCGTGGTCAAGGGCCGCACCGAACGCCAGTACCACAGCGAGCCCTCCGATCAAGAAAGCAACCAGAGCGACACCGACGACAACACCCAGACCGGCGAGAAGCGCGTCAAGAAATCGAACCACCGCTTCTGGGTGAACGAGCGCTCGGTCGGTGAATTCCACCGCAGCTTCAATTTCCCGAACCGCGTGGATCAGGACAACGTCAAAGCCAGTCTGAAGCATGGCGTGCTGTCTATTGTTGTGCCCAAGGCGACTGCTTCGGGCTCGAAGAAGATTACTATCGAGTAATTTCTAATCTCGGTCCTGATTACGATTGATGGCTCTTGAGCTTGCAGCTTGCTCTGATTTGATTAACGTTTATTAAGTTTGCGGCTTCTACTCTAATTACGATTGATGGCTTTGCGCTAGCATAGCAGTGGGATATGGATTGTTTTGCGGTTTTCCAAGTTTGTTGTACCAATAATGTGACTGGATGGAATATTTAATCAAATTGAGTTTTTATACTTGAAAACAATACATTGCATTTCTCGCGTAGAATCGCATATTTCACGTAGTACACCATAATTCTTCCCCCCAGGAATTCAAGATCGTGTGGAGGAAGCATGGAATGTGGGTCTCCTGCACCTCCAATATCAATGGATGATGGATGTTCCGATACCGGCATGACAAACCAGTCAAATATTGCGATTGGTCTATGATCGTGGATGGCTTCATGTTCACATACATGGAAATCAAACATCCTCAGCCCTAAAACCTCACCACCAATTCGAGTAGTACTACACCAGTAGACCATATATACCTTCTATTTTGAGAAACACGCACCCAGTTTGCAATTGCTCTAATTCAACCCCCCATTGCAGCAATCAAAATGGCCTCCATCCTACCACCAGATATCATGGCCCTCCAACTCTCCACCATCGATCTCCTCACGGCCATGTTCCCCACACCAGGCGAGCTGGACATCCCAGCCTCCACAACAGACTACATCGACCGACTCCGCAATTGGTGCGAAGACCCATCCTCAGCACCCCCCGACACACCAGCTCGACTCGACCTCGCCGTGCGACTCCCGATCCCATCCAGCAACCAAATCATCCAAGTAAACATCACCGTGCCCCTCCAGCACACCAGCTCAGAAACAGAACTCGACGAACCCCCACCACTCAGCTACACCCTCCGCCAGCCGGAGTGGCTCTCCCGCGCCGAGCTAGCTTCCATCTCCGCCGACATGCCCACAGACGACATCCTCTCCGCCTTCCAATACATCCAAGACACAGCATGCGCACACCTCACCTCAACATCAACATCATCACCAAACCCGACCTCCACCTCCAACCCAACTCAACCCATCATCCGCGCCTGGTTCTATTTCCCCTCTCTATCCACGCGCGAAAAGCGCGACGACCTCGTCCGCACCGCCCCAGCCTACTCCCTCACAGGCTTCGTCCTCGCCGGCAAGCCCGGCGTCCTCTGTCTAGAAGGCGAGTCAGCGCGCATCGACGCCTACATGAAGTACATCAAGACGCACTCGTGGGGCGACATCCCCAGCCACCAGAAGAAGGTCAGCGAGCGGTTCCGGCAGACGGAGGCCGTGGAGCGTGTTTTCGACGGAATGGAGGAGATCACGGACTCGTTGGGCGAGAGGAGTGGGCAGCGCGCGAACCGGGGCGATATGCAGGCTTTGGAGGCCTGGTTGGGCGCGAGGGGGTTGGGGGAGGCGTTTGAGAGGGTGATTTTTTGAGTTATCTATATATGCATGTGCCACTATTGTTATCATTGTGCATTGTTGGTTACAATCTTCACATCCCTCCGTTCTTACTTGTCACCGGATGAGATACTATAAAGTTTACCCACATAACGTGAAAAGTGTCTGGATATCTTTTGTCGCAGAGTGGTCATTCTTCGCAACATTACTTTCCCTGCGAAGAGATCAGCCCGGATCCGACTCATGATGATAGGGCTAACATGGTTACACGCGAATGGTCCTTGCGTACCAACTATGCCCCTGGAATGTGTACACATTGTGGGATGTCCAGGCTTGCACAGCTTTGTAGTATGCTCTATTTTGTGTTCTGAATCTATTCGATATTGGAGATCCGCGGAAAAGGATAAATCAGAGAAGGATATAAATGGACAAAGAACAGGTGAATCAGGTTCTGACAGATCGGATTGGAAAAGCTAGAGATAAATATAAACGGCGCCAGTGTTCTGATTCAGACGGGATGCAAAGTAGTCTGTATATACAAGTGGGTTAATCAAGAGACAAGAACAACAAGAGAATATATAAGTAAATCAGCATTGGATGAGAGCATGTTTAGGTGAAAGAAGAAGCATATCAAGCATACAAATCCTCATACAAAGTAGTAGTCATACATTAAGTAACCCTTACTTCAGGCTCATATCAATACTCATCTCTACATATCTGACCCTGTATGTTTCTTCTTTCACTTAAAAGTCTCTATAGTAAGACGATACAAGTAAGACCCAAGCAGCTAACAGAATCACACCACATACATGACCACATATGTACCATATATACGATTGACATCAACATACAGTAGGATAACGCATACTCCTCTATTGACAGCTGCGCCAAATGATTACCATTACTTAGTTAGGTTGATATGGGTGATATCAACATCTGTTACAACTCATCCATCATCCAGATATATATTCGGGCCGAGGCATGTGAAGCCGGCCTCACATTCTCAATTCCCTCACTAATATTGTAATTTTTCAACATTATATCTTTGAGGTAGTTAATATATTCCATCAAATACGAACTGTCTCTTGAAAACCCATTCAAGCACTGTTCACAGTATCCCTGTGTGTGTCCCTGTGTAGTAGACCAAAGCGGTGACATCTCCGCATCGGGTAAATACCTCGGCTCAGCCGGACCTCCAGGTAATCATCGCGCAGCTCGACGACCTGTTTACAACTCATATCCTCCTCTACACCTACGTCTTACATTCCCTCTCTATCTCACCTTCACTATTATCTTTTTACAAACAATCTTTTATACTCCAAAATGCCCGACTACTCCTCCATCAAGCACTTCAACGTGCACTTCCCCGCCGAGCACCAATATGTCGCCCACGTGGAGATCAACCGCGCCGACAAGATGAACGCATTCTTCGAAGCGTACGCATCCTAACCCCCCTAATAGCAATTCCATCCCAATGATATTCCAATTCCAATAATGTACAAAACAAACTAACAATCATAAAAAGCATGTGGCTCGAACTCCGCTCCCTCTTCGACACCCTCTCCGCCGACCCCTCCGTGCGCGCCATCGTCCTCTCCGGCGCCGGCCCCAAAGCATTCACAACAGGCCTAGACGTCAAAGCCGCCTCCGAAGGCGGCGTCCTCTCCGCCGAAGGCGACGCCGACACCGCACGCAAAGCGGCCCATCTCCGCCGCTACATCGGGACCTTCCAGGACTGCATCACCGCGCTGGAGCGGTGCGAGAAGCCCGTCATCGCCGCGATGCACGGCTTCGCGCTCGGTCTAGCCGTTGACATGGCGACGGCGTGCGACGTGCGGCTTTGCGCGCGCGACGTGCGCTTTGCCGTGAAGGAGGTGGATATTGGTTTGGCGGCTGATATTGGCACGTTGAGTCGGTTGCCGAAGGTTGTGGGGAATTACGGGTGGGTGAAGGAGGTTGCGCTGAGTGCGAGGATGTTTGGCGCCGAGGAGGCGGAGAAGGTTGGGTTTGTGAGTCGCGTGTTTGGGGGCAAGGAGGAGTTGGTGAAGGGTGCGTTGGAGGTTGCGGGGTTGATCGCTAGTAAGAGTCCTGTTGCTGTGCAGGGGACGAAGGATATCTTGAATTGGTCGAGGGATCATCCCGTGAATGAGGGTATGCTCCGTTCTTCCCTTTTGCTCCTTGAGACTGGATATAGTTGGGATGATGCTAACGATCATAGGCCTCCGATACACCGCAGTGTGGAACAGCGCCGCGTTACAGACCAACGATGTGCCCGCGGCAATGTTATCGGGGATTCAGAAGCGGAAGCCCACTTTCGAGAAGCTGTGAGCTCTTCGATTGTTTCATTTTGTGTCTCATGGCGATGCACGCATGTACATACTACTCCGTACATACATACTATAACAGATTGGCTTGTCTGGTTGGACTGTTTTTTTGTTGGTGTTTGGTATTACTTCGGTTGTAGATGTGGGTGGTTTTCTTGCATCCTGTGCCAAGCTGAGGACGTCAGTTATAGATCCACCTTCTAAAAGACGGATTGTGTGATATGACACTGTATTGCGACTCATCCGGATACTTGAGTAATCCCATCTACATTTTCTCGCGACATACTATCCGAAAGGTTGATATAGCAGGCTCTACCATACTATACTATCCAACCAAATTGGTAAATATAATTATTCTATTCATATCCATACCTCCCCAAACAATCAAACAGCCCCTCATAAACATCAAAGCTAACGCCTCATCATAAGATCATTGGGTATGTGTCTGTGAATTTGTTTGTGTTTCCAGCACCTTCTTCACTATCGACCGCTTCTCCACCCGCTGATAATACTCCGCTACATTGCGGTGCGTTTTGGTAGATACCACTCCCTGCATGACCATCTCGCGTAGGATGGGCCAGAGCGCGCAGTCGTCGATCCCTAGTGCTGGTCCGCAGAGGTAGGCTTGGCCGGCTAGCGTCTTGTCCCATTTTTCGAGATTCGTGGCGAGATCCCCTGGGGTGCCATCGTGGGCTTGGTATTGGTCCCAGCTGGCGAGGAGCTGGTCGATTTCGTCGAGGTGATCACCGCCTTGGAGGGCGGCAATTCCGGGCCGGGGTGGGGAGGATGGCGTCCGTGCAAGATATGTGAGGATGTTGACGTCGCCTGATACTTCCGTGCCTTCGCTGGGAGTGAATAAGGGTTGCGCATGAGACGGCGTCTTTGACGTGTCAGGCATGTCGTACCGCATGCCGTTCTCGTCGAGCGCCAGTCGTACCCGGAGATTGGCGATGTCGTCGGTGCCGAGTGCGAGCATCGCCGTCGACGATGTCACAAAGTTGACTGCGTCAAACCCGCCCCCGTACACCTTCTCCCAGTCGAAGTCGACGCTGCGATTCTCTTCTCCAAAAGCCCGGATTAGCCGCTCCGTCTCGGCCGGATCGCCGTGGATTACAGGACGGCCCTGTCCTTGCTCCTTGGAGACGGCGCCTTGGCCCCAGATCGTGTCGCCCCGGGCGTCCACGAACGTGGCGATGCGGCGGAAGGTCAGCGAGATACGTTGTCCGCCGAATGCGCGCTCATCGAGCGATTTCTCCTTGTCCGGGCGTTTGTCGGGCCGGATACCGTGCAGCCAGCGTCGGTTGGTCTGCTCGCCGAGGATGAACAGCGACTCGTGCGGGAGCGGGATGCGCTGCGTTACCCGACCCGACGCCCCGTCTGTCTCGTGAGACTTGGTGCGGAGGACCATGGTGCGCTGACACCCCAAACTCACGTTGCAGATGAGCGAACCCCGCGCGATGTCGAGCGTCTTGTCCGAGTGCTCCGAGATGCGGTCGTCTCCGCCGCGGTACAGCTGGATGAGCACGTGGTTGAGCGGGTGGCCCAGGATGCGCTCGACGAAGACCCGCACATCGTTGACTGTCCGCGTGAACGGCAGCAGCGGCGGCGACTCGTCGGCCGGATGGCGGTAGATGGGGATGGACCCGTCGGGCTGTGGCCGGCCCTGGACGGCCACGAGACGCGGCACTTCCCCGGAGAGATGGTACATCTTCTGCCAGGCGACCTCGTCGCGGATCTGTTCGAAAGCTTCTGGAGGGAGGTCGAGCTCGTAGAGGATGCGGGAGTCGCCCTCGCCGATCCGGTCGCCGGGACGACAGACCTCGGGCATCTTTTTGGGCGCGGATGGGCGGCGGTAGGATGAACGGGGGCCGGCGTCGGATTTGCCCTCGGATTTGCCCTCGGGCTTGGCGTCGTGGTGTCGTCGCGGGCGGCGGGCCCGCGCATGCGATTTCTTCTCTGGAGAAGCCGGGGGCTGCTCCTGGCGACGGTGGCGGCCGCTGGCGCGAACGAGGTTGGCGAGCTCCAGTAAGTTGCCGTCCTCGTCGTCGGACGCATCGGCTAGTAGGTCTCGGACCGTCTGCTGCTGGCCAGCCCCCGGCCCTTCCGGTGAGTCGCGCGCAGCTTTGCGATTCCGTCGGACGTCCAGCTCGTCCATGACGGTCTCGATGCCGGCGGGGGTCACCCACCGGGCGGGTTGCGGGTCGCCCTTGCGCGCGATGACGTCGGTCTCCTCCCAATCTAGCTCTTCGAGTAACTCCTGGACGGAGGTTCCGTTGGCGCCCAGGATATCGGCCATGCGTCGCATGGCCTCCTCATGGCGCTGGAAGCTGCGAAAGCCGAGACAGTCTTCGACGACGTAGACGGAGAAGCCGAGACGCACGGCGTCGAGGGCGGTCGCGTAGACGGAGACGTTGGACAGGGAGCCGCAAAGGTAGATCTCGGTGACGAAACGAGTGCGAAAGGAAAGGATGAGGCCCTGATCCTGCAAGGCGGAATAGTCGGATTTATCGATGAGAGTGTCGGAGGGGTCGACGGCGGACAAGACAGGGGCGGGGAATTGAGCGCCCGCGGTGTGCGGACAACAGCAGCGCGGGGGATCGACGGAGAGGAAGGCCTCCTCGTCCAGGGGGGTGATGGGCTGGATGGGGCCGGGATCGGACGGGGGTTCTAACGGGGGTTCTGATGGAGGGTCTGTGACTTTCTTGGCGGGGCGATCGAGCACGACCAGTTCTTGGGCGTCAAGACCGATCAGCGAGCGACGGTCGGCTTGGTGTGAGCGGACCCAGACGACATCCCCGTTGCGACGAAAGGCGGTGGTCAAGGGGGCGAGGGAGTCGAGAAAGTCCGAGGTATTAGGGACGTGCAGGGCGCCCGAAGGACGGACGAAGTCGTTCTGAAAATCCAGCAACAATAAAGCCTTTCTGGTGTGGATGGCGGGCAGGGTGCCGAAAGACGGGAAACTCATCGTAACATGGTAGTGTGATTGAGATATTATATATACATATATAGGACGATTATCGACCGTCGGGTGGAGAGAGACTGATGGTAGAGAAAGCTAAGGAGAAGAGCGAGGATGAGGAGTGGGAACGAGAGAGA